AGTCACGTAGATAGAGAAAAATAATAATAATAATAATAAAGTTAATAAAATAAAAATTAAAAATTAAAACCACGACGTTTTGATCACAACACAAGCGATCGTCCTCCTGAAGACGATCACAAGTTTCAAATATTATATTTTTTCCCAGGCAAAGCAGGGTACTTCCTGCTAGTGTTAAATAAATGCGGGAAACGAACAACAAAAACAACATCAATAACATCATCAACATCATTTAAAAAATCAACACCATCATCAATAACATCATCATCAATAACATCAACAGCATCATCAACAACAGCAGAGTTTTAAGAAACGCACCCAGGCAAAGAAACATCGGTGGACACTTTCTTAACTTCGGTTGTCCGAACATATATATACATAGACCCGAAAAAGAGACCCATATAGATATACAGAGACCCACGTAGAGACACAGAGATCCATATAGAGACACAGAGACCCAGAGACACAGCGGCCCATATAGATAGATAGATACCCATGTAGAGACACAATAGCAAAGGTTCTTCCTTCAGTATTTGTGCGGCAATAAGAAATGTGAAGCTGGTAAATGAGCGAAGACCTTAGGTCAGATTTGTTCTTCGAAACAGTGAGGAGATCCAGCAGGTAGTCTGATGATTTTTTTTTAAGTACATCGTGAATAAATAAGATCTGATGCACAATCTGTCGATCATTAAGAGATGTAGAGTTTGACCCAATGTAGAGATCGCAGTGGTATATGGGCAGTTCAATGCAAATCTTAAGGCCGAGTGATACATTGAGTCAAGCTTCTTCAGTACAGTACTGGGTGCTGATTTATATACGATGTCACAGTAATTAAGTAGATGCATTATGGTAGCTTTTATCAATTCAAAACGGAACATAGGGGGGAAGAAGTGCTTGTGTCGATACAGAAAAACAATTATATTTTTTGTCTTTTTACCAATATAATCAATGTGATCTTCAAAATTCTGTTTGGAATCAAGGATGACCCCAATACACTTATAGATCTTGACTTGCTCTATTTGATAATAATTTAAGCTATGTAATTGGGGGAAAATAACTTCCTGTGGAGGGGGAGTTTGTTCCAGTGTAAGGGGACAAGCAGAGAGGAGGAGCGAAAGCCACATTGGGCGAAAGGTGGAAGAGGGACATCGAAAAGATAGGTGGCTTGTGACCTGAGCGGGCAGGATGGGACATATATCAGGAAATGAGAAAAGACAGGTAAGGAGGGTAGGGGGGTGAGCAATTTAAAGAGGCAGCGGTGATGGATAGGAAGCCGGTGAAGTTATTGAAGGAGAGGGGAGCAATGGGTGGATACCAGAGGTGGGACAAAGTCATTGTTATGCAAGTCCAAGTCGAGTCTGAAGTCATCAAATTCATGACTCGAGTCTGACTCGAGTCCAAGTCACATGACTCGAGTCCACACCTCAGAGGTGGGACAAAGTCATTGTTATGCAAGTCCAAGTCGAGTCTGAAGTCATCAAATTCATGACTCGGGTCTGACTCGAGTCCAAGTCACATGACTCGAGTCCACACCTCTGGTGGATACACTTGGTATCCGCCCGGGATTTTATCAGGGTTTACTCCCTTAGCCTAAGTGGTTAACCAGTGCCCCGTTAGCCAGTGTGTTTCCAGGTGATTTCAGACAGGCCTTCATGGTTACCGAAGCAGCCCAGGTGGTCAAACCACCCACCATACTTCGCCCTTTCTGGCAATCCTGTACTTCACCTGTTACCACCTCCCACGATGTGGACGAGGGGTTGGTTTTTGGGAGGTTCAGCTTGGTGTAGTTTCTCCCATTCAAAACTGTGGTCTTGTTGGCCTCTACGAGCCTCATCACGTGGGGGTAGGCCGAGACGACATCCTTGGACCGCAGCGTCTCATCGTCTGGTGGTGGTGGTGGGTGGGTTGGTTGGTGGTTGGTGGTGGTGGTGGGTGGGTTGGTGGTTGCTGGTGGTGGGTGGGTTGATGGTGGTGGTGGGTGGGTTGGTTGGTGGTTGGTGGCTGTGGTGGGTTGGTTGGTGGTTGGTGGTGGTGGTGGGTGGGTTGGTGGTTGCTGGTGGTGGGTGGGTTGATGGTGGTGGTGGGTGGGTTGGTTGGTGGTTGGTGGTGGTGGTGGGTGGGTTGGTGGTTGCTGGTGGTGGTGGGTGGGTTGATGGTGGTGGTGGGTGGGTTGGTTGGTGGTTGGTGGCTGTGGTGGGTTGGTTGGTGGTTGGTGGTGGTGGTGGGTGGGTTGGTGGTTGCTGGTGGTGGGTGGGTTGATGGTGGTGGTGGGTGGGTTGGTTGGTGGTTGGTGGTGGTGGTGGGTGGGTTGGTGGTTGCTGGTGGTGGTGGGTGGGTTGATGGTGGTGGTAACAAACAAACAAAATCTAATGAGCTATAAAGCTTTGTCAAGTAAAATCTAGGTTTTTTTTAACCCTTTCTGGCAATACAACAAGAGTTGTGTTAAGATGTTTAAACACCAAATTGACATTTCTTTTTTTGCAAGGAATCAAGTTACTAATGGCATTAACCACACACATGGTGCTTGTGGTCAGAGCCGGCCCAGCCACTAAGCGACCCTTGCAATTGCAAAGGGCCCCGTGGCCAGCAGAGGGCCCCCTAGAGTCACTGCTAGCTAGTGGGTGAAAAAAATCATACATCAAAGGGGCTTCCAACCAAATTTTGCTTAGGGCCCCCAAAGGTCTAGGGCCGGTTCTGCTTGTGGTGAACATGCAAACAACATGGCTCTTATAATGATAATAACAATAATGTTGGATGGCATTGTCTTTGAAACTGATTGGTCTATACCAGAGACAGCAGCCTTTTTATGGTTGAGTCTCACCACCAGTGTCTGGATACCCAGTGTCTCGCTACCCAGTGTCTCACTACCCAGTGTCTCACTACCCTGTATCTCACTACCCAGTGTCTCGTAACCCAATGTCTCACTACCCAGTGTCTCACACCCAGTGTCTGGATACCCAGTGTCTGGATACCCAGTGTCTCGCTACCCAGTGTCTCACTACCCTGTATCTCACTACCCAGTGTCTCGTAACCCAGTGTCTCACTACCCAGTGTCTCGTAACCCAGTGTCTCACTCCCTAGTGTCTCACTACCCAGTGTCTCACACCCAGTGTCTGGATACCCAGTGTCTCACTACCCAGTGTCTCACTATCCAGTGTCTCACTACCCAGTGTCTAAAAACCCAGTGTCTCACTACCCAGTGTCTCTCTACCCAGTGTCTCGCTACCCAGTGTCTCACACCCAGTGTCTGGATACCCAGTGTCTGGATACCCAGTGTCTCACCACCCAGTGTCTCACTAACCAGTGTCTAACAACCCAGTGTCTCACTACCCAGTGTCTCTCTACCCAGTGTCTCACTACCCAGTGTCTCGCTACCCAGCGTCTCACTACCCAGTGTCTCGATACCCAGGCTCTCGATTATAATCCGCGCATGCGGTTTATTATTGGGCTTGCGGCTTAAACGCGCCCGAGTTTTTGACGTAGTGACTACTGCTGCTACAACAGTTTTTATTAGTACCAGGTGTAAGACTCCACTGCTGAGCTTTTTTATAGCATCTTTTTCAGAAGCGACTTGACCACCACACATTGTAGCAACTCAACCAAGTGGCTGATATCATCATCATCATGTGGACATTTGTAGCAGCAGCCAAATACTATAAATCCATAGAGATACATCTAGACGCAGACCCATATAGATACACAGAGACCCATAAAAATAAATATAGCACCATATAGATACATATCGATCCAAATAGATGCACAGAAACCCATATATTTACACAGAGACCCATATAGATACACTAGATACTAAAACAGCAGTTGTGTGAAGATGTTCAAACTACCAAACAGATATGGTTCTTGCAAGGCATCATTAAGTCTGCATTAACCACACAGTACTTGTGGTCAACATGCAAACAAACCATGCTCTGATAATAATGATGTTATATTCATTGTCTTTGTAACTGATCGGCCAACACCAGAGACCTTCTTCTGTATGTCCTTGTCTCTGTGCGAGTGTGAGACCAGAGACCAACGCCAAAAGGTGAACAGTACAAGGACAATGCCAAGCTGTCAGAGCACTCAGAGCTCTGGTCGAGCTACAGAAGGCTTTCTCTGGTGTAGGCCAATTTTACACCAGGGGCTTCAACCGCTGCTGCTGCTGCTGCCATGGGCTGTGCAGTCTGTGGATGATGCTGGTTTAGGGGTGGAAGCGTGGGCAGCAGCTTTGGTGGAAGATCAAAAATCCCCCAGGAGGTCTTTCCCAATTACAGAGGAATCCAATCAGACAACACTCACTCAATCAATCACTCACTCACTCACCTACTCACCCACCCACCCAATAACTCACTCACCAACTCACTCACTAACCCACTCACTCACCCACCCACTCACTCAATCACTCACCAACCCACTCACCCACCCACCTACTGGCCCACCCATTCACTCAGTAACCCATCCACTAACCCACTAAAATACGAAATCAATCACTCACCAACCCACTCACCCATCCACTAACCCACTCACTCACCCATCAATTCACCTAACTCACTCACCCACTCACCGACCTACCCACTCAATGACTCACTTACCAACCCACACAACCACTCACCAACCCACTCAATAACTCACTCACTCACCAACTCACTAACCCAGTCACTCACCCACCCACCTACTCATCCACCCACTCAATCACTCACCAACCCACTCACTCACCCACCCACCCACTAAATCAATCACTCACCAACCCACTCACCCATCCACTAACCCACTCACTCACCCATCAATTTACCTAACTCACTCACCCACTCACTCACTTACCCATGCACCTACTCATCCACCCACCCACTCACCCATCCACTAACCCACTCACTCACCCATCAATTCACCTAACTCAATCACTCACCCACTCACCAACCCACTGAACCACTCATTAACCCACTAACCCACTCCCCCGCCCAAACAAACACCCACCTACCCACCCCTCCTAACGTCACCTGTGGTAGCAAGCGAAGTGAAAGAGGAAACCAGAATTGTACCGCGTAAAGTCACGAAACGGCGGAAAAGAAAAAACCCAACCCAAGTTCGGAAAGCGTCCACTGAGGTTGCGTTGCCCGTGTGAGTTTCTTAACATTCTGCTGATGTTGTTGATGATGATGTTAATGTTGTTGATGTTGTTCATTTCCCGTTTTAATTTAACATTTCACACACGCTGGACGTGTCTTCGCTAATGCAGGGGAAATGCCTTGGTTGAGCGGTGATATCATTGTGTGTGTGATTAGCCAGGCCGCTTCTGAAAAAGAAGCTACATAGTAGCTCAGCGGACCTTACAACCCTGTACAATTTTCGTGTTTTTATTTCACGTGGACAACATCTTCTATTTCTCTCTCTCTCTCTCCTAGCCTCTCTACTGCTAGCCTGTTCTCTCTCTCACTCTCCTAGCCTCTCCACTGCTAGCCTGTTCTCTCTCTCACTCTCCTAGCCTCTCCACTGCTAGCCTGTTCTCTCTCTCACTCTCCTAGCCTCTCTACTGCTAGCTTCTCACTATACACTCTGCTAGCTTCTCTACTGCTAGCCTCTCGCTATGTACTCTGCTAACTTCCCTGCTGCTAGTCTTCGCGCACTCACACTTAGGATTCGGCTTCTCTTGACTACTGCCTTAAGTTCAAGTTCAAGTTCATTTATTAGGTATAGCCCTGTGAGCCATTCAGCTCTTGAATCGGGTGCAACCGCAACAAACAAAAAACAAAAACATGAACAAAAAAAACATCTTAAAGTGAATATGTGACTAAGTGCAAAGAGAAAATCCAAGAAAAGACAGCAAAAATATTGCAGAAAAAACACCGTACACCAACGCTGTGTGCAAAAATCCCAGTGGGATGCAAGTCAAACAACAACAACAACCACAAGACAACTTAGATTAAGGCCATCAGTCTAACTCTGTACTACAACAACACAAACATGGCTAAACCAATACACTTTTCGAAATCACCAAAATAAAGCCATGAAGGCAATGAAAAAGCAATCATAGGAACTGACGGAATTTTAACAATAAATGGCATAAACAACATGTACTACCAAAACCCTGCAGCCATAGCTGGCTGCATGAGTCACTCCACAACAGCAGGAGCATCAATCGGAGTATTGTAATTTTTCAATGCACCTTTAAGATCAGCACACTAAATCAAAACACAGGTCATACTTTGTAGCGATCATCCGGAGCGAAACATTTTATTTTAGGTCACTGAATAGCACTGGCAGCTAGGGGTGTACAACTCCTCTAAAGCAGTTTTGAGTGAAGATCTCATAGGTAGTGACTCAAGTTTCAATTTATTTGCAACAGCATTCCAGACCCTGGGGGCATCAATAGCAAAGGCCCTTCCTCCAGTATATGTACGGCAATAGGGAATATTAAGCTGGTAAATGAGTGTAGACCTTAGGTCAAATTTGTTCTTTGAAACAGAGACGAGATCCAGCAGGTAATCTGCAGATTTTTTTGCAAGTACATCATGAATAAATAAGATCTGGTGCACAAGCCGTCGAACATTCAGAGATGTTAAGTTTGACCCAATGTAGAGATCACAGTGGTGAGTCCTATATGGGCAGTTCAATGCAAATCTTAAGGCCGAGTGATACATTGAGTCAAGCTTCTTCAGTACAGTACTTGGGGCTGATTTATACACAATGTCACAGTAATCAAGTAGAGGCAGTACGGTAGCTTTAATCAATTCCAAACGGAACATAGGAGGGAAGCAGTGCTTGTGTCGATATAGAAAACCAATTTTAATTTTTGTCTTTTTCCCAATATAATCAATGTGATCTTCAAAATTCAGTTTTGAATCCAGGATGACCCCAAGATACTTATAGATCTTGACTTGCTCTATTTGATCATTATTTAAGGTATGTAATTGGGGAAAAATAACTTCCCGCTTTAGTCCTGGTGAGAAGCATAGCACCTTGGTTTTGGCAGGATTTAGGACTAGTTTAAGAGCAACTAGCTGATGTTGTAGTTTGTTGAAATCACTCTGGAGCTTAGCAATCACGTCATCCGGAGAGCGGCCAGCAGTAATTAGTACCGTGTCATCTGCAAAAAGATTTACCCTGGAATAATCCAGTTCAGTGCCCAAGTCATTTACATAAAGAGAAAACAAGAGGGGGCCGAGAATGGAACCCTGTGGAACCCCTTTTGTTATCTTAACACTGTTTGACCTCCAACCATCTGTGAATACAGTTTGGGTGCGAGAAAAGAGGTAATTTTTTAACCATTTTACTGTGTTTTCGGAAAAACCGAGGCAACTTATTTTACTAAGCAGGATGTTGTGGTCTACTGTATCAAAAGCTTTGGACAAGTCAAGAAAAAGACAGGCGCAGTACTGCTTATTATCAAGGCTACTGTAAATGTGATTCAGAGAGTCTAATGCAGCAGATGTGGTGCTGTATTTTTTTCGGAACCCAGATTGTTTTAGATGTAATAGATTGTTGGCGGACAGGAAACTGCTAATTTGGTAGGTCAATAATTTTTCAAAAATTTTCATCAACGGGGACAAAATTGAGATAGGTCGGTAGTTATTTGGATCATCTTTAGGGCCCCCTTTGTGAAGTGGACGAACATAGGAATGTTTCCATTCTAGAGGAACTGATGCTTCTTTGATGGACAGGTTGAAAATATGGGCTATAGGTTTGTATATTAGGTGACCAACAGTTAGTAGAGCAAAGACGGGAATACTATCTGCTCCGGTAGAGGAGGACCCTTTGAGGTAGGACAGTTGTTTCAGAACATTATTTTCGTGGATTGGCTGAAAACTAAATTCGCTTAATGTTTGGACAGGAGTGTAGGAATTTGCATGAGCAGGGGTGACTCCCAATACATTATCAAATAGGGTACCAGCTTCAGAAAAATGAAGGTTAAAATTGTCAACTATTTTTTGGGGATCTGAAAAATATTCCCCATTTCGGTTAAGCTGAACGGGCAGATGATCTGTTTTGGATGCCTTTTCGATACATTTGATTGTTTTCCAGAAAATCCTGGCATTTCCATGAGATTCAAGGAGAGTGGAAGAGAAGTAGTTATTTTTTGCATGCCGTATTTTTTTGACGCATCTATTCCTTAAAATCCTGTATTCTAGCCAGTCATTGACCAAATTACTTTTCTGAGCACATGCCCAAGCCTTGTCCCTAGTTTTCATGAGCTTTGTAATCACAGGATCAAACCATGGTGGACGGTTGCCTTTAGTTTTAAATTTAACCAACGGAGCATGTTTGTTAAAAATTTGGAGAAACGTGTACCTGAAGGTCTCCCAAGCCGTAGTCAGGTTTGGAATATCACAGACCTTGTCAATATCCGAGTGAAGCACATCATTAGTAAATGCCTGAGTGCTGAAGTGTCTCATGGAGTGCTTCTCAACCAATTTAGGGGGGGCTTTGGGTCTGGCTGATGATCTCACCCCAAAAATGAAGGAGTGATCACTAAGGTTATTACCTAGAACACCAGTCAGTGCGAAATTGTGAGGGGCATTTGTCAATAGGACGTCAAGCAGAGATGACTGTCCCGGATTTTTTAGGTTGGGTCTTGTGGGGACATTTATTAATTGAAACAGGTTAAATTCATCTGCAAAATTTGTGGCCACGGCCGGCGGGTTTAGCCAATTCCAATTTAGATCACCCACTAAAACTATTTCACCTTTAGGGAGGCCCCCAAGAAGCTCTCTCAGTGCAGATGCAGCTTCAACATCCTTCCCACTAGGCGGTCTATAGCAGCACACTACCAATATGTGTTGATTATTAGGGAGAGTTATTCTGAGAGCCAGACCTTCAAAGCAACATTTTTTAAACAGGGAGTGAGCTGGTGAACATGCAATAGTATTACGAACATAGATGGCAACTCCACCTCCTTTAGATCCTCGGTCAAGCCGAAAAAGATTGTAGTTGTCAATCGTAATCTGCAAGTCATTGACGGCAGGAGTGAGAAATGTTTCTGTTAGGCAAAATATGTCCGGGTCAAGATTTGCTACTTCTAGTTTTAGTTGACTTAATTTAATCAAAAGCCCTCTGATGTTGACATGTAGAACACCAACACCTTTTCTGCCAGAAAAATCTACAGAATTATATGAGTTCTTTACATTTGGTCCAGGATGAAGCTCAATACCACCCAGAAATAAGAAAAGTAGAATTAATAGTTTGCACAGGTATTTTCTGTGAAAGGATGAAGAGCGACGAACCTTGGACGAATAGCAGCAGCTCGCAGATGGTGTTATTTTTAAGAGCAGAATGAAGTTTGGAAGGAGTGCTGGTGAAGTAATGGGACAAAGATAGGGTTTAAAAGGATATAATGATGGAGTGTAGAAGTGTCTATAAGTTGTTTCATTAGCAGGTGTAGTTGCAAATTTAGCAATAAGTATTGACGCGAAGTAACGCGGGTAGCCATTTGTAGAGTTGAGTGTGGCACTAGATATGGCCGGGAGGGACAGTAGTAAGATACACAGCAGGTGAATTGACATCTTTAAAACACTAAATTTAAACACACACACAGCTCACTCACACGCAGCTCACCCTCACCCACTCTCACGCACAGCCCACACCCATGCAGCACAACGCACACGTGGCCGCACACGCCGCCGCCATCTTGCTGCTGTTGTTGTTGCAGCTGCTGTTGTTGTTGCAGCTGCTGTTGTTGCTGCAGCTGCTGCTGCTGTTGTTGTTGCAGCTGCTGCTGTTGCTGCTGCAGCTGCTGCTGTTGTTGCTGCAGCTGCTGCTGTTGTTGCTGCAGCTGCTGCTGTTGTTGCTGCAGCTGCTGCTGTTGTTGCTGCAGCTGCTGTTGTTGCTGCAGCTGCTGTTGTTGCTGCAGCTGCTGCTGTTGTTGCTGCAGCTGCTGTTGTTGCTGCAGCTGCTGCTGTTGTTGCTGCAGCTGCTGCTGCTGTTGTTGTTGCAGCTGCTGCTGTTGCTGCTGCAGCTGCTGCTGTTGTTGCTGCAGCTGCTGTTGTTGCTGCAGCTGCTGCTGTTGTTGCTGCAGCTGCTGCTGTTGTTGCTGCAGCTGCTGTTGTTGCTGCAGCTGCTGTTGTTGCTGCAGCTGCTGCTGTTGTTGCTGCAGCTGCTGCTGTTGTTGCTGCAGCTGCTGCTGTTGTTGCTGCTGCTGCTGCTGTTGCTGCTGCAGCTGCTGCTGTTGCTGCAGCTGCTGCTGTTGCTGCTGCAGCTGCTGCTGTTGCTGCTGCAGCTGCTGCTGTTGCTGCTGCAGCTGCTGCTGTTGCTGCTGCTGCTGTTGCTGCAGCTGCTGCTGTTGTTGCTGCAGCTGCTGCTGTTGTTGCTGCAGCTGCTGCTGTTGCTGCTGCAGCTGCTGCTGTTGCTGCTGCAGCTGCTGCTGTTGCTGCAGCTGCTGCTGTTGCTGCTGCAGCTGCTGCTGTTGTTGCTGCAGCTGCTGTTGTTGCTGCAGCTGCTGCTGTTGCTGCAGCTGCTGCTGTTTCTGCAGCTGCTGCTGTTGTTGCTGCAGCTGCTGCTGTTGTTGCTGCAGCTGCTGCTGCTGTTGCTGCTGCAGCTGCTGCTGTTGCTGCTGCTGCTGTTGTTGCTGCAGCTGCTGTTGCTGTTGCTGCAGCTGCTGCTGCTGTTGCTGCAGCTGCTGCTGCTGTTGCTGCAGCTGCTGCTGCTGCTGCAGCTGCTGCTGTTGTTGCTGCAGCTGCTGCTGTTGTTGCTGCAGCTGCTGTTGTTGCTGCAGCTGCTGCTGTTGTTGCTGCTGCTGCTGTTGCTGCTGCAGCTGCTGCTGTTGTTGCTGCAGCTGCTGTTGTTGCTGTAGCTGCTGCTGTTGTTGCTGCTGCAGCAGCTGCTGTTGTTGCTGCAGTTGCTGCAGCTGCTGTTGTTGCTGCAGCTGCTGCTGCTGTTGTTGCTGCAGCTGCTGCTGTTGCTGCTGCAGCTGCTGCTGTTGCTGCAGCTGCTGTTGCTGCAGCTGCTGTTGTTGTTGTTGTTGCAGCTGCTGTTGTTGTTGTTGTAGCTGCTGTAGCAGCTGCAGCCGACCCAACTGCAGTTGCAGGAGTCATACACGAAGCAGCAGCAGCTGTGTGTACTACAGCAGAGCAGCAGCGGCCGTGCGGCCTGGAGGCGCCGAGGCTGAATAGTTGCGTGATGTGGACGTGGAGAGACGAGATGTTTGGCCCATCAGCTTCATTGTTCTGCTTCCATTTACGAGCGCCCTCCACGTAGGCCCCCACGTGGGCCCCCACGTGGGCCCCGACGTAGGCCTCTATGTAGGCCCCCGTGGGCCCCGACGTAGGCCTCGACGTAGACCTCCACGTAGGCCTCGACGTAGGCCCCGACGTAGGCCTCGAAGTAGGCCTCGATGTAAGCCTCTATGTAGGCCTCGACGTAGGCCTCGACGTAGGCCCCGACGTAGGCCTCGAAGTAACTTCACTGCAACCAACCCGTCTGCGTTTTCCCGCTCATCAGTGTATATGCCCTCACTCATTAAGAGACCTCAGGTGACCCTCATTAAGCCGGCGCTCACGTGCCATCTCCGCCATGCTTATTGCCTCCATCTGCAGACTCCAAGGCGCCTCCACTGTGTCTGCATTTGCAGCCAGCCAATCACCACGATGCATCTTCATTGGTCGTTTATCTCTGTTGCTCTTCTTGTCTGCACCTGTTCACCCTGACGTGACCTCACTGTCCGCAGCTCACGCATGCGTGAAGACTGTTTGCAAACCCCTGGGCGCGTTACTCCACTCCAAAATAATAACATCGTTTAGTTTTAGTATGGGTCTCTGTCTCTTTGGGTCTTTGTATCTTTATGGGTCTCTATGTCTATGTGGGTATCTATGTCTATCGTTCTCTGTCTCTCTACATGGGCATCTATGTATATCTAGATTTGAAGCTTCCGTCACTGCAGGGATCCCTACTCTTTGGTTCTTTCGGTAAAGTCACGTAGGTACAAAATAAATTAAATTAAATCACAAAGTTTCGAGCTCAACACAAGCGTCCGTCATCAGGTGGGACAACCACAGCAAGAAACAATTGCTGAAGTGGGCAAGAGAGCTGTTGTAAGCAAGAGGCTATATTGGTAAGAGAGGGGGGGGGAGCCAAGGAGGAGGACAGAAAGGAGGGAGTGTGTGGGGCAGGAGGAGTGGTGAGCTGCTAGAGCACGGGGGAAGGGAGAACAAAGCGGGGGAAGAAGACGGTAAGGCACAGAGGTTGCAACCGGGTACCCGATACCCGTACCCTACCCGATACCCGACTACCCATACCCGGCCGGGTACGGGTACCCGTTTGAGACCCTGGTGCGGCCGGGTACGGGTACGGGTAAACCGTGAGTCACTGGGGAGTAACCGTTTATCACTCATTTCCCAACGTCTTGTCTCTTCTCACAATTCAAGTTCCTAGAGACCTAGAATCAACCCACCCGCGCCTGCAACATGGCTTCATTCCAGAGGTCGCAATCAGGTACCCGATACCCGTATCTTACCCATACCCGGCCGGGTACGGGTAGGGTACGGGTACCCGTTTGCGACCTTGGTGCGGCCAGGTACGGGTACGGGAAAGGAATCAAAACCCATTTGCGACCTCTGGTAAGGCATGGCACACTACCGGGGGGGAGGTGGGGGGCGGGGAAGCAAGCAGGCTAGGAAGGATGTTATTAACCAGGTAAAACAATAACTGCGTTAGGTTGTTGCTTCCTTGTCCACATCCTCAGCTTTCTGCTGCTTCCCAGCCTGCTTACTTCCCTGCCCCCCACCTCCCCCCCGGCAGTGTGCCGTGCCCCCCCCCACCCCTCTCTTACTACCGTCTTCTTCTTACAGATTTCCACACCTCGCCGCCATATTCCTACGCCCCCTTCATTGTTTTGTTAGGAAAAAAAGCGAATCCCTGTTTGGTAGTCTCCTGCACTGAGTAGAGGACTGTCCACCCCTCATGGTGACTGGAGCCAAAGCCAGTCCAGCAGACCTCCTGAATACTACAGAGATCCAGACGGTACCATTCCAGCTCCCAACAGAGGAGAGGTAGCCTCTCCTCCACAGTGAGTGTTCGAACATTCCCCGTGGGCAGTCACAGTGATTTTGCCGTTTGTGGAGGTACCCTGAGGGTATGGATTCAGTCTCCTGGCTCTGCCAAATGTGGTTTTTGCCAGGAGAAGTTATAGATACATTTCCCCCCAGAGCCTCTGGCACAAGCTTAGTTCGATACTTTGCACGTAGTTTAGTGGTCATTGAATTGGGGGGGTTACCAGCCCCTCGTACCCATCGAGAGAACCCATTTGGCTGCTCTGGTGGCTACAAGTGCCATGAGGGGTAATGCCGATAGGAATTGTCCTTCCCTCCATGGCATTGTTCACATCCACTACAGTGGTACCGTCCGGCTACACCACGGAGGTAAGGGGTTGCTTTTGCCGGACTTCTTCACTATGTATACACACACACAGAGATAAGAGAGACAGAGCAGCACACCAGTATTTACCACGTCATGACATCTCGTCCACGACTCACCAGAGGTTCGAGACATGGACGAATCAATGGCTGCCAAGCTGATCAAAGGGAAGAGGCCGGAACTGAAGACGTGGATTGGCAGGGACCCCACGTACCTGCTCGACTACTTGGACAGCAGGGATTTGATCTCTCGCGACAAATACCACGGGGCCCGCGACATGACGGTAAAAGTGGAGCGTGCCAACTTTTTGATCGACGAGTTCATTGACAGGGACGAGTGCCTCAAGCTCTGGAGGGCTCTCGAAAGCCTACAGGACCACTACCCCCAGCTGAAGGAGTGGATCTCAGACTGTGCGTCGACCACACATCACGCTTGTGGTAAAGCAATGCAAAACAAAACTCTGCTTTGTTATTTAAAAAAGTACTACTGATGTTATGGGTTTGTTGTATTTCGAAGTCATTGGTCTACACCAGAGATAGCCTTGTTCATGCCTTTTCTCTGCCGGACAGTACAAAGACGGACGGTACAAGGACAATGCAAGCAAACACTGCTTTGATAACAATAATAACATGCATTGTAGTGTTTGGAACTCAATGGCCTCTGCACCAGAGACGGCGGACAGTGCTGCCACAGTCGAGGAACCAAACACTTGGGTGTCCTTCTTGCTAAGAGGCCCACGGGCGCGAAACATCACCCCATTCAGTGAACCAAAAACAATTCTCGTCACACGATCGACTCCCGTCCTGGCCTCGAAAAGCCGAATTGTTTTGTGTGTTTTGTTTTGTTTTGAAGCTTAAGAAATACACACATTTTGATGGATGAAACATTTTAAATAGGTGTGATTTATATACACAACATTGTCTGGCAATAACAATAACAGAGGTGGTGTTAAGATGTAAGGCAGACTTTTGATGCCTTTTGCAAGGTATCATCAAGTACTGCCTTAACCCACACACCCATCATACTTGTGTACAAACATGCAAACATGCTCCGAAAATAACGTATGACCTTGTCTCTGCAACCCTCGCAGTGTGTTAGTCGACCAGAGAAGACCCAAAGGCGAACAGTTCAAAGAAAATGCGAGTATAAAAGTTATAGATAGCTATAAGTGGTCAGTTACTTGGCATTGTTTCTGTATTGTTTACCTTTTAGCGTTGGTCTACTCACACGCTGGTGGTGGTACAGAAACAAGGTCATACAGAAGGATGTCGCTCGTGTAGTAGGCCAGTTTCAAAGACGATACATAACATCATTATTATCATGGGATGTTTGCTTGCATGATTTGCCACACAAGTATGACGTGTGTGGGTTTCTGCAGTACTTGATGATTCCTTGCAATACCTGTGTGTGTCTACTTTGTGTTTTAACTTCTTAACGCCACCTCCTCCTTTTTTATTATTGCCAAACAAGGCACATAAACGGACCTATTCTTAACATTCCATCATTTTGAATGATGGCAAAAATAGAAAAAAAATTAGATTTTTAAAATTTTAAATTATGATAAAGAAGTTATAAAAATATGACACTGCATGTCCTCAGCCCCCCACCTCTCTCACAAAACAACAACAACAGCCGCTATTCGCTACTACGGGGCGCCACAGTGACAAGGACACGTTAACTCCCTCGCCTGTTATGAAGGAATTCGTGGGTTCGATCGCTAACCGAGACGCCTGCTGTATATTTGGAGTCTGCGTGTCTCTCTCACTGTAGTCGTGGGGATTTTTTTTCTCCTGGTCTACCTTCCGTCTTTCCCTCCACATTTAGAATCAACATCACCAAGCGTTTAGAGTATCTGGATACTGCTATAAACGTCTACGTGATAATGGTGATAAGCCACTTCATTGAGCTATCATTTGTAAATAAGTCGCTTATGAAAAAGAGCGACATAGTGGGCCTTACATGGTTAAATAAAAAAAATAGTTTCAAATTGTAAGGGGCATTGACATCACCGCAGTGGCTGTGCCAGGCTAGGTGCACTTTGAGCCGACCACGTGAAAGGATCGAACGTTCTCGCGGCTGCTTTCATTCGGTCACGGGACAGACCATGCAGGTGCTCATTGGTTGCATTGTTGCTGTGCCAGGCTAGGTGCACGAGCAAGAGCTCACGGGACAGACCTAGCAGGTGCCATGGGTTGACTGAGATGGTTACTCGCAAATGCATCACCTCCATTACCTGTACCCCCTGCTGTGCCAACTCGCTGTGCTTTATCCGAATGCCCTCCCAACTTGCCCCCCCCCCAAACCCAAATTAAGCGTCCTCAACCATGCACCTAGCATGGAACGGCAGCAGCAGCAGTGTACTTCACATGCCTCCTCCTCTGCAGTGTCGCACCCACCTTGACTTTGACATGTTGCATTTTCCTTTTCACACCCACCTCGATCCGTCACTCCAACCTCTGGCCGACGTCAAGACGCCTCCGGCTCCGCTGGACGTCCGCTGGACAGAAAGCCGTCAGCCTCAGAGTCCGACGCGGATCAAAGGGAATCTCAAACCTCGATGCAGCCCGATGGTCCCGATGGAGGCAAACGTGGAGCGGCCACCCCCGGTGGACATCGTCTGAATAATCCTCAAGATGGCGGTGAGTGGCATTCAACCACTCGCGTGTAACACGCGTGTACAATGCCTACGACATGTTAATTATCTCGCCTGGTATGCAGGACGTGTCATGGGTTCAATCCCGACCCTGACGCCTGCTGTATATTTGGAGTCTGTGTGTCTCTCTCCCCGGTTTCTCCCTCCACATTTTTATCAACATCACCACGCATTTAGAGGCTTTGGCGACTGCTATAAACGTCCAAACAATGATGATAAGCCACTTCGTTGAGCTATCATTTGTGACCAGGTGGCGCCTGAAAATGAGCGAGATAGTTCAGTGGGCCTTGCATAACAGAGGTTTGTTTAGGTTAGATCGCTTAAATATATAAATGCCGTGTCGTTTAACCCGCCACCACCCAACAGCCAATTAGTAAAGTTTGTCACGTAAACAGAACGTGCCGATTAGTTACTAGTACAGCACTAGTGTATAGTGTAGGTGTAGTGTATAGTGTAGTGCACTAGTACAGCACACCGGTTGTGTTGGAGAGCACATTCACAACATTTACAATCTGAGTACCATGACGTTTACAATCAGCTTCCTCAGGCAACAGCAGATTTGTAGATTAATCCTTCCATTTCGTGCCTTAAATATTGGGATAGATGTGATGTCATCACTTGTGAACCCTTCTTGAGCGAAGTGGGGGGTGGGGGGATGAAAGATCGAAACACGATGATTTCTCCACAAATTCTGATGAAGATAGTTGTCATTACTGGCAGAAATTCGTACTCAGATTGGAAATGTTGTGGATTTACTGTACAACATACCCGTTAGTGCTGTGCTAGTAACGAATTGTAATGTTCTGTTCACATGATATACTTTACTAATTGACTGTGTTGGGTAGTGGCAGGTTAAACCACAATACACTACATGACTATACACTACACTACTATATACTACTATACACTACACTACTATACAGTATACACTACACTACTACACACTGCTCTATTATACACTATTCTACTATACACTACTATACACTACACTACTATACACTACACACTACTATACACTACACTACTACACACTCCACTACTATAAACTACACTCCTATACACTACTACACCCTACACTACTATACACTAATACACTCTACACAACTATACACGACTGGACACCCACCAGCGGAGTGAAAGAATGGCAGGCGCATCTTACAGATGACAAGCTGATGGTCAGTGGGCAGATCAGCTCCATGGTCGGTCTTGGTGTCAGGGGAATAACCCCACATCCACTGTTCTATCACTATACAGTGTAGCAGATGTTCTTTCTTGGACCCAGTGTGCAGCCATTGTTTTCTGTGGATGTGCCGATGCTGGAATGATGCATTGTTAATTACAAGCCCATGGGATACACAGAAGTCGAGCAGTCTCCTACCGTTATTATTGAACTGATCTGGCCCATGCCTTTCAATCACTGGAGCCCACGTACCAGCATCATGATCAACTCGGGCATTAAATCACCCAACAACATGACTCTATCCCGAGGGGCCACTTTTGCTTGCATCTGTCTCATCAGCCTTGCCTGCATCCCTCCACTGATATTTTTCTTCAGGGGGGCATAAACAATCACCACCGATACTTTCTGGTCTCTTGTTGATAGGAAGGAGAGCCCACATTAGCCTGGGACTTACAGCTTTACCAAACTCGCCGCGACACTCCCATGCCCCATTCATGATTTTGTTCAAAAGAAGAGTCACTCCTTGTTGTTTGACAGTCTCCTGCCCCGAGTAGGGGCAGGAGACTGTCGAGGGTATGGATTCAGTTCCTGGCTCTGCCAAGTGGGGTTTGGCCAGGAGAAGTCGTAGATACCTGTCCCCACAGATCCTCTGGCACAATCTTAGTTCGATATTTTGCACGTAGTTTAGTGGTCGTTGAATTGAAGGTGGAGGGGTTACCAGCCTCTCGCACCCATCCAGAGCACACATTTGGCCTCTGTGATGGCTACAAGTGCCATGACGGGTATAGCCGATAGGAATTGGCCTTCCCTCCATGGCATTGCTCACATCCACATAGTGTTTGCATTCAACACCACCACAGAGGTAAGGGGTTACTTTTGCCAGAATCTTACACTATATATACATACACACAGAGATAAGAGAGAAAGAGCAGCACACCAGTATTTACTGTAGCGTGGCGTCTCCTCCACGACTCACCAGAGGTTCGAGATATGGATGAGGCAATGGCTGCCAAGCTGATCAAAGGGAAGAGGCCGCAACTGAAGAAGTGGATTGGCAGGGACCCCACATACCTGCTCGACTACTTGGACAGCAAGGATTTGATCTCTCGTGACAAATACCACGGGGCCTGCGACATCACGGTGAAAGTGGAGCGCGCCAACTTTTTGATCGACGAGTTCATTGACAGGGACGAGTGCCTCAAGCTCTGGAGGGCTCTCGAAAGCCTACAGGACAACTACCCCCAGCTGAAGGAGTGGATCTCAGACTGTGCGTCAACCACACATCACGTTTGTGGTAAAGCAATGGAAAATGATGCACGGCTGCTGCTTTGATATAAAAAGAAAATAATACTGATGTTACGGCTTTCTTGTGTTCGTTCATGAAGCCATCCATATTAATAGACACAAACACAATTTCAACCGTGAAGATGGGTACAAACTGAGCAATCATTGGAAGGACGTTATTAACCAGTTTAAATCATAACTGGCTATGATGTTTCCGCGCCGTCGTCTTTGACGCCGCTCTCCGATCTTACATTAACATGCTAATTTCTCACATTAACATCAATGACCTCACTATGGGGACCTCATTTGCCAGTAAAAATATGATAATTGGTTCTTTACCCTTCTATCTGGCCAGATAGAAGGGTAAAGAACCAATTATCAATGACCTCGCTCACTTTGTTTATGACTCTTGGACTTTACCCATTTCAAACCTTTAAAACAGTCTACCTCAGCAGCTTTCCTCACTTTTTTCCACCTGATAACGACCGCTTGCGTTGCGATCAAAACGTCATAGTTTTTACGTGATTTTCTTTCAATCTATCTACGTGACTTTACCGAAAGACCCAAAAAATTATTTAGTTTCAGTAAAAATTAAGTATGCAAAACATCCTCGGTGGTGTGAACAGGCAATATCATGGCTGCACACCTTTTTTACATTTTGCCTGCATTCATTTGATTTGTTTTCTTTTCTCTCATTTAACCTCCAGACGGGAAGTCTCGTAATTATAATCAGCCCGACTCGACTGCATTGGATCAAGATGAACAGCAAATCACGCAGATTGATTCCAAACAAAATACTCAGGTCCCTGTAATTACTGGTGAGTTTAGTTTAATCTATGGGTCTCGATGTATCTATATGGATCTCTGTGTGTCCATATGGGTCTATGTGTGTCTATATGGGTCTATATGTATCCATATGGGTCTCTATGGGTCTCCATGTATATATATGGGTCTCTGTGTATCTATATGGGTCTGTGTCTCGATATATCTTTATGGATTTAGAGTATTTGGCTGCTGCTACAAATGTCCACATGATGATGATGATGATATCAGCCACTTGGGTGAGCTGCTACAATGTGTGATGGCCAAGTCGCTTCTGAAAAAGATGCTACAAGAAAGCTCAGCAGTGGGGTCTGGTACTAATAAAAACTGTTGTAGCAGCAGTAGTTACTACGTCAAAAACTCGGGCGTGCGGTTAATCCGCGAGCTGGATAAACCGCGCGCACAGATTATAATCGAGAGCCTGGGTAGCAATATATAGTGTTTAAAGACACTGGGTAGTGAGACACTGGGTAGTGAGATACAGGGTAGTGAGACACTGGGTAACGAGACACTGGGTAGTGAGATACAGGGTAGTGAGACAATAGGTAGTGAGACACTGGGTAGCGAGACACTTGGTAGTGAGATACAGGGTAGTAAGACACTGGGTAGTGAGATACTGGGTAGTGAGATACAGGGTAGTGAGACACTGGGTAACGAGACACTGGGTAGTGAGATACAGGGTAGTGAGACACTGGGTAGCGAGACACTGGGTAGTGAGATACAGGGTAGTGAGACACTGGGTAGTGAGACACTGGGTAGTGAGACATTGGGTAGTGAGATACAGGGTAGTGAGACACTGGGTAGCGAGACACTGGGTAGTGAGATACAGGGTAGTGAGACACTGGGTAGTGAGACACTGGGTAGTGAGACATTGGGTAGTGAGATACAGGGTAGTGAGACACTGGGTAGCGAGACACTGGGTAGTGAGATACAGGGTAGTGAGACACTGGGTAGTGAGACACTGGGTAGTGAGACATTGGGTAGTGAGATACAGGGTAGTGAGACACTGGGTAGCGAGACACTGGGTAGTGAGATACAGGGTAGTGAGACACTGGGTAGTGAGACACTGGGTAGTGAGACATTGGGTAGTGAGATACAGGGTAGTGAGACACTGGGTAGCGAGACATTGGGTAACGAGACACTGGGTAGTGAGATACAGGGTAGTGAGACACTGGGTAGCAAGACACTGGGTAGCGAGATACAGGGTAGTGAGACACTGGGTAGTGAGACACTGGGTGGTGAGACACTGGGTAGCGAGATACAGGGTAGTGAGACACTGGGTAGTGAGATACAGGGTAGTGAGACACTGGTTAGTGAGATACAGGGTAGTGAGACACTGGGTAGCGAGACACTGGGTAGTGAGACACTGGGTAGTGAGATACAGGGTAGTGAGACACTGGTTAGTGAGACACTGAGTAGTGAGACACTGGGTAGTGAAAGTCGACCATAAAGAAGGCTGCTGTCTCTGGTATAGACCAATAAGTTTCAAAGCTAGTGCAAGTTTACTATTAGAGCCATATTGTTTGCATGTTCACCGCAAGCACCGTGTGTGTGGCTAATAACACTAGTAACGTGATTACTTGCAAAAGATGGTGTATATTTGGTGTATGAACATCTTAACACAACTCCTGTTGTATTGTCAGAAAAGGAAAAAAACAATGTGTTTAATTGTCAAAGCTTTATAACTCATCGGATTATTTTTGTTTCTTACCACCACCGCCAGACGAGGGGCTGCTCCAGATCCACGAGATGCTGCGGGTCAACATCATCATCTTGAACTATCCGCACGTGATGAGGCTCGCAGGCCTGGCGGAATTCTTCATCGTGGAGTCCAAAGAAAACCACGGGCAGAACGTGAACGAGAGAAACTACGCCATGCTCAGGCAATGGAGGGAGAGCCTGGGCCGAGAGGCCACCTACGGCAGGCTGGCCGAGGCGCTGGACAAGGCCGGCTTCACGGGATTGGCAAGGAAAGTCATGGCGCTGTGACAGCTTCGCTCGGTGGGAGGTGGAGGAGGACGAGTAGGAGTGTTGTATATATGCATTTTCCAATTTTTTTTTTATTAAGAGTGATTCTGCCAATTTCTTTTTTTAGTTTAATCAGGATGTAGCACAGGGGCACGGAAGGGGGTCTTACCACTCACACCCCGCTGCCTCCTGCCTCGCCACACAAAGGACAGCTGGAGGAAGTCATAAATGTAGTTAGGAAAAGGCCTGAACAGCGAGAACCAAGCCAGGGGCAGTTGGGCATTGCGAACTGGCTGGGGTTTTAAAATACAACAGTAAAAGTTCGAAACTCAGCTATATCTTCAACCTCAGGATATAAAAAATATAACTCGAGAATAAGAAGCACGGATAACTGGCGATACAGACAGGGAACAGAGGTTAATAACACCCTCAGAATACCTTTGGTAACAACTATGGTATGCCACAAATCTTGGTTAAGCATAAACCAAATAATACTTGTGAAAGTATTAGACCTAGGGTTATTCAGAAGAGATACCATGCGAAATGGGTCAATCACACACGACAAGGATAATATGTATTCCATAGGATCAGAGCCTCACCAACAGTCTTTGTCTTCCAGCAGGTAACACAGCAGATGGTAGAAGTAAATTATGTATGCAGGGGGGTGCCTCCCCTTAATATATCAAATACCACGCAAGGATTCTAAACCGCGACAAAAAACAATACTCTGATAATTTATGCATTGTCCTTGAAATTAATTGGTCCACACCAGAGACAACTTTTCTTAGAGCCTCGTCTCATATGGTGTTCGACCAGATGACGCCAAAAGGCGCACCTTTTGGCGCACCAATCAGTTTCAAGGACAATGCATAAATTATCGGAGTATTGTTTGCATTTGACTGCAAGTATTGTGGTTAATGTAAACATGATTCCTTGCAAAAGGTGTCAATTTTGTTGCCAGAAAAAGGGGAAACCCCCTATTAGTATAAAGTGCAAAGAAGACACACACACATAACGCGCACATCGGGACTAATAAGATTATTTTAAAAAGTTATCTTTGTGTTTCAAAAAGGTTTGCCATTCCAACGTGGTGTGTTAACTATTAGCTGAACGTCAAAAAATTGTTCTGCCCCTGCAAACCTCCGGGCTACTATCAAAGGTTTGTTCATGAAGCCATCCAGATATATAAACATAGACATAACTTCAACCGAGAAGATGGATACAAATTGAGCAATCATTGGAAGTATGTTATTAACCAGGTAAAACCTTAACTGTTTATTGTTTCCATCATATTTGTCAGGTACTAGTCTATTTTTAAATCCTTTATATTAAGTTCACTTGCTTGCTTGCTTGCGCGCTTACGACCGTGCAAATCTTTCGGTCGTTTTTTAACCCACTTCCCGTGATCCAATCGAGCTGACATTTTGCACACAGACTCGTTGTGCGTGACAATTAATTTTTGTGAAAATTTTTTTCCAAAATTTTACACTGTTTAGGGAATTTTTTTAAAATATTTAATTGCCAATTGCTTAATGGTGGCAGGCATTCATCTGACCCATAGGTGGCAGCCATCTCAAGCCAGAGGACGAGAGGACTCTAGCCGCCACGCATATAAAGGATTTATAGTGAAAAACTTTGTTTTTACGGGTTAATTTTTTCCGAGTGAATTCCCCCCCCCCCCAGCATCCCCAGTTTTCCCCGCCTCCCACTTCCAGCCCCGCCCACTTCCCCCCCAGCCTCACGTCCTCTCTCCCCCGAGCGCTCACGCAGCGCTCACCCCCCCTCTCTCTCCCCCCTTGCCCCTCCCCCCTTCTTACCTATATAACCTCTTGCCACGGCAGCTCTCTCTCCCACTTCAGAATTTTTTTAAATTCTTTATTCTTTCTAGATCCTTTATTCTTGCCGTGGTTTTCCCACCTGATGAAGATTGCTTGTGTTGCAATCGAAACGTCGTGATTTGTTTTATTTTATTTCAAACTACGTGACTTTACCGAAAGAACCAAAGAGTATGAATACGGTCGTTTAGAAGTATTTAGTCATTCGTTTTCCTTAATGGCATAACCTCACCAATAAATTCATTAATGACACACTAAACATTTAGAAGCATCTATGTTACGAATCTACACACTCACATGAATACTAATGCATTGAGATTTTTCTTTGATCGCCGAATCATGCCCGCGAATTCATAGATGTCCCATTAGAACAATTGATAAGCATCTGTTAGCTAAACATACACTCGCACATATACTATTGTTGTGGGACATTTCTTAATTACATAATCTTACCAATGAAATCATTGATGTATACTTTTGCTTTGGGCGTGTGTTTCTCTATCATTGTTCGTATGACTTGTTATATTATATTTTTAAGGACTTTTCCTATCGCCGTGTATGGTCGCTCTACTCTGATAAATTAGCCGATTGTTCTGTTGCTCAGTTTTAACAAACGTAAACATTGAGGGTGAATTGTACGGATCAATAATTAGGACATCTCCAGGAGTACTGACAATTCTGAGCATAAGTGTTCGTATATTAGAGTGTGTTTAGATATTAAAGTTGCTTAACACAGATGAGTCTGAGTGGTTCCTTCCAAAGTTCATGTATAATAATCTTAATTATGAGAACTGTATTCTGCGGTGAGATCAGAATTTTGAGACCTGACATAAATACACTACCCCGAGACAACAAAGCTGAGCCCAATCAGCATACATGCATACATTTTCATAATCACATAAATTTGCATAATTGCATAACAGCACACAACCCGCTTAATTTATTTATTTATTTTTGGAGCTTTAACTCGACCTAAGCAAGTGTCACACTGTTGTAACTGCACAAGGTAATGCCAAGGGAGCCCCCTTATTGCTTTCTATTCATTTTCGCTGCTGCTGATTATGGTGGTGATGGTGGTGGTGATGGTGGTGGTTTGTGGCTGTGGCGAGCGGTGGTGGTTAGCAGCGTCTGCTACAACACCAAAGACACCCACGACATCCTGTGTATCAGGCCACTCACCTATTCACTCAATCACTCACCCACCCACCTACTTACCCACCCACCCACTTACCCACTAACTCACCCACACACTCAATAATCCACTCATTCTCTAACCCACTCACTTATCCACTTACTCAATCACTCACCCACTCATCAACCCACTCACTCACCCACCCATATACTCACCCATCCACCCACCCACTCACTCACCCACTCACTCACCTACTTAACTATTAACCCACTCACTCACCCATCCACTCACTAACCCACTCACCCACCCACTCACTGACCCACCCATCTACTCACCCACTCACTAACACACTCATTCACCCACTCACTCACCCACCAACTCAATCACTCACCAACTCACTCACCCACCCACTCATTAACCCACTCACTCACCAAACCACCCATTTACCTAACTAAATCACTCACCCACTCACCAACGCACTTCCTCACTCACCTACCTAGTCACCCTCTCACTAACCTATTCACTCACCCACCCACTAACCCACTCACCCATCCACCCACTCACTAACCCACTCACTCACCCATCCACTAACCCACTCACTCACCCACTCACCCACCCAACCACTCACTAAGCAAATAACCCACTCCCCCGCCCGACCACCTATTCACCCCTCCTAACATCACTTGTGGCGGACAGGTAAGCGATGTGAAAGAGGAAACGATAATTTTACCGCTTAAAGTCACGCAACCGTAGAAGGAAAAAGACAACCACCGATGTTTCGTTGCATGTGTGAGTTTCTTAACACTGCTGTTTTTGATGATGGTTGTATTGATAACGTTGTTGATGTTAAGGTTAATTTCCTGTTTTTATTTAACATTTCACACACACTGGGTTTATCGTCGCTTATGAAGGGGAACTGACTTGGTTGGGCTGTGCTATTATTGTGTTTGTGTGTGCTTAGCCTGATCGCTTCTGAAAACAAAGCTACATTGTAGCTCAGTCGACCTTGCACCTGGCGGAAAAAAACATTGACTTAAAGCTTTTGTGACTGCATGAATTCATATTATAAAGTCACGTAGATAGGTTCAAATATTTTTTTTTTACAAAAAACTACGACGTTTCAGCAGGCTAGCGTTGTGTTATAGGCTATGTTTAAGCGAGAGACAGCATTGTGTAACAGCAGAGAGTGTGTGCTCGGTGTTTAATTAAAGAATTACCTCCAAGATGTTACGTCTCCAAATCAGTCACTACATATGTATGCGGGTCTGTGTAATTATATTGGCTCTCTGTATCTCTATGGGTATCTGCGTCTCTGTGTATCTATATGGGTCTCTGTGCCTATCGGGGTTTGTATCTCTATATGGGTCTCTGTGTATCTATGGTGGGTCTCTATGTCTTTATGGGTCTCTGTGTCTGTATGGGTATCTGTGTCTGTATGGGTCTCTGTGTATCTATATGAGTGTCTGTGTCTGTATGGGTCTCTGTGTCTGTATGGGTATCTGTGTCTGTATGGGTCTCTGTGTCTGTATGGGTATCTGTGTCTCTGTGTATCTATATGGGTCTCTGTGCCTATTGGGGTTTGTATCTCTATATGGGTCTCTGTGTATCTACGGTGGGTCTCTATGTCTTGATGGGTCTCTGTGTCTGTATGGGTATCTGCGTCTCTGTGTATCTATATGGGTCTCTGTGCCTATTGGGGTTTGTATCTCTATATGGGTCTCTGTGTATCTACGGTGGGTCTCTAAGTCTTGATGGGTCTCTGTGTCTGTATGGGTCTCAGCGTCTGTATGGGTCTCTGTGCATTCAGAGTATTTGTCTGCTGCATTAAATGCCCACATCATGATGATGATGAAAAGCCACATCCATACGTTTGTTGAACTTATTTCGCAACCACACGCACCCAATGGCCCTAACCAGACGTGACTCAGGGAAGAACAGCAAATCACACAACAACAACAACAAGCAGCAGCAGTTCTAAAGACATGCGTTTTCAATGTGGTGTAGTGTATAATGTGTAGTAGTGTGATGTATAGTGGTGTAGTATATAGTGGTGTAGTGTATAGTGTAGTTTATAGTAATGTATAGGAGTGTATTGCATAGTGTAGTGTATAGTGTAGTTTATAGTAGTGTAGTGTAATGTAGAGTATAGTGGTGCAGTGTATAGTGTAGTGTATATTATAGTGGTTTAGTGTTAGAGTGTGTTGTGTATAGTAGTGTAGTGTATAGTGTATATTGTAGTGTAATCACACAGTCTGTAGAAAATAGTATAATCGTGGTGGTGTAGTGCATAGTAGAGAATTGTATAGTGTGTGGGATATAGTGTATAGTGTAGTATATACAGGTGGTATATATAATAGCGTAGTGTATAATGTAGTGTATAATAGCATGTTGTATAGTGTAGTGTATAATAGCATGGTGTATAGTGTAGTGTATAATATCGTAGTGTATAATGTGTAGTTTAGTGTATAGTGTAGTGTATAATAGCATGGTGTATAGTGTGGACACTTTACAGAGTCCCATAGGGTAAGATGGGCTGCAAAATTGAAGATCTATGCAGAAGAGCAATGTCAGTTGGAAAGGGGACTGACCAACAGAAGCTTCTGTCATAGCTTCATGAAGATGGTGATCATGCGCAAGAATTGCATGAAGATTGCAAGCTTCCCTGTATGTTTGAAAGGGCAGGGTCTTGATGGGGGTGAGGTAGCTCAGCACTGATGAATGTGTAATAAAAGACTCCGTCAGGCACTGCTGGTCTCCGTTGGTCTTTTATTCAAGTTCTTTCTCCGCACCCCGCTGGTCTCCTCCGCGGACCAGCGTCGTCTCGTGCGCGCCCCCGCACGCGCTTCCTCCTCAGCTCGTCCTCACACCCCGCCGGTCCTGACAAGGCCTCTGTGTTGTGTGAGTGAATGTACGCGTGTGTTGACCTTCTCTCGCACCACAGCACCGAGCTAACTGCGCGAATCGGAGGTGGCAGGGGATGGACAAGCCATTCGTGGGTTGACGTTGGTGGGGGCCCAGACTCTGGTATCGAATGACCAGTAACCATTCATTCAGGTCCTTCATGCAGGGTTGGCCACATCTGTCATACAGGAGGGCACCGTGCGAGCTCACGCATGGCCCGTGCTTCGGGAGGGAAACATCGTTGGCGGTGTGGGGGTCGCGTCGAAGTCGAAGACGCAGCAGGTTTCTGATGAAAAATGGATGGATACGCTTTGTTCCGAAAATTCGGAATTGTCCGAGTCGCGGATGAGGGAGTTGAGGGAGCTTTGGCGTGAATTCTCCGATATGTTTAGCAAGGGCAAATTTGACATTGGCCGCACTACGCTTTTGAGTCACCACATCGATATGGGCGACGCCGCTCCCATCCGGCAGAACCCCGACTGGCTGAGCCCTACGAAAAAAGAAAATGTATGGCTGGCGGTTTATGAAATGTTGGCCGCCGATATTATCTCGCCGTCCACCAGCGCATAGGGAGCCCCAATTGTTCTTGTTAAAAAGTAGAATGATAGTTTGTGCTTCTGTGTTGACTTCCACAAGCTTAATAAGCTCTCTGTGTCTGACACATGCCCTCTTCCTCGGATGGACGATTCCCTGGATGCTCTAGCAGGAGCACATTATTTTTCGACTCGACCTCCTATCCGGATTTTGGAAGTTGCCCTTAGATTAATCCCTAAACCTAAGACAGCCTTTCCTAAACCACAAGGCTTATTTGAATTTAATCGGCTTCTTATGGGTCTTTACTCCGCTGCGCCTACGTTGCAGCGATTGATAGAACTAGTTTTAGCAGGCCCCCAGTGGGAGTCGTGCCTAATTATATCTGGACGATGTTATCGTTTTTAGCTGTACATTTAAAGAACATCTGGAATGGTTACGTGCTGTCTTTCTTAAGATGCATGCGGTGAATCTCACATTTAAACTGCAGAAGTGTCATCTGCTCCAAAAATCGGTTCGGTATCCTGGCCACATAGTCAGTAGATCAGGGAAAGCGACAGACCCGGAAAAAAACGCGTGTCTAAAGTACTTGGCCGACCCCCACGTGGGTGGGGGAGGTGCGGAGTTTAATTGGATTTGCGTCTTATTACCGCCGTTTTGTCGCCAGGTTCGCCACTATCGCCAAACCTCTCCACGCCCTGACGGCAAAGGGTCAGAAGTTCCATTGGGGGGAGGAGGAGGCCGCATTTGTTGCGCTCCAGGATGGCTTGGTGAACGCCCCTCCCCTCCACTACCCTGACTTTTCCTTGCCGTTCGTTCTTAATACGGACGCTAGCAACACGAGAATTGGCGCTGTTCTGTCTCAAGTCGTTAATGGCGTCGAGAGTGTTGTAGCATACGGCAGCAGAGTGCTTGTCTCCGGCCGAACAACTGTACTGTGTCACACGCCGGGAACTATTGGCTATTGTTTTTCGTGCAAAAGTATTACCCCTATCCAGTGGCGGCTCCTGCAAAATCTCTCAGGGGGGGCAAATGTCTGGATGATTGATAAGGATAAGGTCCACCCATGCAATGGATAAATTAACAGCTTAAGCATGTGAAGGCAACTTCACTTCTTTAATATTAATGAAAAATAAAGTGACTCTTACAATACATCTTGTTTGTTTCTATACTCACTATTATTACAATCCACTCAGTATCTTTTATTAAAGATTCTACTAGGTAGCGACAAATAATATTGTTGACTGAAACGTACTTACGTATGATGACGTAAGCACGTTAGGGCGAGCCCTCCCGGAAGCCATAGAGAATGCATTGCAGCGCCCGCCGTTCGAAAAAAAACATCTTTGAATGTAAGTCTATGGGAACACTCGGGGCGATTCTCAGCCAGAGTGAAATCGCCCAAAAAGAGGCGGTACTCCACAGAACGTGACATGACGCTGATTGGACTATATCCAGAGGCACAGTAACGGCTGAGATTGGTGGTGCGTCGCCCAATCGCCCTAATGAAGAAACCGCCCCTGCCCCTATCGTTATGGCAGACGTTTTGAGGTGCGCTCTGACCATGCAGTGCTACAGTACACGCTGCATATTGAGCAGCCGCCTGGCCAACTTTCACGTTAGTTGGAAGTCCTCCAGGACTATTCCTTTACTGTTTCCTATTGCAAATGTACCCGACACACGAACGCGGATGCCCTGTCACGATTTCCAACGAGCGACGGGTGCGCGTGTTTCTCGGGCTTGGGACACTGTAAGGCACCTGCCGAGGAATCGCCACCTCTGAGAAAGGCGACGGTCCTGTGGCGCGTGACGCCGTTATTGGCTTGGACTATGCGCAGTGGGGGCACCTCCAGGTTGAGGACGCTTCCCTGTTTAAGTTACGACGCCGCGTCAAGGAGGCGGACACGGGTGGGGATCGAGAAGGATGGGGGGAGTGGAGTGGGTGGACGTCGCGCCTCGCCCGCTCACGGGGAGCGGGGAGGTGGGCGTCAGCCCCCACATAGAACGAGCAGGCGTCTGATCGTGCTTACAGCCTTCCTCTTCGCGATTACAATGGGCTGCGGTGTTTGTAATTGTACGAACGAGCGGTAGCGATAAGCTGCCAGGCTGGTTTATTTGTGCGTGTGTCTTTGTGCGTGTGTGTTTATTTGCGTGTGTGTGAAGGATGAGACACACAGGCACACATACAGACGTCTGTGTGTGTGTCCTGTCCTTCACACACAGACACACACAGACAGGTGTGTGTGTCTCATCATTCACACACACAAAGACACACAGGCGTAACGGGTGTGTGTCATGTCCTTTACAACAACAACACAACAACAACCGCCATTCGCCACTAAGTGGCGGTGACGTCACCACGACGCTTGTGCCAGGCCATGTGCACCTTGAGGCCACGTGAAGTGTCGAACGCCCGCTGGCAGGAGGTCACGGGGCAGACCCAGCAGGTGCCACGGGTCGACTGACCGAGATGACCGAGATGACTGGCTGATGCACCACCTGTGCCCCCTACTGTGCCAACTTGCTGTGCTTTACACACACATACAGGTGTGTGTGTGTCATCATTCACATACACACAGACACACACACACATACAGGTGTGTGCCTTTGTCTTTTTCTTCACAGACACGCACAAGTAAACACACAAAGACACACACAAATAAAAAAACAAAGACACACACAGACAAACATGCGCTTTGTATAGATTGTTTCCTGTTATATTCTTGGAAATTGCGTCATAGTTGATGTGAAACTCGCTTGGCAGCGTATAAATACCGCTCGCTCATACAATTGCAATCACCACAGCCGATTGGAATCGCGAAGAGGAAGGCGGTAAGCACTCTCAGACGCCTGTTCGTTCTACACCTTCACAATTATACAGGTAGTCCTCTACTTACGATGGAGATGTGTTACTACGACCCCATCGTAAGTCGAAAATATCGTAAGTCGAAGATGGCCTAGCCTACCCAGGAGTCTTAAATAATGGTGATAATTTAGCAAAACAGAGCAATTTACAGTACCGTACTGTATAAACTATATACTTATTATTTGATTATTTCGGTTAAGTCACGTCTAAAAATAAAATAATAAATTAAATTATTGCATATTACGAAGTTTCGATTGCAACACAAGCAATCATCATCAGGTATAATTGCAATCGAAACGTCGTAATATGCTATTATTTAATTTATTATTTTATCTTTAGACGTGACTTAACCGAAAGAACCAAATAATAATTCCTGCAGTCACGAAAGTTCTAAAATTAAGATTAAACTATATGCTTTATGTATTTATTAATTACAATACTGTATTTTACAGTGAAATTTAAAGAAAAAAACAAGGTAAATTCTTAGCCTACCTATATGAACTGCAATTTAATAGAACGTTTTTTTCAGGAAACAATCCTATCTGCTATAAAAACTGTAAACATGCATTGAACGTATGTATCGTATCGTTGTAACCCTAAAATGAAGTCGTTAAAGCTACGTATCATACATGCATTGAACGTATGTATCGTATCGTTGTAACCCTAAAATGAAATCGCTAAAGCTACATATCATGCATGCATTGAGCGTATCGTAACGTATCATATTGTACTGTACTCACCAAGATTGTCCTTCGTCTGCATACTTGAACGATGTTAGGTTGTTGATGGAAATTTTGTCGTATCGCTAACGCCATCGTAAGATCGAAATATCGTAAGTCGGACCATCGTAACTCGGGGACTAGCTGTACTCCGTAGCATTTCAACACTACCTACAGACTCATCACTACCCATAGACTCAACACTGCCCATAGAATCAACACTACCTATAGACTCAACACTACCCATAGACTCAACACTGCCCATATAATCAACACTACCTATAGACTCAACACTGCCCATATAATCAACACTACCTATAGACTCAACACTACCCATAGACTCAACACTACCCATAGACTCAACACTACCCATAGAATCAACACTACCTATAGACTCAACACTACCCATAGACTCAACACTGCCCATATAATCAACACTGCCCATAAACTCAACACCACCCATAAACTCAACACTACCCATAGACTGAACACTACCCAAAGAATCAACACTGCCCATATAATCAACACTGCCCATAAACTCAACACTGCCCATAGACTCAACACTACCCATATAATCAACACTGCCCATTGACTCAACACTGCCCATAGACTCAACACCGCCCATAGACTCAACACTACCCATAGACTGAACACTGCCCATAGAATCAACAATACCCATAGAATCAACACTACCCATAGAAATCACCACTGCCCATAGACTCAACACTACCCATAGACTGAACACTACCCATAGAATCAACACTACCCATAGAAATCACCACTGCCCATAGACTCAACACTGCCCATAGCCTCAACACTACCCAAAGACTCAACACCACCCATAGACTCAACACTACCCATAGACTCAACACTACCCATAGACTGAACACTACCCACAGACTCAACACTGCCCATAGACTCAACACTGCCCTGAGACTCAACACTACCCATTGACTCAACACTGCCCATAGACTCAACACTACCCATAGACTGAACACTGTCCATAGATTCAACACTACCCATAGAATCAACACTACCCATAGAAATCACCACTGCCCATAGACTCAGCACTGTCCATAGACTCAACACTGCCCGTAGCCTCAACACTACCCATAGACTCAACACTACCCATAGACGCAACACTACCCATAGACTGTACGAGTCCGCAATGCTCCATCCGTGGCCATTAGGTTCTCCAGTCCTGTAGGCAGTATAGAACAATCCTCTTCATGGCCCGTTACTTCAGACGTGGCGGTCGGCACACCAGACACATCAGACACCAGGGATGTGGGGATGAATCGACCGTCGGCCCAATCGGATACGTACGCAATGCGGCCGCCGAACCTCAATGACCTCGACAGGTCCATGCCAGGGACGGTACAGTTTCGGGGATGTGCCAACAGGCACTTGGAGGAAATGTAACTAAGCCTTGTCCCCCACTTGCCAAGGTATTCCTGGACCCCCCCTGACCCCTTATCCGCTCGTTACCGGTCTGTCTGTGGGCTGAGTTGCTCCTAGCATACTCGCGGGCCAACCACACCTGCTCAAGTGTTTTCAACATCGGGTTAGGCACTGCCGATCCTTTCTGCGGGGGGTGTAATCCCAACTGAACCTACACAGGGGGTTCAGGCTCCCTCCCATACATTAAATAAAATGGCGGAGGGTGGGGGTGATGGTGGCGGTGGCTGCGGAGACTTTGGGGTCTTTTAAAGTCTGCTGCTGGGAGAGAGGATCCTGAGCTGGCAGTGGGGACCTGGTACTTGGGGACTGGGGACTGAGGGGGGCCTCGGGGGTGTATGTCTTGGGATTTGGGTCCGGGGGGGGGGGAGGTGGTGCCAGTTTGGGCTAGGACTGCATTCGTTTGCTCGCAGGGGGTCTTGGAATTTAGTGTTTAGGCTGGGACTGAGGGTCTAGAGTGCTGGGGATCTGGGACTGGGATCCTAAGGGGGCTTGATTTTGGGTCAGTGGTTCTGAGAGGATCGAGGGCTGCGACCTGGAGGGTTGGGGCAGAGGGGAGCGAGTGGCTGCAGGGGTTGGAGTTCGGGTGCTGGAGGTGAGGGGTTGATGGTGCGAGTGGAGGAGGAGGTGTTGGGTTTGGCTACCGGCTACGGCGTGACAGCTGGCGTGCAGCCCCGAGTAAGCTCGCCCTCCCCACTGTTCCCGCCGCTTGCCGCTAAATGTCACAATCACAATAACAAGTAGCGGCAGCGGCCACTCGCCATTGTCACACCGAAGCCCGGAATCACTCGTGATAGACACCTGCTAGCCAAGCAGACCGGTTGCTCCACCTGACAATGCCCCAACATCACAGAGCGCTAGGTGCAAGGACGGCGACAATGGTTTAATGATAGCCGATGACGAAGAAGACAACTCGGTTTGCTTTTAAAATAAGACATTACTCTGTGGTTTTGTTTTGTTTTAATTAACACATTTCGCCTCCTATAAAAAAAAGAACATCTGTCACGGCGCGCAGGATCAGCAGAGGTACCTGCAGTGGTTCACGGCGTCGAGCCTCCGAGGAGCCGACAGGCAGCAGCAGCAGCAAGTGCCACCGTCTCAACCCTTTCCAATCCCAATCCCCGCGTCCATCAATAACAACAACAACAGCAGCGGCGGCAACAGCATCAAGGGGGTCGTTCTGCCGCTGCCGTCTTCCGAAGAGGCCACTTTGGGCGCCCGCTCGCGACCTTTCCTCTGCAGGCACCGTTCAGTCGTGATGGAGGACATCGACGTCGATCCCCGGACCATGTCGTCGTCCGACTCGTCCACTTCGTCGTCGTCGACGCCGCTGAGGTACGCCGTGAGGTGTTCCCCTTCGACAGGTCGTGTGACGGAGCGGGGGGCAGTGGCCGGCTTCGTGGGGGTCGGGGTCGAGGTGGCTGTGGCCGGACCCGACAGCGGCAACAACAGCAGCAGCAGCAGCCCCCCCGCTGTGATAACAATATGTAACACGATATTTGTCCCTGGGTACTAAGTGTTATTTGTTTAATTGCGTATGCCTAAAAAGTATAGAAAATGGCTATTATTCCCCACAGACTTTGCTTTTGCGACCAGGACTTTACGTGAATGAATGACACATTCACCCGTTTTCTCATTGAAAATAGGTACATTTCAAAATATCAATGTCCTCGTCACAAAAGTAAAGTTTGTGGGGAATGATAGCCATTTTCTGTACTTTTGAGGCATAAGCAATTAGAAAATAACACTTACTACCCAGGGACAACATTTTTTTTGTTACACAGTGCACGCAGACCGGGGGAGAGCTTCGCCGTGCAGCTGTGGCTGCAGGAGCGGCAGCAGCTGCGGCTGCAGCAGTGGCAGCAGCCACAGAGAGACGAAGACAACTACAGCACTCTGCAACAGGACCCGGTGAGTGTGAGTGTGTCGGGGTGGGGGTCACTATATTTAATGCTGTATTTCAGCTTTTAATATGCTCAACACATTCCCAACAAATTCACAGCCCTCTGTCAATCCACTGCTGGATGAAGTCATTCGCATGCCACGTCGTTAATGGTTGTTAGATCGGTCACCAACCATGCTCCACTGATATTATCCATGGCTGTTAATCTAACTGAGGTCATCGAGTGCAGTGAGAGTGCAGTGAGACAAACACTGCCCCACCGTTTTACCAACACAGTGACAAAGAAAACAATGCAGCCCTGACTTAGTGTTTGCCTACCAAAACAAATGTCATCACTGCCCCCCCATCTCCCGCCATGAAGCACAGGTGCTTTTTGGGGCCAAGAACCAGCATGTGGATGGTCATTACTTGCTGGGTAAGTCAGGGGGAGTCCTATTCATTACACCCATAGTTTATTCAGAAGAAAACAAGACAACCAAGGTAGTGACCATTTCTCATGTTATCCTAATAATAGGGGTTTTTCCCTTTAAAGAAATCTGTCTCTGGTGTGGACCAATCAGTTTCAAGGACAATACATATATTATCAGTGTGTTTTTTGTTTGCATATTGACCGCAAGTATTGTGGTTAATGCAGACATGAATCCTCGTAAAAAGGTTTCAGTTTTGTTGCCAGAAAAAAGGGGAAAACCCCTATTATTATATTTTGGTACTGGCAAAGGAGGTCCAATGATCATGTTATCTTCTTGACAACTCGACTATGCTCCAGAACATGTTCCATTAGCCACTCGGCATTGCCACTACCCATCGGGTTTGTAAAAAATACGCGCAGGATCAGCAGTGGTTCACGGAGTTGAGCCTCCGAGGAGCTGACAGGCAGCAGCAGCAAGCGCCACCGTCTCAACCCATTTCCATCCCAATCCCCGCGTCCATCAACAACAAGAACAGCTTCAGCACCAACAGCAGCAGATGGGCCCATCTGATTCGAACGTTTTCCTTCGCGGCCACTTTGGCTGCCCGCTCGTCTCTCTTCCTCCGCAGGCACCGTTTAGACATGATGCGCATCGACGTGACCTGGTGGCTCAAATCGCCCTATCCCATCGACGACTCTTCCCTGTCGTCCGACTCGTCTGCTTCGTCGTCGTCGACGCCGCTGAGGTACGCCGTGGAGGTGTTCCCCTTCGACAGGTCGTGTGACGGAGCGGGGGGCAGTGGCCGGCTTCGTGGGGGTCGGGGTCGGGGTGGCTGTGGCCAGACCCGGCAGCAGCAGCAGCCCCCCGCTGTGATAACAATATGTAACACGATATTTGTCCCTGGGTACTAAGTGTTTTTGTTTTATTGTTATGCCTAAAAAGTATAGAAAATGGCTATTACTCCCCACAAACTTTACTTTTGTGACCAGGACTTTACATGAAGGAATGACGCAAATGCTAGGACTGCATTCGTTTGCTCGCGGGGAGTCTTGGAGTTTAGGGTTTAGGCTGGAACTGAGGGTCTAGAGTGCTGGGGATCTGGGACTGGGAGCCTGATTCAGATATCATGAACCATTAATGTTACCCATGACCTTGAACTCAGCTCAGGACTCAGGGTTCACAGCACTGCACCACCTATATTTACATCTCGACTATATGACAGCGCTTTGCGCAAACTTTACTTATTCATGACCACTATTCTTAATGGTTAAAATGTATTGGTAGTTATAAAGAGATACTGCCCAAAAACGTTACATCTCCTTAAAAAGCGCATTTTCGTGTGTTTTGGATTACGATAAATATCGTTGATAACTATTAATGGAGTGGATTGTTAACTTTGCTTTTGTTTCCGAGTCACAAAAGCAAAGTTCGTGGGGAATATTAGCCCCTTTCTGTACTTTTGATGCATAAGCAATTAGAAAATAACACTTACTACCCAGGGACAAAAATATGTATTTTTTGTTACACAGTGCACGCAGACCGGGGGAGAGCTGCACCCCGCAGCAGCTGCAGAGTGGCTGAGGCAATTGCAGCACTCGGCTACAGCACTCGGTGAGTGTGTGGGGGGGGGGGGGTCACGGTGTGTGTGGGGGGGGGGGGGTCACGGTGTGTGTGGGGGGGGGGTCACGGTGTGTGTGTGGGGGGGTCACGATGTGTGTGGGGGGTCACGGTCTGTGCTGCTGGTGGTTGCTCGTGGTGCTTTCGGCGTGGGGAGCGGTGGGGCAATGGTCAGCACACTGGGCGACACACCCCGGCGACCAGGTGACCTGGGTTCCTGCCTGCTCACAGCCCACTCCGTTGATGGATATGTAATGTGAGCGTAAACGGGGTTTGCTGCTGGGTTCTGGCCCAATCACACGGCCCGGGTATTGGTGGGCGTGTGGGAGGGGCCGCCGTTCACCTCGCCTCCAATGGGAAGCGAGGTGAATGGGGGTGGAGCCAGCAGGGCAGTATGGGAAGGCCGGATCTGACGATCGGGAAGGGGAGGAGTCAGGGTCACGTGGTAAAGAGGATATAGGTGGGAGCCCGGAAGGGATCGGGGCAGTTGCGGGAGTAAAGAGGCTGAGCCACGTTGGGTGGTGAGAGGAGATCCGCACCATCGGCCACGTGGCTGAAGGATCTTCGGCACGCTGTCGGCCAGCGGGGTGCGGGAGTGGAGGAGCTGTTGGAGGAGCGTGCGGGGCGCGTGCGAGGAGACGCTGGTCCGCGGTCAGGACCAGCGGGGTGCAAGGAGGAAACTAAATAAAAGACCAACGGACACCAGCAGTGTCTGACGAAGTCTTTTATTACAGATATACAGTGTCTGTACTGGTCCCGGTGACCTCTCCGCGGTGCAACTCAACCGTAAACGGTGACTGTAACCCGGTGCGATTTGTGTTAAACTTCAGCGGTGGGGCGAGACCCCATCGTGTGTGCCGTACCGGCCTTCATAAGTGCTCCTCGCTAACAGCACTCGCCCCAACAGTCTGTTTGAAAAGCTGCAGAGTACAGGGGATCTTTGTGGAGGGTTTAATTACGTGTGTAGGTAGCGAGTATGGGAGTGGTTGGCCTTCATAGGGTGCTCGCGAACATAACTTTTTGGTTAGGGGGTCTGTGTGTGTGTTAGGTGAGAGGTCTATGTATCATTGTTAGAGTGGGGGGGGGGGGGGATTTGGTGTTTGTGAGGCTGTTACATTGTCGGCAGAGGGCAGTGCAGCATTATCCCCAGACCACCTGTGGATCTATATGTTGCATCGCCACATCTTCCACAATGTGTGGTCGTGGATGATAACACTGTGTAACAAAAAAAGTGTCCTTGGGTAGTGAGTGTTATTGCCTAATTGCTTATGCCAAACAAGGGACATAAAACGGACCTATTCTTAACATTTCATCATTTTGAATTCTGGCAACATTTTTTTATACAAATTTAGATTTTTGAATAAATTATGCATGTCCTCAGCCCCCCACCCAACAAACAACAACAAAAGCCGCTATTCGCCACCACGGGGCGCCACAGTGGCAAAGAGACGTTAACTCCCTCGCCTGGTATGAAGGAATTCGTGGGTTCGATCCAGACCCAGACGCCTGCTGTATATTTGGAGCCTACGTGTCTCTCTCACTGTAGTCGCGAGGATTTTTTTTCTCCATGAGATCCCATTTTTCCCTCCACATTTAGAATCAACATCACCAAGCGTTTAGAGTATCTGGATACTGCTATAAACGTCTACGTGATAATGGTGATAAGCCACTTCATTGAGCTATCATTTGTGAATAGGTCGCTTATGAAAAACAGTGACGTCACCGTGGCGGCTGTACCAGGCTAGGTGCACTTTGAGCCTACCACGTGAAAGGGTCGAACGTTTTCGCTGCTGCTTTCATTCGGTCACGGGACAGACCATACAGGTGCTCATTGGTTGCAATGTTGCTGTGCCAGGCTAGGTGCACGAGCAAGAGCTCACGGAACTGACCTAGTGGGTGCCATGGGTTGACTGAGATGTCTACTCGCAAATGCATTACCACAATCACCTGTGCCCCCTACTGTGTCAACTCGCTGTGTTTTATCCGAATGCCCTCCCAACTTCTCCACCCACCAAACCCAAAGTAACTATCCTCAACCATGCACCTAGCTTGGCACGGCCCCAGCAGCAGCAGCGTTCTTCACATGCCTCCTCCTCCGCAGTGGCGCACCCACCTTGACTTTGACATGTTGCATTTTCCTTTTCCCACCCACCTTGATCAGTCACTCCCACCTCTGGCCGACGTCAAGATGCCTCCGGCTCCGCTGGACATCCGCTGGACAGAAAGCCGTCAGCATCAGAGTCCGACGCGGATCAAAGGAAATCGCAAACCACCACGCAGCCCGATGGTCCCGATGAAGACCAACATGGAACGGCCGACCCCAACGGACATCGTCTGAATAATCCTGAAGATGGCGGTGAGTAGCGTTCAACCACTGGCGTGTAACACGCGTGTACAATGCCTACGACATGTTAATGATCTCGCCTGGTATGCAGGAGGTGTCATGGGTTCAATCCCGACCCTGATGCCTGCTGTATGTTTGGAGTCTGCGTGTCTCCTCGAAGTTGCATGGATTTTCCTCCGGGTCCACCTCCGGTTTTTCCCTCCACTATTTTTAATTAACATCACCACGTGTTTAGAAGATTTGGCGACTGCTATAAACGTTCACCCAATAATGATGATAATAAGCCACTTCGTTAAGCTATCATTTGCGACCAGGTCGTGTCTGAAAATGAGCAACATAGCTGAGTGGGCCTTGCATAATAGAGGTTTGTTTGGGTTAGATTGCTTAAATATGTGTCGTTAAACCCGCCACCACCCAACACAGCCAATTAGTAAAGTTATCACGTAAACAGAACGTGCTGATTAGTCACTAGTGCAGCATTAGTGTATAGTGTAGTGTATAGTAGTGTAGTGTATAGTGTAGTGTATAGTAGTGTAGTGTATAGTAGTGTAGTGTATAGTAGTGTAGTGTATAGTAGTGTAGTGTATAGTAGTGTAGTGTATAGTGTAGTGTATAGTAGTGTAGTGTATAGTGTAGTGCACTAGTACAGCACACCGGTTGTGTTGTAGAGCAAATCCACAACATTTACATTCTGAGTACCATAACGTTTTGCCAGTAATTACAACCAGATTCATCAGGCGACCGCAGATTTGTAGAGAAATCCTCCAGTTTCGTTCCTTAAATATAAGGGTTGATGTGATGGCGTCACTTGTGAACCCTTCTTGAGCAAAGTGAGGGGGGGGGATTAAAGAACGAAGGATGAGGATTTCTCCACAAATCTGGATGTCGCCTGATGAAGATAGTTGTAATTACTTGCGAAAAGTCGTACTCAGATTGTAAATGTTGTGGATTTACTCTGAAACACATCGGTTAGTGCTGTACTAGTAACGAATTGGCACATTCTATTTACGTCATTTGGTCCAACCCATGTGAGACTAGGCTCTAAGGAAAGCTGTCTTGGGTGTGGACCAATCAACTTCAAGGACAGTGCATATATTATCAGAGTTATGTTTTTGTTTGCATTATGGCTGCAGGTATTGTGGTCTATGCAAACATGACTCCTTGTAAAAAAAAAAAGGTGTCAGTTTTGTTGCCAGATAGAAGGGTAAAAAACAATTATCATATTTTTTACTGGCAAATGAGGTTCCAATGGTGAGTTTCTAGAAGGGTCGGAAATTAACCGTTGGCCCCTAGCCCCCAGCCCCCACCCCTTGGGGTTCTGGGTTCTCTACCAGGGGTGGGGGGGGGAGTTACCCCAGGTCTACCACCACACATCCCGCTCACTCTCTCGGCCGCCCCCTATCGGCCCATGAGGGTGGTGACCATAAGAAGACCCACAGCGCCTTGGTATGGCACAACACACCCATAAGAGGTTTTTGGGTTAGATCGCGTAAATATATAAATGTGTCGTTAAAACCCGCCACCACCCGACACAGCCAACTAGTAAGGGTTGTCACGTAAACACAACAAGGCAATTCTATACACTGCACTACTATATACTAGTATACACTACTATACAACTACACTACTATACACTAATGGACACCCACCTGCGGAGTGGAAGAATGGCAGGCACATCTTACAGATGACAAGCTGATGGTCGGTGGAAAAATCAGCTCCATGGTAGGTCCTGGTGTCAGGGGCATAGCCCCACATCCACTTTTCTATCACTACATAGTGTAGCAGATGTTCTTTCTTGGACTCAGCATGGATACATTGTTTTCTGTGGATGTGCCGATGCTGGAATGGCGTATTGTTAATTACAAGCCCATGGGATACACAGAAGTCTAGCAGCCTACTACCATTATTATTGAGCTGTTCTGGTCCATGCCTTCCAATTGCTCCAGCCCAGCTACCAACTCGGGCATTAAATCATCCAACAGGATGACTATCCTGAGGGGCCACTTTTGCTCACATCTGTGACAGGAGATCATAAAAGGCATCTGACTCATCAGCCTTGCCTGCATCCCTCCACTGATATTCTTCGTCAGGGGGGCATAAGCAATCACCACCAATACTTTCTGGTCTCTTGTTGATGGAAAGGAGAGCCCACATTAGACTGGGACTTACAGCTTTCCAAACCTCGCCGCTACATTCATTTTTTTATTCAGAAGAAGAGTCACTCCTTGTTGTTTGGCAGTCTCCTGCCCCGAGTAGGGGACTGTCCACCTCTCATGGTGACTGGAGCCAAAGCCAATCCATCGGACCTCCTGAATATCTCAGAGATCCAGGCGGTACTGGTCCAGCTCCTGACAGAGGAGTGGCAGCCTCTCCTCCACATTCGAATATTCGCCATGGCCAGTCACGGTGGTTTATTGTCGTTTGTGGAGGAACCCCGAGGGTATGGATTCAGTTCCTGGCTCTGCCAAGTGGAGTTTGGCCAGGATAAGTCGTAGATACCTGTCCCCACAGATCCTCTGGCACAAGCTTAGTTCGATATTTTGCACGTAGTTTAGTGGTCATTGAATTGAAGGTGGAGGGGTTTCCAGACCCTCGCACCCATCCAGAGCACCCATTTGGCCGCTGTGATGGCTACAAGTGCCATGACGGGTATAGCCGATAGGAATTGGCCTTCCCTCCATGGCATTGCTCACATCCACACAGTGTTAGCATTCAACACCACCACGGAGGTAAGGGGTTACTTTTGCCAGAATCTTCCACTATATATGCATGCACACACAGAGATAAGAGAGACAGTGCAGCACACCAGTATTTACCATCGCATGGCGTCTCGTCCATTACTCACCAGTGGTTCGAGACATGGATGAGTCGACGGCTGTCAAGCTGATCAAAGGGAAGAGGCCGGAACTGAAGTTATGGATTGGCAGGGACCCCACGTACCTGCTCGACTACTTGGACAGCAAAGAGTTGATCTCTCGGCGCGAATACAACAAGGCCAAAGACATGATGGTGAAAGAGGAGTGCGCCAACTTTCTGATTGACGAGTTCATCAACAGGGACGAGTGCCTCAAGCTCTGGAGGGCTCTCGAAAGCCTACAGGACCACTACCCCCAGCTGACGGAGTGGATCTCAGCCTGTGTGTCAACCACACATCACGCTTGTGGTAAAACAATGCGAAACGATACATGGCTGCTGCTTTGATATAAAAATTGCTACTGATGTTACAGATTTGTTGTGTTTGGAACTCATTGGCCTACACCAGAGACAGCCTTGTTCATGGCCTTGTCTCTGCACCCATGTTAGACTAGAGAACAAGTACAATGACAATGCAAGCAAACACTGCTTTGACAATAATAATCGTAATAGTAACACGCATTGTAGTGTTTGCACTCATTGGCCTCTACACCAGAAAGGCAGACAGCGCTGCCACAGTCGTGGAACCAAAACTCGGGTGCCCTCCTTGCTAAGAGGCAGATGGGCGCGAAACATCGCGCTGGTGAGTGAACAAAATAAATCCTGTCACATCGAACAGCCGAGTTGTTTCGCGTGGTTTGTTTGTTTTTAAGCTTGAAAAATACAAAAATAACGGATGAAAGTTTAAGAATAGGTGTGATTTATATACACAACCATGTCTGGCAATAATAAAAATAAGAGGTGGTGTTAAGATATAATGCAGACTTTTGATGCATTTTGAAAGATATCATGAAGTAATGCATGAACTCACAAACACATCATACTTGTGGAAAAACATGCAAACACGTTCCGATAATAATGTATGGCATTGTCTTTCAAAGTAATTCGCCTACAACACGAAAGACAGTCTTCTGTATGGCCTTGTCTCTGCACCCCTAGCAGTGTGTTAGTAGACCAGAGAATGCCAATAGGCGAACAGTACAAAGACAATCCCAGTGGCACAATGTTAACTACCTCGCCTGGTATGCAGGACGTCGTGGGTACAATACCAACCCTGCCGCCTGCTGTATATTGGGAGTTTGCGTCTCTCTGTCTCTCTCCCCGTGGTGGTCACTGCGTGGATTTCTCTCCAAGTCCTCCGGTTTTCATTCCTTCACATTTCATATCGCGTTAAAGAGTATTTGGCTGCTATACATTTCCACGTGATAAGCCCACTTCGTTGAGCCACTATCATTCGTGATGGTCAGGTCATTGCTCAAAAAGAGTGTGGTCTTACCTGGTAAAAAAAAGTAGTTTAGTTAAATTTTGAATAAAAAACTTACGTATGACAAACATCCTCAGTGGAGTGAATGGGCAAAATCAGGGCTGCATATATTTTGCCTGTATTCATTTGATTTTTGTTATTTTCTCTCGTTCAACCTCCAGACGGGAAGCCTGGTCACTCTAATCAGCCCGACTCGACTGAATTGGATCAAGATGAACAACAAATCACGCAGATTGATTCCAAACGAAATACGTGGGTCACTATAATCACTGGTGAGTTTATTTTGTTCTATGGGTCTCTTTGTATCTATATGGATTTCTGTGTATCTATATGGGTCTATATGTATCTATTATATGGGTCTATATGCATATATATGGGTCTCTGTGTATCTATATGGGTCTATGTGTATAAATATGGGTCTCTGTGCATATATATGGGTCTGTGTTTCGATGTATCTCTATGGATTTAGAGTATTTGGCTGCTGTTCTGAATGTCCATATGATGATGATGATGATAACAGCCACTTCGTTGATCTGCTAAAATGTGTGAAAGTCGCTTCTGAAAAAATATGCTGTAAGAAAGCTCAGCAATGGGGTTTTATACTTGGTACAAGTAAAAACTTGTAGCAGCAGTAGATGCTACGTCATGAACTCGGGCACGTGGTTTTATCCACAAGCCAGATAAATCGCACGCGCGGATTATAATCGAGAGCCTGGGTAGCGAGACACTGGGTAGTGAGACACTGGGTAGAGAGACACTGGGTAGAGAGACACTGGGTATCGAGAAACTGGGTAGAGAGACACTGGGTAGTGAGACACTGGGTAGTGATACACTGGGTAGTGAGACACTGGGTTGTTAGACACTGGGTAGTGAGACACTGGGTAGTGAGACACTGGGTGGTGAGACACTGGGTAGTGAGACACTGGGTAGTGAGACACTGGGTAGCGAGACACTGGGTAGCGAGACACTGCTGGTGAGACACTGGGTGGTGAGACACTGGGTGGTGAGACACTGGGTGGTGAGACACTGGTAGTGAGACACTGGGTATCGAAAAACTGGATAGTGAGACACTGGGTAGAGAGACACTGGGTGGTGTGACACTGGTTAGTGAGACACTGGGTAGCGAGACACTGGGTATCGAGAAACTGGGTAGAGAGACACTGGGTAGTGAGACACTGGGTAGTGATACACTGGGTAGTGAGACACTGGGTTGTTAGACACTGGGTAGTGAGACACTGGGTAGTGATACACTGGGTAGTGAGACACTGGGTTGTTAGACACTGGGTAGTGAGACACTGGGTAGTGAGACACTGGGTAGTGAGACACTGGGTGGTGAGACACTGGGTAGTGAGACACTGGGTGGTGAGACACTGGGTAGCAAGACACTGGGTAGCGAGACACTGGGTAGTGAGACACTGCTGGTGAGACACTGGTAGTGAGACACTGGGTGGTGAGACACTGGTAGTGAGACACTGGGTAGAGAGACACTGGGTGGTGCGACACTGGGTAGTGAGACACTGGGTAGTGAGACACTGGGTAGTGAGATACTGGGTAGTGAGACACTGGGTAGTGAGACACTGGGTTGTTAGACACTGGTTAGTGAGACACTGGGTAGTGAGACACTGGGTAGTGAGACACTGGGTATCGAGACACTGGGTAGTGAGACACTGGGTGGTGAGACACTGGGTAGTGAGACACTGGGTAGTGAGACACTGGGTAACGAGACACTGGTGGTGAGACACTGGGTAGCGAGACACTGGGTAGTGAGACACTGGGTAGTGAGACACTGGATAGTGAGACACTGGGTAGTGAGACACTGGGTAACGAGACACTGGTGGTGAGACACTGGGTAGCGAGACACTGGTAGCGAGACACTGGGTAGTGAGACACTGGGTAGCAAGACACTGGGTAGTGAGACACTGGGTAACGAGACACTGGTGGTGAGACACTGGGTAGCGAGACACTGGGTATCGAGACACTGGGTAGTCAGACACTGGGTAGTGAAACGCTGGGTAGTGAGATACTGGGTAGTGAGATACTGGGTATCGAGACACTGGGTAGTGAGACACTGGGTATCCAGACACTGGGTGTGAGACACTGGGTAGTGAGACAATAGGTAGCGAGACACTGGGTAGTGAGACACTGGATAGTGAGACACTGGGTAGTGAGACACTGGGTAACGAGACACTGGTGGTGAGACACTGGGTTTCGAGACACTGGGTAGTCAGACACTGGGTATCCAGACACTGGGTGTGAGATACTAGGTAGTGAGACACTGGGTAGCGAGACACTGGGTAGTGAGATACAGGATAGTGAGACACTGGGTAGCGAGACACTGGGTAGTGAGACAATAGGTAGTGAGACACTGGGTAGTGAGACACTGGGTGTGAGACACTGGGTAGTGAGACAATAGGTAGTGAGACACTGGGTAGTGAGACACTGGGTGTGAGACACTGGGTAGCGAGACACTGGGTGTGAGACACTGGGTAGTGAGATACAGGGTAGTGAGATACAAGGTAGTGAGACACTGGATAGTGAGACACTGGGTGTGAGACACTGGGTAGTGAGACAATGGGTAGTGAGACACTGGGTAACGAGACACTGGGTAGTGAGATACAGGGTAGTGAGACACTGGGTAACGAGACACTGGGTAGTGAGACACTGGGTAGCGAGACACTGGTGGTGAGACTCAACCATAAAAAGGCTGCTGTCTCTGGTATAGACCAATCAGTTTCAAAGACAATGCCATCCAACATTATTGTTGTTGTTATTATTATAAGAGCCATGTTGTTTGCATGTTCACAGCAAGCACCGTGTGTGTGGTTAATGCCGCTAGTAACTTGATTCCTTGCAAAAGAAGAAATGCCTATTTTGTGTTTGAACATCTTAACACAACTCCTGTTGTATTGCAAAGATGGTTACAAAAAAAACCCCATATTTGTATTTGACAAAGCTTTATAGCTCATCGGACATTTTGTTGTTTTTTACCACCATCACCATCAACCCACCCACCACCACCAACCACCAACCCACCACCCACCACTGCCGCCGCCAGATGAGCTGCTGCAGGTCCACGAGATGCCGCAGTCCAACGGCGTCGTCTCGGCCTACCCGCACGTGATGAGGCTTGCAGGCATGGTGGATTCCTTCATCAGCGAGGCGAGCGAGAACCACGGGCAGAACGTAGAGACCAGAGAGAACCACGCCATTCTGAACCTCCTAAAAAACCAACCCCTCGTCCACGTCGTGGGAGGTGGTAACAGGTGAAGTACAGGATTTGCCGGACAGGGCGAAGTATGGTGGGTGGTTCGACCACCTGTGCTGCTTCGGTAACCATGAAGGCCTGTCTGGACGCAACCTGGAAACACGCTGGCTAACGGGGCACTGGTTAGCCATTTAGGCTAAGGGAGTAAACCCTGATAAAATCCCGGGCGGATACCAAGTGTATCCACTCCACCTCGGTGGGGCGGATGAGCCACGTTCCAGATGGCCAACGGCATATGGCGGAGGAGCCACTGAATATCTGGAGCTTCAGGAAAAGCCGTCCAATTGTCTTGCTTTTCTGCCTTGCCATTGGACCGTGGCTTGGTTCCTGGTTAAGCCCATGCAGTAGGCTGGTGTGCAACAGACACTGCATATAAATTAATTCACGCACTGGCACCCTCCAGGGAAACTGTGCCATCGCACCACCACACTACACACCCAAAGTCCTTGGGTGATTGGCAAGTGGCGAGTGGGGGAGGCCTATGCAGCTAGAAGCTCCTAGTAACAAACCAACACCAAGGCGATAGCTATTAGAAGGTTATAGTAGTAGGTTTTTACCCTTTAAACTGGTACAAAAACTGACACCTTTATACAAGGCATCATGTTTGCATTGACCACAACACAAGCAGTCAAAATGCAAACAAAAAAAAACAACTCCGATAATGATATGCACTGTCCTTGAAGTTGATTGGTCCACACCCGAGACAGCTTTTCTTAGAGCCCAGTCTCCATTGGTGTTGGACCAGATGACGCCATTAGGCGTACATTATCATCATCAGAGTTTTTTGATCACGTGATCGGGAGATCCGATTGTTGATGCTTATAACCATTTGATACGCATATTTTCGGACACGCATTCCGTACCCATATTGCTATTTTAGGGTCTGCCTATTGTTTTTATCACGTGATCGTGAATATTAGCCAATACTTGTTATTTTTGTCATTTAATACGGATTGATGAGTAGGTATATTTGCATGGATACTATCGTTGCTATTAATTACTGTTGATAAGAGTTCTGCATATTAGAGTAAGTTGATATTAAAGTTGCTTAGAATTAAAAACAGGTTTCCGAGTGATTCTTTGCTAAACTCGTGCATCATTGTCGTAATGAAGAACTGTCTCCTGCGGCGAGATCTGAATCCCAAGACCTGACGTAATTACACACGTCATTGTTAAGGCGAGAATCATAAACGTTAAAGCGAGAATTAGAATTGTTAAAGCGAGAATCATGAATGTTAAAGTGAGAATCATTGAGAATTAGAATTGTTAAAGCGAGAATCATGAATGTTAAAGTGAGAATCATTGAGAATTAGAATTGTTAAAGCGAGAATTATAAATGTTCAAGTGAGAATCATTGATGTACCACGATTGGTGACACATACCCCTAGACAACGAGAGGCAATAATGTATACACACATAATCACATGCACACAATCACACACATTAATAATGCATTACACTGAACAGACATTTTTAGTTAATTACACCAAATTACATACGTTAACATATTTTAAATAATTGTACATTTTTATTATTTTATAATTTCATCACATTTTAATTTTTACTATATATTCAACATAATCCACAACCTCCTGTATGCCAGGCGAATGAGTTGATCATACGACCTTAACTCATTGGACTTAAAAGAAATCTCTCAATGATATAACCAAGAAAATACGGTGCTCCTTCACACTTTATAAATAAGTGGTGCACCCCTCGCTTAGTGAGTGAGTGTATGGGTGAGTGGGTGGGTGGGTGAATGAGTGAGCGGGTGATTGGATAAATGAGTGAGTGGGTGAGTGAGTGGGTGGGTGGATGAATGAGTGAGTGGGTGATTGGATAAATGAGTGAATGGGTGGGTGAGTTGGTGGGTGGGTGGGTGAATGAGTGAGTGGGTGATTTGATAAATGAGTGAGTGGATGGGTGAATGAGTGAGTGAGTGGTTGGGTGAGTGGTTGAGTGGGTAGGCCCGAGGCACAGTGTCTACTGTGGCCTGTTGGATAATACGGCCCTGGTCGGTGAGTGGGTGAATGAGTAATACGGCCCTGCTGTCATTCACCCGCCCGCCTCACGTAGCCTCCAATCACAAATCCCGAGACGGTGCCCCCTGCCGAGTAGAACCTGGAGCTGCAAAGAGGGAGGGAGAGATGTGCCCATTGCACGTTGCGTTCACTCGTGCCAGGAACGTAACCCCATCCCCCCCATTGGCAACGAGGTTTTTCCACATTCGCGGATAGAGAGAGGGTTTGCTGTACACTATTCAAAAGTGTCTTTGCCGGGTATCTCTCGTATCGCTGCAACAGTTGACCGAGAGAGACACTGGCATCAGCTCAATCCCCCCACCCACAAAACCCAATGGCTTTAACAAAAAACTTCCTTAAAATATATAATTTCACCCAACGATTCCTATCCACAACCGCTCTTAATCGCACGTAAATTAATCAATATTTACTTGGACAGTAATGACAGCTAAAATAATTGATCTAATTATATCGATGAGGCAAATAATACCGTGCTAATTGTGAATAGACTAAACAAAATACGCGTCCCCGATCTGAAACGACCACTGCAGTGATCCCGAGCAAAACGCGGAACCAACTCGGCTCGCACCGAACGCCCAACCCCATTTTGTTCATTTTAAACACATTCCTGCTGCGGAGGGAGCTGGTAGGAACGTCGGGTTGCTCGGTCAATGGCCTGCAGGGTCAACGGCGGCGTGGTGTATTCCGCAAATATGCCCGACTGTGAGGGCGGGCACAAGCCGGCGTGAGTTGGTTAAACGTTGAGTTGTATAAGGGGACCACGGGGTGACCAGCCCCTCCCCACCCAGCCCCACCCCTCCCACCCCCCACCCACCCCCACCCTCCCCACCCAGCCCCTCCCCACCCTCCCCACCCAGCCCCACCCTGCACAACGGACGGACGCAATAATCTCCTGTGGGCTGGTGTAACCAGGAGGCTCCTACCAGTACCATTAACACTTGGAAGTTTGCTTCCATTGAGCTGAACAAACCACGCGATAACAGCCGCCATTTTTTTTTTACCATTCGTGACGTTTCTGAAAAACAAGTTAATACATCAGTGAGTTTTGCTTGGTAGCATGGGGATGGTTTAGTGTTTATATTTGTCTGTGTTTGGGTGATTTGTTTACCCATCTTATACTTTGCACTACTATCGTGTTTGTGTTATACTGTTTGTTATTGTAATGTTCTTACCCCGTACCCTTACTCGACATCTGTGACAAAGAGCTTCATAGCTCATCGGATTCCTCCAGGATAAACCAATATTCTGATTCTATTGCCGTCTTGCGCACGGCGTGGGGTTTCACCAGGTGCTCCAGTTTCCTGCCCTAGTGTATGCAAGCTTTTAACTCGCTGGAAACATCCAACAACAACCCAAATGGATAACAAAATTTATGCATTTGTAGCAGAGGTCGCAAACGGGTTTTGATTCCTTACCCGTACCCGGCCGCACCAGGGTCACAAACGGGTACCCGTACCTGGTCGGGTACGGGTAGCCGGGTATCGGGTAGGGTACGGGTATCGGGTACCCGGTTGCGACCTCTGATTTGTAGAGGAGTAGTGGGATGACGTCATGTCCTCTGTAGAGGAGTAGGATGACGTAATGTGATGACTTCACGTCATCGAGGCGGCAGGGTACTTAAGGGGGACCCCGGGACGAGGGCGGAGTCGCCGTGGGGAGAGTGAAGATGGGGACGAGAGCCTGCGTGGAAGACATCCCAGCCACCGCCGCCGAAGAAGGGCTAGAGATGTAGAGGTCTCACCTCGTCGCCGGGCGGTGATGGGTGAGCCCCCGCCCGGGGCAGACGAGTGGGGCGTAGATAGCTGAGGGATGTCTGCGTGAAGGACAGAGTTCTGACGCGTACCATGACGTGTATAAGCGTCGAGTGTAAACGGAGTGTATAAGTTCAAGTTCATTGATTAGGTATAGCCCTGTGAGCCATTCGGCTCTTGAATCGGGTGCAACCGCAACAAACAAAAAAACAAAAACATGAACAAGAAACATCTTAAGGTGACTATGTGACTGAGTTCAAACAGAAAATCCAAGAAAAGACAGTAAAATATTGCAGAAGAAGCACCGTACACAAAAATGTGCAAAAATCCCAGTGGGATGCAAGTCAAACAACAACAACCACAAGACAACTTAGATTAAGGCCATCAGTCTAACTCTGTACTACAACAAACAAACATGGCCAAACCGAAAAACTTATCGAAAATCACCAAAATAAAGCCATGTAAGAATTCTCATCTCCGTCTGGCTCTACACGTCTCCGGGGTGTCAAGAAGTACTACACAACACATTTACTAGCCAGGTTTCAACGAGAAGCTTCGATTAAACTTTTCACAAGTGGAAAATCGATTCTGAAAGGCCCCAAAGTTTGTGTTAACACCTGTACCCACAAACGCCTCGGGTTTTCGTACCTTTCAGTGCCTCAAGGGGAACTGTCTTCCTGCACCACACGCATCGACCGGGGGATAACCGAGAGACTTGTAAAAGCAAATGGTTCAATGCATTAGTCTTTTTTTTATTGGTTACTTTTACACAGCCAAAAAAAAATTCCTTTAAAACACTTCATAAACATCACCAAAAAAAGATGCTTTGAAACGCCGCTCTAGCACTCAGAAGCGACGGCCGCCATCTTGGTGTAAGTGAGCCCCTTGTAGACGCCGTTCAGGGGAGCATCAAGGATTGCGCCATTCACGCAGGTGATGCGCAGCAGGGCCGTGTACGGAAGGTCGACTTTGACGTGCCCGATGTTGGCGACCACGTTGATGGTCTTGTGGGGCGGAACAGAGACTGGGAACGTGAGCATTTCAGTCTTCTCCTCAGACTCCTCCACCTTGCACGTCCTTTCACATCCAACAGTGAAGCTGATATCGCTCCCCACCTCCACGATCTTGGGGATACCGGCTTTCACCATCAGGCTGAAGGTGAACTCGATGTTGTTGGTGGTGGACCAGGATGATGTTTTGGTGATTCTCTTAGAGCTCTCGAAGGTGTAGGACTGATCGACGCTGGTGTCGTTCTTGTACTGCATTTCATTAATCTCCTCCGTCTGCACGTTGGGCAGAACCTGGTGCATAGTCGGGTACTTCATTTCATGGATCACCGACGACTTTATGGCATTGATGAAGAGGAAGCCCATGGAGTCGATGTCGGACCCCGCTCGGCCCTGAACACCCAAGCAGATGCCAGAGCCCACGTCGATCTTGTACTCGTTCTTGAGCTCCAAATCCATTATCTTGGCAAAGAACTCGCGGCTGTGGCTCGTTCTGAACTTGATGGCGCCCAGGTGCGTGCCATCCCCGTTGCCCCACAGCGAGAGGCTCGTGATGAACTCGCCCGACTTGAATTCGAACCCCTCAGCGGAGGAGTTCACGGTGCCGAATGTCTTCCTGCGCCTGTCCGTCAGCCACACCTCGACGCCCCTCACCTGGCAGCCTCCAACGCTCACGGAGAGCTTCTGCAGCGTGGCCACATTCTCCTGCCAGTTAAACGAGAACTCGTTTCCACCTTGGCCGCCAATCATCTTCAGCGTATACGGGGACACCATGGTGTCAACCTGAGAGGGAGACAGAAGCATACGGGAGAGCGTGCCAAATGTTTTTTAAAGCCTCTTCTCTTGCGGCTGCCATCGTATCATTGAAACGCAAGCATTACTACCATTCACCATCGACTGTAGTTTAGTGTGACATTCTTGTCTTCATTTTACACTGTGAAGTAGTTCAAAAGTGCTCAGAATGAAGGTCCAGCAAACATATAAATTCATCCAGACACCATTTTAGAGTGCCAAAATTGAATGCGGTAATCGTTTAGTACGAAATACATAGTTTATCATGGATGGTGGTGGTTTTCACATTGTAGGTAAGTTTATGAGAATAAGAAAACCTGGTGCCAACATTTTTACAAAATGCATAACCACTTTATATTGCGCCATTTCTTGTTAGCAGCAATAAGCACGGCACAACGCGCACACGTTTACATCCACGTGAGTGTAGCCACCGCTGAAAATTTCAGTCAACTGTTTGTGGTCGCGGGGACTACATTGCCCCTTGTGGCGGCAGTGCAGTAGCAGAAGAGAAGTTTAATTTTTTCTTTGCTGCCTGCCTAGAAAAAAAGAGGCCACGTTAACCAGCCACGTAAAGCGTGGTTTAGTCCAGTGGATCCTACCCTTTACTGCAGCCTTACACCCCCTTTGGTTCTCAACCGTTTAAACATTTTTAATGTTAATAGATAAGGTTTGTAGTAGTAGGTTTTCACTCAGAATCAGTCGAGCGACATCTTTTCATCGGTTGCGTAACGCTGTGTGGAAGCTACCTGGTCTGTCCCTCCGCACGAAGCTTCAAGTCTTCTCGGCCACGGTCATTCCCTCACTTCTCTACGCTTGCGAAACGTTGATCCCCCTAATGGAGCATCTTCGCTAATTGGAAACATTTAGGCTGGCCTGCCTACGATCCATCCTGGGTTTAACCAGGCTGGATTGTGTGAGGAGCTCACAAATCCTTGAAAGATCTGGGCAAAGTCCCATCGGTGAGCTCCTCCGACAGGCTAGGCTGTGGTGGCTGGGTCATGTAGCCCGCATGCCCAGCCACCGCATGCCTAAACAGATTTGTTCGGCCGGATAGAGGGGACTAAACGGGCGCGGCACGGACTAGAGAAGAGATGGAGTGATGTGGTACAGGAGGATGTGGAGCTGAGTTGATTTGACGATGACTGGTACCAGCAGTGTCAAGATCGGCCTCTGTGGAGGAGACTCGTGAAAGACGCTGCTGGGCAGTTGGAGGCAGTCGCCCTCCAACAACAACGGAGGGCGGAGGAGCGACGCTCACAACAACGAGCAGAGCATCGGGTGGCTAAAGCACAGCAAGTTGACACAGTAGGGGGCACAGGTGGTTGATCAGCTATTCATCTCAGTCAGTCGACCCGTGGCACCTGGGTCTGCCCCGTGATCTCCTGCCGGCGGGCGTTCGACACTTCACGTGTCCTCAACGTCCACATAGCCTGGGACAAGCGACGTGGTGACATCACCGCCACTTCGTGGCGAATGGCGGTTGTTGTTGCTGTGTCTAGCTTTGTCTCCATGTGTCTGTGTCTCCGTGGCGCTGTGGTGGCTAGCAGATGTGATCTCCCTCGCATAGTATGCAGGAAGTCGGGTTTTCGATCCCGTGACCTTGACGATGCCTGTTGCTGTATATTTGGAGTCTGTCTCTTTCTGCCTCCTTACTCCCCTTGGTGGTCACTGCGTGGATTTTTCTCTGGGTCCTCTGACTTTTTCCCGCTCCACAGTATGCACTACACCACTATACACTACACTATTATACACTACACCACTATACACTACACTACTATATACTACACTACCATAAACTATGCCACTATACATGACACCACGAATACACTCTATTATACACACTACTATTAACTTTACTACTATATACTACGCTATACCACTATACACTACACTATTATAAACTACACTACACTATACACTACTATACGCTACACCACTATAAACTAAACTATACACCACTATACACTACACCATTGTAAACTACACTATACACTACACCACTATAAACTACACTACTATGCACTACACACTGCACAATGGACGTCGTGTTGAATAGCGAGTTACCTGCTCTTCCTGAGGAATGGCCCGGTTGTCTTCATTTAATTCTAAGTTGATTGGATCTGCAAAGTTTAAATGAAAAATAATCACGAGAATCACAATATTATATTGCATACCGGAGGAGGAATCCGATCAGCTATAAAGCTCTTTGATCACAGATGGTCAAGGTAGGGGGTCACGTGGTCAGAACGTTACAACAACAAACTGTTCCAAAAACACGATTGGAGTACAAAGTACAGGACAGGTAAACAAATCACCCAAACAAAGACAAATATACAACACCAAACCATGCACACATCCTACCAGGCAAACCCCCACTGAGGTTTTAACAATTATTTTTTACAAGCGACCTGGCCTATCACAAATGATAGCAACTCAATACAATGTCCGATATAATTTGGACATTTTTATCAGCAAGGTAATCCAAATAATCTCAATGCATGGCGATGTTGATTCTAAATGTTGAGGGGAAAAACCGAAGGACCTGGACAAAATCCATGTAGTGACTACCACGGGTAGAGAGAGAAAGAGACGACGCAGACTCCAAATATAGAGCAGGCGACAGGGTCGGGATCGAACCCACGACCTCCTGTACACCAGGCGAGGTAGTTAACATCTCCTAGCCACCGTAGCGCCCCGTAGTGGCGAGTGGTGGTGGGGGCCTTAGGACATGAAGCTGGGTAAGTGTCACATTTTTATAACTTCAACATAATTTATTTTTAAATCTTAATTTTTATCTATTGGGGTGTTTTTTTGCCAGCAATTCAAAATGATGAAATATTAACAATAGGGATTTGCTGTTCACCTTGACCTGTGGATGGTCCAGACACTGTTATTTGCTGTTCATCTTGACGCGATGCAGTCAAGTCTGGGACATCAAAGTTACCCGGCTCCCCGTCTGGAGGTTGAACGAGAGAAGAAACACAAAAATCAAATAAATGCAGGCAAAATGTTTAAACAAGGGTGTGCAGCCCTGATATTGCCCGTTCACAACACCGATGATGTTTGGCATACTTCATTTTTACTTCATCAGCCCCACAGAACCATGTAGCTCTGTTTTAGAAGTAACCTGGCTACCACCATTGATAGCAAATCAATAAAGTGGCTGATTACCATCATCATCGCGTAGATATGTAGAGCAGCAGCCCAATACTTTGTAAACGCGTGATGTTGATTCTAAATGTGGAGGGCAAAACCGGAGGACCAGGAGAAAAATCCACGCGACCACGGGGAGAGAGACACGCAGGCTCCAAATATAAAGCAGGAGTCAGGGTTGGGATCGAACCAACGACCTCCTGTATATCAGGTGAAAGAGTTCACATCTCACAGGGTCGGGATTGAACCCACGACCTCCTGTCCACCATGCGAGGGAGTTAACATCTCCTAGCCACTGTAGTGCCCCGTAGTGGCGAATGGCGGCTGTTGTTGTTGTTGTTTGCCGAGAGGGGTGGGGGCCTGAGGACATGCAGCTCGGTAAGTGTCACGTTTTTATAACTTGAAACTAACATTTATTTTTAAATATACACTTTTATCTATTGTGTGTTTTTTTTGCCAGCAATTCAAAACGATGAATTGTTTGCAATATGTATTTGATGTTCATTTTGACCTGTGGAAGGTACAGCCTCAGGGTTTTGTTTATTCTTCGTAAGAAGAGGCGATGCAGTCGATCTGGGATGATCAGGGTTACCAGGCTCCCCGTCTGGAGGTTGAACGAGAGAAGAAAAACAACAATCAAATGAATGCAGTCAAAATGTTAAAAATGGGTGTGCAGCCCTGATATTGCCCCTTTCACACAACGAGGATGTTTGGCATACTTCATTTTTACTTAAACTAAAGAGTTTGTATTTTACTGGGTAAGGCCCCACTGAGCTACGTGACCTGGCTAACACAAATGAAAGGGGTTTAACAAAGTGTCTGATTACCATCATCATCGCGTAGAAATGTATATCAGAAGCCCAATACTCTTACATGCGTGACGTTGATTCTAAATGTGGAGAGAAATATCCACGCGACTTCCACGTGAGACAGAGACGCTTCTGAGCTATTTTTTCAGAAGCGACCTGGCCATCATTAGTGATAGCAGCTCAACCACGTGGGCTGATCCACCATCGTGGAGACATTTATAGTAGCAGCCAAGTCCAGTGGTGGTCACATTCTGTCACGCTTTGACCTGGTCCGGTGAAAAACCTACTAGCGCCATCCGTGGGAACAGAAGAGCTTTGTAGATAATCATATTTCTTCCAGTATAAAAATATAAATAAATAACTTGGTACTGAACTTTATGATCTCACGCCCCCTTTCTGGACCATGAGTGAATAAAGAGCTTCACGGCTTTTGGGATTTCCTCCTCCAGTGTATGCATAAATAAAGATTCTAGTTCACAGGTGCAATGCGAGAAATAAAAATGGTCGCTACTTTACCGCATGGAAATTTCCCCCCCTTCGTCCTGTAAATGAACGCAGCAGCAACAGCAGCGCCAAACAGAAGCAGCAGAACCACGGCCACCGCAATGACCGCTGTCTTGCCTCCTCCTGTTTGAAAAGAAAAGCACGCAGGGTTGTGTGTGTGTCTGTGTGTGTCGCTGTCTCTGTGTCTGTGTGTGTTTCTCTGTATGTGTCTGTGTATGTGTCTATGTATGTTGATGATCTGGTGATTGCTGCTCACTTAGAGTAGGAGTTGGTGGCGCTGATGCTGAACCTGAAGTGTGCCACTAAGAGGTGTGGTCTTACCATCAGCCCCACCAAAACCAAGTATGGGTACTTTGTGTGATGGAGCAGTTGTAGAAAGAGTGGAGAGTTTCCCATACCTGGGCAGTGTGCTTATAACCAGCTCCTGGTTACAAAGCAGAGGCCTCACTCTGAATCAGTCGAGCGGCATTATCTTTTCATCGGTTGCGTGACGCTGTGTGGAAGCTACCTGGTCTGTCGCTCTGCACGAAGCTTCAGGTCTTCTCGGCCACAGTCATTCCCTCACTTCTCTACGCTTGCGAAACGTGGACCCCCCTAATGGAACATCTTCGACGGTTAGAAACATTTAGGCTGGCCTGCCTACGATCCATCCTGGGTTTAACCAGGTTGCATTGTGTGAGGAGCTCACATATACTTGAAAGATCTGGACAAAGTCCCATCGGTGAGCTCCGGCAGGCAAGGCTGCGTTGGCTGGGCAATGTAGCCCGCATGCCCAGCCACCGCATGCCTTAACAGCTTTTGTTCGGCCGGATCGAGGGGGCTAAACGGGCGCGGCATGGGCTAGTGAAGAGATGGAGTGATGTGGTACGGGAGGATGTTGAGCTGTGTGGATTTGCCGATGACTGGTACCAGCAGTGTCAAAATCGGCCTCTGTGGAGGAGGCTCGTGAAGGACGCTACTGGGCAGTTGGAGGCAGTCGCCCTCCAGTAACAACGGACGTTCGACACTTCACGAGGCCTCAAGAGGAACATGGCCTGGCACAAGCGTCGTGGTGATGTCACCACCACTTAGTGGCGAATGGCGGTTGTTGTTGTGTATAGTGTAGTGTATAGTGTAGTGTAATAGAGGTGTAGTGTTTAGAAGTGTAGTGTACAGTCGTGTAGTATAAAGTAGTGTATAGTGTAGTGTGTAGAATATTTATTTTAGTGTAGTAAATAGTCATGTAGTGTATAGTTGTTTAGTATATAGCTGTGTAGTTTATAGTATTGTAGTGTACAATGTATAGTAGTGTCGTGTATATTAGTGTATCGTGGTATAGTGTATAGTAGTGTAGTGTATAGTAGAGTATTGTATAATAGTGTACTTTAGTGTAGTATATAACAGTGTGCAGTATATAAAATAGTGTTTCGTAGTGTAGTGCATAGTTCATAGTAGTGAATAGTGTAGTGTATAGTAGTGTAATATATAGTATCACAGTGTATAGTAGTGTCGTGTATAGAGTAGTGTATAATGTAGTGTATAATGTAGTGTGGATAGCATCTCAAAACGCTGCCTGATGATGGGGTGACCATCTTTATTCACCAGCCAGCCTAAAAGCCGCTGTTGCTGCTGTGAAGATGATGATCAGGATGATGATGGTTTATATGATGATGATGGTTTATATGATGATGATGGTGATGGTTTATATGATGATGATGGTTTATATGATGATGATGGTTTATATGATGATGATGGTTTATATGATGATGGTGGTTTATATGATGATGGTGGTTTATATGATGATGATTTATATGATGATGATGGTTTATATGACGACGATGGTTTATATGATGACGGTTTATATGATTATGATGGTTTATTTGATGACGACGATGATGGTTTATATGACGACGATGGTTTATATGATGGTTTATATCATGATGGTGACGGTTTTTTGATGATGGTGGTTCATGTGCTCTTGGTTCATATGATAATATTTTATATGACGATGATGATGGTTTACGTGATGATGATGATGATGGTTTATATGACGACCATGATGGTTTATATGACGACGATGGTTTATATGATGATAATGGTTTATATGATGATGATGGTTTATATGATAATGGTTTATATGATGATGATGGTTTATATGATGATGATGGTTTATATGACGACGATGGTTTATAGGATTATGATGGTTTATATCATGATGGTGACGGTTTTTTGATGATGGTGGTTCATGTGATCTTGGTTCATATGATAATATTTAATATGACGATGATGATGGTTTACGTGATGATGGTTTATATGACGACGATGATGGTTTATATGACGACGATGGTTTATATGATAATGGTTTATTTGATGATGATGGTTTATATGATGATGATGGTTTATATGATGATGATGGTTTATATGATGATGATGGTTTATATGATGATGATGGTTTATATGATGATGGTGACGGTTTTTTGATGATGGTGGTTAATGTGATCTTGGTTCATATGATATTTTATATGACGATGATGATGGTTTATATCGCTCCGTGACGAGATCGTCGGAGTCAGGGGTGCCGGTTGGACTACCTGTCGCAGAGGGAACAGAATCTTCCCTGCAGAACGCCTCGCCGCCAGGCTTATGGTAGCCGGGTTTGCATCTGCACCGTCTGTTTGTGGTTGTGTTGCATTGCCGCTCCTCTTCCTCATCTGTGGATGAGAGAAAAATATAGAGTAGTGTATAGTGTAGTGTTTCGTAGTGTCGTGTATAGTAGTGTATAGTAGTGTAGTGTATAGTGTAATGTATAGTGTAGTGTATAGTAGTGTAGTGTATAGTAGTGTAGTGTATCGTAGTGCACTGTATAATAGTGTAGTGTATAGTGAAGTGTATAGTGTAGTGTATAGCATAGTGTATAGCGCCGTGTATAGTGTATAGCATAGTGTATAGTGCCGTGTTTAGTAGTGGAGTGTATAGTGTAGTGTATAGTATGCAGTAGTATATAGTATATAGTGTAGTGTGTATTAGTGTAGTGTTTAGTAGTGAAGTGTATAGTCGTTTAGTACATAGTAGTGTGCAGTGTATAGTATAATGTACAGTGTTTAGCGTAGTGTATAGTAGCGTACAGCGTAGGGTATAGTGTAGTGTTTAATAGTAGTATAGTGTATAGTAGTGTAGTGTATAGTAGTGTATAGAAGTGTATTGTAGTGTATAGTATAGTGTATAGCAATGTATAGTGTAGTTTTACTAGTGTATAGTAGTGTAGAGTGTAGAGTTCATTAGTGTAAATATAGTAGTGTAGTATGTGGTAGTGTATAGTAGTGTATAGAAGTGTATAGTGTAGTGTAGAGTGTAGTGTATAGTAGTGTATAGTGTTGTGTATAGTGTAGTGTATAGTAGTGTATAGCGTAGTGTATAGTGTAGTGTACAGCATAGTGTATCGGGTGTTAGGCTAATGATGCTTCAGCACACAAGACAATCGGGATGAGTCGCTCACCAGACTCACAAGGTGAGCACTCCATGCATTTTGGTGAGCTGTTTGGATACTCCGTATAATAGCCACCATCGCAGATTTGACAGCCGGAGTGTCCCTGTTCAGCTGTGCAGTCCGATATTAAATACTCCCCTTTTGGGAGCAAAACACAAAACACACGAACACACAGACAAACGTTCAGAAATGATTGTTTTTATGGGAAAATATATATATACTCGGCTAAACTTATACTAATAGGGGGTTTCCCCTTTTTTCTGGCAACAAAAACTGACACCTTTTGCAAAGAATCATGGTTACATTAACCACAATACTTGCAGTCAAATGCAAACAAAAAACAATACTCTGATAATTTATGCATTGTCTTTGAAACTGATTGGTCCACACCAGAGACAGCTTTCTTTAGAGCCTAGTCTCATATGGTGTTCGACCAGATGACGCCGAAAGGCTAAACTTATATATATTTTCATCCTACGATGTGTAAGACCCCGCTGAGCTCCGTAGATCTTTTTCAGAATCGGCGCCTTAATATCGCAAATGATAGCAACTCAACCAAGTGGCTGATATCATTATCGTGTGGAAAGTTATAGCAGCAAAACCTCTAAATACTCTTACCGCGTGATGTTTATTCTAAACTTGGAGGAAAAAACTGGAGGACCCGGAAAACAATCCATGGGGGGGAAAGAGAGAGGCAGGATCATGGATCGAACCTACGACCTCCTGCATACCAGTCGAGGTAGTTAACATCTCCTAGCCACTATGGCGTCCCCAATTGTACCGTGATTGTGCAATTGCCATCATGTGTTTGTAGTTTGTTATCCTTCCCCTGCACCTCCAATTAGCGTGGTTGGCTCCGTACGCTGACAAAAAAATTCAACGTACACTCTGCTAAACACTTCAATACACTCTACTATACACTACAATACACTACTAAACAGTACACCAAACACCACATACTATACACCACATACTATACACCAAACTACGATACACTATACTATACACTACATTATACGCTGCACTATACAATACACTACAGACTATATATAACACACAATACTCCACTACACTATACACTGCACTACTATACACTACACAACACACACTATACATTATACTACTACATTACGCTGCACGCTACACCACTATACACTTTCATTATACACTACACCACTATACAATACACTACTATGCTGCATTGACATTTCTTTAGAACTACATTCCTCTGTGTTTGTGGTTTGTTGTAGATCCCCTGCCACCTCCGATGCGCGCGGTTAGCTACGTGCTGTGGTGCGAGAGAAGTTCAACACACGCGTACACCCACTCACAACACAGAAGCCTCTTTACAATAGCTGCACTGCCAATAGAATGGTTTTCCCCGGCTTATTTTAAGAAAAGAACACCACCACTATCTGCGAACTTTAAAATATGTCGATTGTAAAAAATGTTTTTTTACTAGGAGATGGCCAATTTCTATTCTTTGTGTTTTTTTCCAGAAAAGTCACTTAGATAGAAAAAGAATAAAAAGTAAAGTGAATTAAAAAAATACATATTAAAAATAACAAATAAAAATAATAACAAACACTTTCATGATTTTATTTTATTGTATTTATTCACTTTATTCACTTTTTTTGTTATTGTTTTTCTGTCTACGTTACTTCACCGAAAGAACCAAAGAATTTGAATTGCTGCAGTCACGAAAGTTTTAAGTACAAATTTAGGGCCAATTCCCCTCACCTGCTTCGCACTGCTGACAGCAAATGTCACCACTTGCTGCCCGGTAGAATCCATGAGGGCACTCGCCGGCTTTGGATGTCTGTGAACGAGTAGAGAGAAGGGCAATTTACAACTCAAACAAAACCAAAAACTAAGTTTTATTTGACCAGGTAAGGGGCCACTGAGCTACTGCGTTGCTATTGTTCGGACGTTAGGCAACTGGGTGTATCCTCGATTAATATAATAATAATAAAAATTGTTTAGCTCGGTGAGTGTGAAGTAGGTCCCTACAAGATGAATGGCTTAACTGACAATTTTGGGAATAGACGGGGAACGCGTTATACAAGAGATACCGGTAAGCTGTATGTGCTCGATTTTTTTTATTTTAGCTTTAATTTTACCCGATGTAAGGCCCACCACTGAGCTATGTAGCTCTTTAACAGAAGCGACCTGGCCATTACAAATGATATCATCATCGTGTGGACATTCATAGCAGCAGCTAAATGCTCCATTTGGACTATTTGTTTGTAGGTGGGTGAGTGGGTGGGTGAGTGGATGGGTGAGTGGGTGGATGAGTGGGTGGGTGGGTGGATGAGTGGGTGGGTGGATGAGGGAGTGGGTGGATGAGTGGATGAGTGAGTGGGTGGATGAGTGAGTGGGTGGATGAGTGGGTAGGTGGATGAGTGGGTGAGTGGCTAACCATCCGAACAAAGATGGTGGTCACCACATAATTACTCGCGGGCGATTTCAGATTGCGCTCCGCTGCTTCTGAGGACGTATGGAATGTTCTTTCACTGGAAGGCAGAGCTAACGCCACCACCATTAATGGTATACAGAAGGACGTAGGTTTTATCTCGACCCAGACGCCTGATGTATTATTTGGAGAATTGCATCTCTCTCTCTCTCTCCTCGTGATGGCCTCATGGATTTTTCTGCGGGTCCTCCGTTTTTAAGCTCCACATTTAGAATCGACATCACCACGCGTTCAGAGTATTTGTCTGCTACTATACATTTCCACGTGACGATGATGATATCACTATTGGAACCTCATTTGCCAGTAAAAAATATGATAATTGTTTTTTTACCCTTCCATCTGGCAACAAAACTGACACCTTTTTTTTACAAGGAGTCATGTTTGCATAGACCACAATACCTGCAGTCATAATGCAAACAAAAAACATAACTCTGATAATGTGCACTGTCCTTGAAGTTGATTGGTCCACACCCGAGACAGCTTTTCTTAGAGCCTAGTCTCACATGGTGTTGGACCAGATGACGCCAAAAGGCGCATTCCGACTGCAGGTATTGTGGTCAATGCAAACATGACTCCTTGTAAAAAAGGTGTCAGTTTTGTTGCCAGATAGAAGGGTAAAGGTGCTATCATTTGTGACGGCCAGGTGGCTCATGAGTAAATAGCCACACATCAACTCAGAGGGGACCTTCCACCTGGCCACGATGAAGACGTTTTGTCTTTAGTTTAAATCGCCGGTGAAGTGTCGGGCAATTGAATTAGATGCCCGGATGACTCTTCCCATCACTGCGAATTCTCTCGACACACGGGAAAATCCACCCCTCACCTGCATCATCGACACAGTTGCTGTAGCAGCCGATAGCACCGCAACCGCCACCATTGCCACCACGACCGCCACCGCCATAGGCACCATGATCAGAGAGGGCTCGCGGCTTTCTTTTTGCCGAAATCTCTTCCCCTGTGCCGTATGGAGTTCGCCCTCTTGCGTGGTACGGCTGGTTAATTTCGTCCCTTGGTACGAGCGAGTGAGCGTGATTCACCGCTCTGTTGTCGTGAGTTGGAGCCGCCTCCGATTGGCGCTGCTAGCTGGCGTGCGAAAGAAGTTCGGAATTAGTAACATACGCGTCCTTTTACACTACGCACTATACAATACACTATATACCATACTATTATACACTACACGATACACCATGACATTATACACTGTACTATACACCATGCTATTATACACCACCACTATACAATATACCCCACACTCTATTCAATACACCACCACCATTAAAGTATACACTACAGACTTTGCGATTACACTACACTAGACACTACACACCATGCTAGTATACAATACACTATACACTACAGTATAACCTAAAAAAAACTGTATTATGAACACGCTATAACACTACACCACTATCTTGATCTGAAGCATTCGTGACTGCAGGAATCCATACTCTTTGGTTCTTCCGGTAAAGTCACACCACTATGCTATACACTGCACCACTATACACTACACACTACAGTATAACCTAAAAAAAAACCTATATTAAGAACATACTATAACACGACACCGCTATGCTATACACTATACAACTACACTATACACTACACTATACACTACACTACTATACACTTCACCACTATACACTACACTATACACTACACTATACACTACACTATACACGACACTACTATACACTTCACCACTATACACTACACTACTATACACTTCACCACTATACACTACACTATACACTACTCTACTATACACTTCACCACTATACACTACACCACATTGACAACTCATGTCTTTAGAACTGCTGCTGCGTGTTGTTGTTGAGTCATTTGTTGGTTTTCCCCAAACCGCACGTATCCACCGCTGTTGCCTGCGTGCGGTTTGGGGAAACAAACGCACGGACATGGATTTTCAGCATCATGATGTGGACATTCATAGCAGCAGACAAATTCTCTGAATGCATAGAGACCCATGTATATACATAGAGACCCATGTAAATACATAGAGACCCATGTATATACATAGAGACCGATGTATATACATATAGACCGATGTATATACATATAGACCGATGTATATATACAAAGACCGATGTATATACAGAGACCGATGTATATACATAGAGACCGATACAGACACAGAGACCCACCGTAGACACACAGGGACCCGTATAGAGACAAATACCCAGTTAGAGATACAAATCCCGATAGACACAGAGACCCATATAGACACACAGAGACGCAGATACCCATACAGATACATAGAGCCCATATAGTTACAGAGACCCATAGAGACAAAGAGACTCACATAGACACACAAATTACCCACAGAGAAACGAGCAACATCATCAACAACATCAGCAGATTGTAAAAGAACTCACGCAGGCAACGAAACTTCAGTGGACACTTTTCGAACTTGGGTTGTTTTTTTTCTATCTTGATTTGAAGCTTTCGTGACCACAGGAATCCATACGCTTTGGTTCTTTCGGTAAAGTCACGTAGGTAGAAATAAAATAAATCACGACGTTTCGATCGCAACAGAAGCGATCGTCATCCGGCGGAACCGATACAGCAGGACAACTGCTGATTTCTTCCTACGTGAATTTACCGAAAGAACCAAAGAGTATGTTTGTTTGTTTTCTTTCCGCGGTTTCGTGACATCACACGGTACAATTCTGGTTCCCTCTTTCACTTCCTTTACATATCCGCCACAGGTGACGTTAGGAGGGGGGGGTGGTTGGACGAAAGAGTTGGTTGGTGGGTTAGTGAGTGGTTGGGTGGGTGGGCGAGTGGGTTAGTGGGTGCGTTGGTGAGTGAGTGGGTTAGTGAGTGAATGGGTCAGTGAGTGGGTTAGTAGGTGGGTGGGTGAGTTCATGATTGATTGAGTTAATGGGTGGGTTAGTGAGTGGGTGGGTGAGTGATCGAGTTAGTGGGTGAGTGGGTTAGAGAGTCGGTGGATGAGTGGATGAGGTGAATTAGTGATTGATACATACATACAGGAGGGGCGTGTTTTGCAAATGTTTACACGGTGGAATCGACGGGTGCGGGTGATGGCGGAGACCTGAGAGGCGAGTAAACGGAAGGAGTCAAAGAGGATACCCAAGGTTGTGTGGACAGGGGTGGGTGAGTAGGCGAGTTAGTGGGTGGGTGGGTGAGTGGGTTGGTGAGTGAGTGAGTGGGTGAGTTAGTGGGTGGGTAGGTGAGTAGGTGGGCAAGTGAACGAGTGGGTTGGTGAGTGGGTGAGTTAGTGGGTGGGTGGGTGGGTGAGTAGGCGAGTTAGTGGGTGGGTGGGTGAGTGGGTTGGTGAGTGAGTGAGTGGGTGAGTTAGTGGGTGGGTAGGTGAGTAGGTGGGCAAGTGAACGAGTGGGTTGGTGAGTGGGTGAGTTAGTGGGTGGGTGAGTAGGCGAGTTAGTGGGTGGGTGGGTGAGTGGGTTGGTGAGTGAGTGAGTGGGTGAGTTAGTGGGTGGGTAGGTGAGTAGGTGGGCAAGTGAACGAGTGGGTTAGTGAGTGAGTGGGTGAGTTAGTGGGTGGGTGGGTGAGTAGGCGAGTTAGTGGGTGGGTGGGTGAGTGGGTTGGTGAGTGAGTGAGTGGGTGAGTTAGTGGGTGGGTAGGTGAGTAGGTGGGCAAGTGAACGGGTGGGTTAGTGAGTGAGTGGGTTAGTGGGTGGGTGGGTGAGTAGGCGAGTTAGTGGGTGGGTGGGTGAGTGGGTTGGTGAGTGAGTGAGTGGGTGAGTTAGTGGGTGGGTAGGTGAGTAGGTGGGCAAGTGAACGAGTGGGTTGGTGAGTGGGTGAGTTAGTGGGTGGGTGGGTGAGTAGGCGAGTTAGTGGGTGGGTGGGTGAGTGGGTTGGTGAGTGAGTGAGTGGGTGAGTTAGTGGGTGGGTAGGTGAGTAGGTGGGCAAGTGAACGAGTGGGTTGGTGAGTGGGTGAGTTAGTGGGTGGGTGGGTGAGTAGGCGAGTTAGTGGGTGGGTGGGTTGGTGAGTGAGTGAGTGGGTACGTGAGTGGGTTGCTGAGTGGGTGGGTAGGTGAGTAGTCGAGTGAGCGAGTGGGTTGGTGAGTGGGTCAGTTAGTGGGTGGGTGGTGTAGGCGCAGCTTTCTTGTACCAAAACTAAGCTACGCCTTAACCTAAATGTAGCAATAATTCGGATGCGTGTTTGGCCGTCTTAAATCTAAAACTGTTTCTTTCTTTATATTTTTTTAGTTGCACAAAATTAACGGTCTTCAAAGTTATAGCTCGTCTTTAACTTTATCACGTTATCACACGGTGGTCAAAGACTGGCCACTCACTCCATCTAGTTCTTCCCCCCCTGGCTTCCATTTTATACTGCCAGACCGGAAGTGACGTCCTGGCTCCAAAAAGCAGAGCGTCTAACCAGGGGGGGGGATTCTAAACAATTGGAATATTCCAAGTCAAGTATTCTCAAACTTCAAAAAATGTATGACAGATGTACATACAATGTATACACAGAAGTAATACATTCACTTTCTGTCTCATGGCTCTTACATCACCAGCCTCTAATTGGCTAAGCAGGGAGCATAGAAATTACTGTTAACTGTACCCTTAAGAGCCACAAACTCGAAATAAAGAACTTTACTTATAACAAGAATTATTTATTGTATTTCTGCCACTTATTGGCTTTCTTGAGCCTTATTTTTTTATCTTTCATGCTGCTTTTTGTAATAGAGCTTTGTAATAGGTCGCTCTAGTGTGCCGTACTTTGTTTAAACACACACGCGATGGACAAAATCGTTGGAGTCTGGCATGGTCTCGATTATTCTTCCCATTAGCCAGGAATTTCAGGGAGCTTGACCGTCCCACGATGAGGACAATGTCTCCTTCTTCAAAGTTTCTCTTGGGCCTGGACCATTTCTGACGTTCATATAAAAGTACATATTCATGGGTCCATCGTGTCCAGAATAGATCAGCGATGTATTGAACTTTCCTCCGTCTGCGTGCAGATTTGTTCAGCCGTACACCTACTCTCATTATTTAATCTTGCAGAATGTGATATAATCTGTAGATGTGACTGCTTCTCTTCACATGTGTGTTCTTCAACAACAACAACAACACTTTGATTTATTTTAAATACGTTCTTGAAAATTGAAGGCCTTCCCTCTCCACTTCTCTCTCATCTCATACGGAAGCTTTGAGATGATCACTCGTATGTTCGTGGGATTATCCATTTCATCAATGTACTCTATGTCTTACATGGCGTTCCAATATTCAATCAAAAACAATGCATACGTGTGCAATGCTTTTCCATCTTCCAGCCACTGCCAAGCTTTCTCCATATAGGTGTAATGGGTTCAACTGAATCGCAGACGTAGACTTGGAGGCAACTCATTTATTCAGTTCCAACACACGGGATAACTTTTCCCTTAACAGAATAACAACCTATGGTGGTGACGACCAGGCTAACTACACTAGTTACAACGTAACTGCTACTATGGATCGGGACCAACAGCTTCGGTCCGGGTCCACGTGTTGGAGACTCGTTGAACGGAGAACGTAGACTAAGGGTTTCTTCCAGGACAAACAACAACCCTGGTCCCTCTCAGGACCAGGGTTGGTTTCTCTGCAGCCTAGCCGGCTCCGCCATTGGCCATGCCCACCTTCTAGAATCCTCGGAAAGGATCTGGGTCCCAACCATATTGACCACCCCTAGCCCCCTCTGAGGGCCCCTTTGTAGACTTAACTGGTCACGTGTCCTCCGGGGTCAACCAGAGTGCCATGGCCTCGAACAACATCATCCTTCGACCCGCACCCACACACCCTGTCCTGTAGGGTTGGTACTGCACGCCAAGTGTGGTGCCATCTAGCGCTATCATTCAGCGCTCACAGGGCCCCTCTAGGGCCGGTACTACACCCACACCAGTGTGGTATCCACGACGTCGCTACACCGCACGCCGTGCCCCTCTCGGGCCGGCACTGCACCCAGCAAGTTGACATCCAGTGATGTCACTACACATACACTTTGCACGACTATACGCTATGCACTACTATATAATACTATACAAGGGACCACTATACAATGCATCACTATACACTACACCACTATACACTACTCTACTATATACACTACTATACACTACACTACTATACACTATGCAACACTTTACACTACTGTATACTACTGTACACCACTGTAAAATACTGTAAAGATGTATTGTAAAAGTATTCACGTTAAGAAAACCTAATTGAATGAGAAATGTCCACGTTGAGATAATTGAAGGCACGTGCCATAGTTGGAGTGGAGGGCACTGGCCAATTAGGGGCGGGGCCGAGCGAGCATAGAACGTCCACCGGGGGAGACATTTGGTGGCTGACCGTTCGCGGAGGTGTCTCCACGTGGTTTCATATATCTTGGCTTTTTGTTTGAACAATGCGCTTGTTATGCAGAGGTTGTGTCTTGCACAGAGCTCCAGTAGCATAAGGTCATCACCGTCGCAGTTGCCAATTCCCAAGGACGCTCCTCCAGGGGTCATGGTTGTGACCGACTCTTGCGTTGAAGTCCCCCATCACAAGAAGCTTGTCTATTTAGGTGATGACGTCGTCCTGCTCTATTTAAGACTGGAAGCAGGTGGATTGCTTCACTATTCTGGCAAATCGCAAAGCGTAGAGACAGATAAGTAGAGACATATGTCTGTCTATATGTCTCTGGTTCTGTGTTTTATCTCTCTCTCAAATTTAGCATTCTCAGGAAGAACGTAATCAACCAGGTAGGGTGTTGACTGTTATGTTATCCAACTCTCTGTTGTATTACATTACATTTCTAAGTATACTAGATTTGTGTTTCTATTTCATTTATACCTGATGATGATTGCTTGTGTTGCAATCGAAACGTCGTATGCTAGTATTTAATTTATTATTTTCTCTTTATACGTCACTTTACCGAAAGAACCAAAGAGGATGACTGTCTGTGCGCCAACCAGTGCGAATCTCCGAGTCACCGCATTCCACGGAGTCAACAAAACGCCCGATTCAGCATCCGCTACCTGTAACCACTTGTGATAGCGCAGCGGTACCAACATCCGTGACCCTGGTGGGATTTGCACTGAGTCCTTGGCAAAATCTTGATTTAAAGCTTTCGTGACTGCAGGACTTCCTACCCTTTTGCTCTTTCGGTAAAGTCACTTAAATATAAAAAAATTATACATCACGACGTTTCGATCGCAACACAAGCAATAATCTTCCTTGGCAAGAGCCTGGACCGTGACATTAGCGACCGTACTCCTGTGTGGCGACCGCAAAAAAAATAGTTTCTGGCCCGACGGCATCTCCACACAGCCCTGATCAATGAGGATCTTAAGGGGCATTTTGCTTAAGAAATTCGTGCCTAAAAGGCAGGGCACCACCAGCGTCCACGAGATCAGTACCGGCCCAACAACTGCAATTTTGCCAATCTCGACGCGGGCATCTACTTGCCCTATAATCCCCATACTACCACCATTTGCCGCAATGCACGCATCCAGTACTGGCCGAACAAGTCAGTCCCTGATCGGTAACAGGTCAAAAATCACGTCCGATGTAATGGTAGCGGAAGCACCCGCATCAACCAACACACGCACCTCATTTTCCTGAACAGAACCCGAAACCGCCGAGGCCCCTGCAGTGGAAGCGATCACCCGATGCGCTAACTTCCTCCACAGTGTCCCGGACCTAGGCCACCCCTGTCTAAATAAGCCTTGCCACCAGAGGTCGCAACCAGGTACCCGATACCTGTACCCTACCCGATACCCGGCTACCCGTACTCGGCCGGGTAAGGGTACCCGTTTGCGACCCTGGTGCGGCCGGGTACGGGTAGGCCGTGAGTCACTGGTGAGTAACCGTTTGTCACTCATTTCCCAACGTCTTGTCTCTTCTCACAATTCAAGTTCCTAGAATCAACCCACCCGCGCCTGCAACATGGCTTCATCCCAGAGGTCGCAATAGGGTACCCGATACCCGTACCCTACCCGTACCCGGCCGGGTACGGGTAGGGTACGGGTACGGCCGGGTACGGGTACGGGTATCCATTTGCGACCCTGGTGCGGCCGGGTACGGATACGGGTAAGGAATCAAACCCCTTTTGCGACCTCTGCTTGCCACCCGGCGGCAAAATGAGTGCGATGCGAGGTGGCGATGACTTCTGTAAGCCTAGATGCCTGAGATTGTTACACGGGCCCAGTGTCTGATATGTCATGACTCGCCTGTTGGGGATGGGGAGCAGTCGTCGATGGAGCTGGGGACACCGGAGACGTCGTCGGGGCCCGATGCAGACTCTGGCATCCCCGCATGAAGTGCCCCGGCTGGCCGCAACGGAAGCAGGTAAGCGAGGCCCTCCATAGCAGATGATCCTCCTCCGCGCGTGGCCTCCAGTCCCTTGTCCGCTTCGGCACCTCTCTCCGTCTGCGACAACACGCCGGGACCGCGGCTGCAACGTCCCCCTCCACCTATCAGGTTCAATGCCGGCTGAACCGTGGCATTCCGTGGTGACCACTAAAACCAGCTCGCTGTTAAATTTCGATTTAAAGCTTTCGTGACTGCAGGGATTCATCTTCTTGGTTCTTTCGGTAAAGTCACGTAGAAGGGAAATAATACAGGTAGGAACAATGTTCCACACTGCCCACCAGGGATTAATTGTCTGTCTGTCTGACTGTCTGTCGTGCATAAATAAATATATAATACACACAGCTCTTTGATTGGTGGAGACCTACTGCCGGGTACGGAGAGGGGAGGTGCCTAAGGGAGGAGGGTCAGGGGAGGGGCCTAAGGAAGGGGGGAGTCATGAAAGGGGCCTGAGGGGGGGGGGTTCAGAGGAGGGGCCTAAGGGAGGGGGGGTCAGGTGGAGGAGCCTAAGGATATGGGGGGTTGGTCAGGGGAGGGGCCTAAGGGAGGGGGGTAATGGGAGGGGCCTAAGCAAGTGGAGGGGGCTGGGTGGGTCACCCCGTGGTGCCCTTATAAAACTCAACGTTTAACCTACACACTACACTATACACGACACGATACACTATACTTATACAGGTAGTAACAGCTTCCACACTGCCCACCAGGTATGAGTTGTCTGGCTGTCGTGCACGAATGCGCTGTCCAACCATGTTCCTACCTGCCCACTCCGAAGGAACGTGTTAAAATAATAAAAATAAAACAATAAAGTATAATCAATGTTTGTTTAAAATAAAAGAAAAAAATTTAGTTTAAAAACAATAGTTGTTGTATTAAGTGTTTTGTTTACATTGTAAAGCGAGTAAAATAGTTATAATATTTTGTTAAAATTTCACTTTGTTGTGAGGTAAATAGCAGGAATGTGCGGTACTGTAATGTACTAATAAGTTAATAACTTAGTTAGCTTGGCCTGGTATGATAATAAAGACAAATAGTTATGTGGTTAAGTGATTTGTTTACATTATAAAGCGACAAAATTATTATTATATAGATTTAAAGCTTTCGTGACTGCAGGGATTCATCTTCTTGGTTCTTTCGGTAAAGTCATCACGTAGAAGGGAAATCATAAAATAATAAAAAATAAAGCATTATAAAATACAATTCTCACGACGTTTCGGCCACAACGCAAGCAGCCGTCCTCAGGTGAAGAACAGGTAGGCCTCGGCAAGGTAAGGTAAAAGTTAAAAGGTAAAAACAACAAGCCTTTTTTTACCCTAGCTTTTACCTTACCACAATACAATCACTCTACCCTACCTTTGTACCCTTTAGCAGGTAAGGTAAAAGGTAAAAAGCAACGAGCTTACCTTTTACCCTTACCCCATACAAATGACCCAATTACAGGGTAATTACTAGGGAACTACTACACATGAACAAGGTTTATAACGGTAAATGATAGGTAGACTGCTTCATTCATATAGAATACTCTCGATGATTCCAATTTTACACGCTTGTTGTTGTTATTGTTGTCGTTGTTGTTGTCGTCATTGTCGTTGTTGTTGTCGTCGTTGTTGTATCCTCAAATCTTGTAACTAAATTTTTACCCACTTCCTAATGTGATATCGACTGCAAACTTGGTATACTTATGTCATACTGATGACAACACTATATTCAATCATAAAATCCTTTTTTTGATGTTATGTTTCGGCTCGGGTCTAATTGTCCACGCTCAACTGACGTTGGCTGTAAATCACCACGGCCCCTTTACGTTGTGGCAAGCTTCAGGGCCACTTTCTGGAGTCGTAGAGTTCTGTCATTACTCGTACATTTCATAAAAGCGTGTTTTTAATGAAGTTTGTTTTAACATTACTTATTAAATGGAGGCCACGGACTGCGCCACGGAGCTTTTAGCGGTAAACAAGGTACCGTATTTACCGGGTAATACTTCGCGCTACCTTTACCCTACCGGGTAATTCTTCCGAGCTACCTTTACCCTACCCTTTACCTTACCCCTTGGCATGTCGACACCTTTACCTTTACCCTTTTACCCGGTAAAAAGGGTAAATTACCTTGCCTTGCCGAGGCCTAAGAACAGGTCTTCATAATCAACGATTTTTGGGTTTAGATCACGTTTCGCTGGTTGTAATTACCAGCGAAACGTCGTACTCAAATTGTGAATGTTGTTGCTTCAGCACACCGGTGGGCTAAAGCAGTGAACTATTTGTCTTTGTCAACGTGACACATTTTTTACTGATTGGCCGTGTCGGGTGGTGGAGGGTTACGAAACATTTATAAATAAACGCGATCTAAACCCAAAAATCGTTGATTATGAATAACATTGGTCGCGAAAGCCTACGTGTTAAGAACAGGTCTGTCGGAAAGACAGCCCTTTACCGAAAGAACCAAGAAGACAGCTCGCTGTTGTTGCCAGGTTCCCCCGTCCACGTCGCCATCTGAGACCAACAGTACAAGTTCTAGTACTCTAGTGTATAGTAGTGTAGTGTATAGTAGTGGGGTTTGAGTTACACACCCAAAATCGATTCGCACGGAAAAATTGCCCAAGCTATAGGCTGGAAGAGTTGATTGCCGAGTCAACCTGTGGCTGACATTGTACGAGGCGTGAAGATGGCTGGGAGTGCGTCATCATTGCCACGTGCAGGCTGCCTGCAAGACGCGAGGCCTCCCCAGAGTGAGACACAACGGGGTTCTCGCAAACCGAGGCCCCTCCGACAGCCACTGACAAGTGACAAGCCCCTGGGCATACAGTGTGGCCACTGTGTGCTCCAGTTGTAGATATAGCCTGGTGCGCAGACCACCCGCTGACTCGAGAGAGACAATAATGATAACTCGTGATTAATGCGAGAATCTTTTAATTGTTTTAGTTTAATTAAATAATGATAACTTGTGGTTAATGCGAGCATCTGTTCATTGTTTAAATTTAATCTACGAATCGATCTTTAATTCATAAAACCGTGTAAAAACTATTACTTTACGATAATCTCACGCAAAATCGCTCCTGATAACTATTCTGTGTGCATAATTATTCGTTACGATCAAATTAATACAAATGTAATCATTAATTTCAATCGATTATAATTATTCATGAACAACACCCATAACTATTTTAATTGTACTTAATTATATTTAAAAACATTCATAATTTTAAAAATTCCACGTTGGAACAATGCATTGACAACAAAAAAATAAAATGCAACGTAAAAACGTACAGTACAGTGGCACAATGGCGGTCTTGGCCAAGAGCTGGGAGTTGTTTCTCTTCTACGTTAACGTTCTGTCCTCCACATAGGAACCTCCCCCACACCCGAACCACCCTCGCCCCCTGTGCGTTTCCGACTAAACCCGTTAACATTTTGACAAACATCTTCTTGGTTCTTTCGGTAAAGTCACGTAGAAGGGAAGTAATAAAAAAATAAAACATAATAAAATCTAATAATTCTCACTGTGAGAATTATTTGATTTTATTATGTTTTATTTTTATTATTTTATTACTTCCCTTCTACGTGACTTTACCGAAAGAACCAAGAAGATGAATCCCTGCAGTCACGAAAGCTTTAAATCGAAATTTTGACAAACAGTCCGTGTGTTTTATCCGTAGTAGTAGGTAGGCGCTTACACGACCAATATTCCCTATGATGGTTTTTATTTTGGGGTTAGATGGCGGAAAACTAACCCCAAATAAACCTCTATTATAGGCATGCAGTTTGACGTTATACAGTGGAACCCCTTGACGATGGTAGTTTGTTCCACAAAACCGGGCGTTAATTGATTTGGTCATTAAGCGAGTATAGGAAAGACACGTTGAAGGCTTAATTCGTTCCAACAGCATCGAAAGTTACCCTTTTTCACCCAAAAAACGTACTTTGTAATAAAAAAAACCGGATATTAATGCTTAAAGATACTGACATTATAAACACGTAACATTAAAAGAAATGTGGTTAATCAATGCATCAATTAATCTTCCCTGTATCTACAATAGCCAGTCGTTAACAGGGGAATGGTCGGTAAGCGAACACATTGGGCTCTATAGATGCCTATCGTTAAGTGATTAGTCGTTAACAGGGGTGCTTGTTAAGAAGAGTTCTACTGTGTATATATGCACCCACGGGATGGAGCGCGGCAATTTTTGTCCAATCAGAGCACTGCTGTTGTCTGTCCGTAAGTCGATTTGTTCGTAAGTCCCAACTTGAATCCTGTCGAATCCAAACATGTTGTACGGCATCTACACTAAACATGGGGAATGGCTTTAAAAGTTGTATAATATGCTGTAGATCATGATGCCAATGGTTCTTCATGTTCTACAGAATTAGATATCACCAACGCCATTTAGTGCGCGGCAGTTTACCTTACGACCCTCGGTCCGAACAGGCAACTGGACATACGGACAGGTTTGTTCGTATCTCTGAAAGTTCGTAACTTAAATTTTTGTTAGTAGAGGAGTCCCTGTACATATAATCGGCATAATCATCATTTCACTGCAGCTCAAAGACTCAGTCCCTACAGCGTGTGTGTGTGTGTTGGCGAAGTTAGGAGATTGTCTTGGCTTTGTTTTCCTGTAGCAATTGAGAGGTAGGGGGTTCAAGGGTTTGCTGGCCCCTTGAAACCCTCATGGACACTTGAGCAGTTTGGTGGGAGGTGTAACACTCTGCATGACCTCATCTGAAAGCATCCGAAGACTCGTCAGAGATCGTGCTCAGGCGTTAGCCACTCGGGTAAAGGGTGGGGTGACCTCAGCTTTAAGTTTAACATTAAGCAGCTCTGTTCTTGTGAGTGTAAAGATAATGTTTCTCCTTAATTTCTTATTTCTGTATAGACCCATAGAGACACATAGAGACCCACAGAGACCCATAGAGACACAGAGCTTCTATCATTGTGTGGGCTTACACCCAGCAAAACAAATAACAGCAACAACAAAAATTTAGTTGTTTATAAAATTTGAGCCGCAACATCCCCGAGAGGCGTCTTGCAGACATCAAGCAGCGGGCTCGATGATCAGATTCCATTCTCAAAGATCTTGTGCATCCGCGGATAGTTTGTCTTCAAATTCGAGAGGGCCATCCAGAATTCTCTGGCCACACTGTCACCCTTATGGAGCAGCATCGTTATCAGTTGAGATGCAGCTTCAGAGCCACCATTATTTTTTTGAGCGGTCGAGACAGCCTGTGAATAAACAAAAAAATTAAAATGTTAAATTAGCACTGTGTAATTGTTAATACAGAGGCTGGTCTTTGCCATTTCACTGAGTGACATAATACTCACCACAGCTATCAGCTTCAAACACTGTTGCTGAGCACATTCTTAATCGAAATCATCAGTGCACTCAATATGCACACCAAACGTACGTGTACGTTGCACTTCTTTGGCACCACCATACTTTGCCAAACCGCGCCAATCGGAGGTATCCGGGGGGAAGGACAACAAACTAAATACAACAACAACAAGCAGCTGTTCTTAAGAAATTAGTTCGTCAATCTACCAAGCCGTAAGCCCCGCGGTGAACAAGCACTATTCCTTATTCAATCCGTCAACTTTAAATTTGTTTAATTAGCGATTTAGTGCGATTTTTGTGCGCTTATCATGTATTTATTTATGACGCATGCACCACCACATTAACTCACGCGCCTTTGGTGGGGGGGACGGCCCATGCCAAGTCGCACGCCTTCGGTGGGAGTGAGGGGGACATTTTCTTTCGCGTTAAAAATGCCAAAAATATACACTAAACACTGACGTTACTTCTTCACTGTGTGATGTCCCCCCCACCCCGATGCATGCAGTTATTACTACTATACAGTCACTAGATGCTACCAATATAGGCCGTAGATATACTGCAGAGCGGCCGGGGAGATCAGGGGTAGCAGCCCAGCCCCAGCCTGCCAACGTGCCACCTCGGCCGGCTGGACAATCTAGGCGAGGCCGGAGGCTCTGCATGGGACTAGGCCTCACCACGCCACTCTGTAAGGTGAGTACTTTGTGATCTACAGTCGATAAAGACTGCTATACAGTCGGCATGTACTACTGTAGTGATAGCAGGTACCACTGCATTCGGTACGCACTGCTGTTACATTTTTAAGAGTAGTTTTGAAAAACAAATTGGCCCAGGCAACACCGGGTATATAAGCTAGTCTAGATGATAAAAGTGCATCATAGCTCCCTAGTGGCTTCCTAATATCGAAAGGAAGAGACCCATAGGGACCGACAAAGATCCAGAGACTTGTATAGAACCAGAGACCCACAGAGATCCAGAGACTCATGTAGAGCCACAGAAACCCACAATGACCCATAGAGACTCATACTCATATGTATGTACGTATGTTGAACTTCTTTCTGAAATTCAAGTGATCGCCTCTATTTATTTTGTTGAGTTACATTTTTTATGAAACTGTGCGATGGCCAGAGAAACTCATTTGTAACTTATACAATTGAATTGGCACAGAGATCCGCGGAAAATTTGATATTTCTTGGGATTATCCACGACTTTTGAATTATTCCCACCACTAAGGCGCGGATTATCGAGATTCTTACTGTTTTAACAACAAGAGAGATTTCGATTTAAAGCTTTCGTGACTGCAGGGATCCATCTTCTTGGTTCTTTCGGTAAAGTCACGTAGAAGGGAAGTAATAAAATAATGAAAATCAAACATAATAAAATAAAATAATATAATAATATAATAATATTAAATAATATAATAAAATAATATAATAATATAATAAAATAATATAATAAAATAATATAATATTTATTTTATTTTATTATGTTTTATTTTTATTATTTTATTACTTCCATTCTACATGACTTTACCGAAAGAACCAAGAACAATATGCCTTGAATTTCGATTTAAAGCTTTCATGACTGCAGGGATTCATCTTCTTGGTTCTTTTAAATATTTGTTTATTTTTTAAATTATTTTTTTCATTTGTATTATTTTATTACTTCCCTTCTAGGTGACTTTACCGAAAGAACCAAGAAAACAAGAGAGATATAATAAAACATCTTTGATGGGCTCACATTCATCTCGGCAAGTGTGAAGATCTCTTTCTCGAACAGATTTATCAACAGCGGCTGCACATCTCCCTGGATAGCCTCGACCAGCGCCCTTATATTTTTCTGTATGCCATCGAACAGTTGCTCGTCCGAGCATGCGGTCAGTCTACTGAAGGCCTTCTCCTTCGTCGCCACCTCGCCAGCAGGAGTGGTGCTGTATTTTTCTGTTTCATGAGAGGGAGACAAAAAGACACAAACACAAAAGTTTGCGAAGCATCGGCTGGAGGCATTTAGCTAAAAAAAATTCAGCTTAACGTTGTGGTTTTCGCAACTACATCGACAACAACAACCGACAATATCCACTAATTGGCGGTGATGTCACCAATGCGCTTGTACAAGGCTAGGTGTACTTGGAGGTCACGTGAAGTGTCGAAAGCCCGCTAGCAGGAGGTTACGGGACAGACCCAGTTGCCATGGGATGACTGACTGAGCTGACTGGCCGATGCACCACCTGTACCCCCTACTGTGCAAATTTGCTCTGTTTTAGCCGCTCCGCGCTCCGCTCATTGTTGTGAGCATCGCTCCTCTGCCCTCTGTTGTTGCTGGAAGACGACTGCCTCCAACTTCTCAGTAGCAGCGTATTTCATGAGCCTCTTCCACAGAGGCTGATCTTGACACCGCTGGTACCGGTAATTGACAAGTCCACTCAGCTCCACGTTCTCTTGTACCACATCACTCCATCTCTTCTCTAGCCTGTGCCGCACCAATTTAGCCCCACCAATACTAAGCACCTTCCTATGTATTTTGTATCATCAGACACTCCACCCCTGCAACTCCCAATTGGTAATGGGGCAGTTGTGGAGAGAGTGCAGAGTTTCCCATACCTGGGCAGTGTGCTCATGACCAGGTCTGGTTTAACAGCAGTGGTCTCACTCCGAATCAATCGAGCGGCATTATCTTTCCATCGGCTGCATAACGCTGTGTGGAAACTACCTGGTCTGTCACTCCACACGAAGGCTCTCTCGTGTAGTAGGCCAATCAGTTTCAAAGACAATGCCATACATTATTATCAGAGCATGTTTGCATGTTTTTCCACAAGTATGATGTGTGTGTGGGTTAATGCAGTACATGATGATTCCTTGCAAAAGGAACCAAAAGTCTGCATTATATTTTAACACCACCTCTTGTTTTTATTATTGCCAGACATGGTTGTGTATATAAATCACACCTATTCTTAAACTTTAATCCATTATTATTTTGGTATTTATCAAGCTTCAAAACAAACCACACAAAACAATTCGGCTTTTCGATGCGGGGACGGGAGTCAATCGTGTGACGAGATTTGTTTTGTTCGCACCGGTGTGCCTCTTACCAAGGATGGTACCCGAGTTTTGGTTCCACGACTGTGGCAGCGCTGTCTGCCGTCTCTGATGCAGAGGCCAATGAGTTCCAAACACTACAATGAGTGTTACTATTATTATTACGATTATTATAAAAGCAGTGTTTGCTAACATTGTCATTGTACTGTTCGTCTTTGCACCATCCGGCAGAGACGAGGCCATGAACAAAGTCTTTCATGTAGGCCAATTAGTTATGAACGCAAAAATGTTTATGTTATTATCACAGCATATATGTTTGCATTGTCATTGTACTCTCGGTGTTTTAGGGTTGTTCTCTGGTCCAACATGGGTACAGAGACAAGGCCATGAACCAGGCTGTCTCTGGTTGTAGGCCAATGAGTTTCAAATACAACAAAGCCATAACATCATTAGTATATATTTTTTTATAAAAGCAGCAGCCGTGTATCGTTTTGCACTGCTTTACCACAAGCGTGATGTGTAGTCGACACACAGGCTGAGATCCACTCCTTCAGCTGGGGGTAGGGGTCCTGTAGGCTTTCGAGAGCCCTCCAGAGCTTGAGGCACTCGTCCCTGTCGATGAGCTCGTTGATCAAAAAGTTGGCACGCTCCACTTTCCCGTTGATGTCTTTGGCCTCGTTGTATTTCTCACGAGAGATCAAACCCCTGCTCTCCAAGTAGTCGAGCAGGTACGTGGGGTCCCTGCCAATCCACGTCTTCAGTTCCGGCCTCTTCCCTCTGATCAGCTTGGCAGCCATTGACTCGTCCATGTCTCGAACCTCTGGTGATTAATGGAGGAGACGCCACAGTAATTACTGGGGTGCTGCTCTGTCTCTCTTCTCTCTGTGTGTGCATGCATATATAGTGGAAGATTCTGGCAAAAGTAACCCCTTACCTCTGTGGTGGTGTTGAATGCTAACACTATGATGGATGTGATCAATGCCATGGAGGGAAGGCCAATTCCTACCGGCTATACCCGTCATGGAACTTGTAGCCATCACAGCGGCCAAATGTGTGCTCTGGATGGGTGCGAGAGGCTGATAACCCCTCCACCTTCAATTCAATCACCACTAAACTACGTGCAAAAACCGAACTAAGCTTGTGCCAGAGGCTCTGGGGGGACAAGTGTCGACGACTTCTCCTGGCCAAACCCCACTTGGCAGAGCCAGGAACTGAATCTTTACCCTCGAGGTTCCTCCACAAATGGCAAAAAAACGCTGTGACTGGCCACGCGGAATGTTTGAACGCTCACTGTGGAGGAAAGGCTACCACTCCTCTGTTGGGAGCTGGAATAGTACCGCCTGGATCTCTGTATTATTCAGGAGGTCTGCTGGACTGGCTTTGGCTCCAGTCACCATGAGGGGTGGACAGTCCTCTACTCAGTGCAGGAGACTGCCAAACAACAGGGATTGGCTCTTTTTCCTAACAAAACAATGAAGGGGGCGTAGGAGTATGGCCACGAGGTGTGGAAAGCTGTAAGAAGAAGACGGTAGTAGGAGGGGGGGGCACGGCACACTGCCGGGGGGGAGGTGGGGGGCGGGGAAGTAAGCAGGCTGGGAAGCAGCAGAAAGCTGAGGATGCAGACAAGGAAGCAACAACGTAACGCAGTTATTGTTTTACCTGGTTAATAACATCCTTCCCAGCCTGCTTGCTTCCCCACCCCCCACCTCCCCCACCCGGCAGTGTGCCATGCCTTACCAGAGGTCGCAAACGGGTTTTGATTCCTTACCCGTACCCGTACCTGGCCGCACCAGGGTCGCAAACGGGTACCCGTACCCGGCCGTACCCGTACCTTGCCCATACCCGGTCGTGTACGGGTAGGGTACGGGTATCGGGTACCCGATTGCGACCTCTGGGATGAAGCCATGTTGCAGGCGCGGGTGGGTTGATTCTAGGAACTTGAATTGTGAGTAGAAACACAAGACGTTGGGAAATGAGTGACAAACAGTTACTCACCAGTGACTCATGGCCTACCCGTACCCGGCCGCACCAGGGTCGGAAACGAGTACCCGTACCCAGTCGGGTACGGGTAGCCGGGTATCGGGTAGGGTGCGGGTATCGGGTACCCGATTGCGACCTCTGTGCCTTACCGTCTTCTTCCCCCCCTTTGTTCTCCCTTCCCCCGTGCTCTAGCAGCTCACCACTCCTCCTGCCCCACGCACTCCCTACTTTCTGTCCTCCTCCTTGGCTCCCCCCCCCCCTCTCTTACCCCTCTCTTACCAATATAGCCTCTTGCTTGCAACAGCTCTCTTGCCCACTTCAGCAATTGTTTCTTGCTGTGGTTGTCCCACCTGATGACGGACGCTTGTGTTGAGCTCGAAACTTTGTGATTTAATTTAATTTATTTTGTACCTACGTGACTTTACCGAAAGAACCAAAGAGTAGGGATCCCTGCAGTGACGAAAACTTCAAATCTAGATATACATAGATGCCCATGTAAAGACACAGAGAACGATAGACATAGAGACCCATATAGACATAGAGACCCATAGAGACACAGAGACCCATCGAGAGCCATTGAGATACATAGAGACCCATATAGATACAAAGACCCAAAGAGACTGAGACCCATACTAAAACTAAACTATGTTATTATTTTGGAGTGGAGTAACGCGCCCAGGGGTTTGCAAACAGTCTTCACGCATGCGTGAGCTGCGGACAGTGAGGTCACGTCAGGGTGAACAGGTGCAGACAAGAAGAGCAACAGAGAGAAACGAACAATTAAGATGCATAGTGGTGATTGGCTGGCTGCAAATGCAGACACGGTGGAGGCGCCTTGGAGTCTGCAGATGGAGGCAATAAGCATGAGGGTCACCTGAGGTCTCTTATTGAGTGAGGGCATTTAATCTGACGAGCGGAGAAACGCAGACGGGTTGGTTGGGGTGAAGTTAAGGCAGTAGTCAAGAGAAGCGGAATCCTAAGTGTGAGTGCGCGAAGACTAGCAGCAGAGAAGCTAGCAGAGTACATAGCGAGAGGTTAGCAGTAGAGAATCTAGCAGATTACATAGCGAGAGGCTAGCAGTAGAGAATCTAGCAGATTACATAGCGAGAGGCTAGCAGTAGAGAAGCTATCAGAGTGTATAGTGAGAGGCTAGCAGTAGAGAAGCTAGCAGAGTGTATAGTGAGAGGCTAGCAGTGGAGAAGCTAGCAGAGTGTATAGTGAGAGGCTAGCAGTAGAGAAGCTAGCAGAGTGTATAGTGAGAGGCTAGCAGTAGAGAAGCTATCAGAGTGTATAGTGAGAGGCTAGCAGTGGAGAAGCTGGCAGAGTGTATAGTGAGAGGCTAGCAGTAGAGAAGCTAGCAGAGTGTATAGTAAGAGGCTAGCAGTAGAGAAGCTATCAGAGTGTATTAGTGAGAGGCTAGCAGTGGAGAAGCTAGCAGAGTACATAGTGAGAGGCTAGCAGTAGAGAAGCTAGCAGAGTGTATAGTGAGAGGCAGTAGAGAAGCTAGCAGAGTGTATAGTGAGAGGCAGCAGAGAAGCTGGCAGAGTGTATAGTGAGAGGCTAGCAGTAGAGAAGCTAGCAGAGTGTATAGTGAGAGGCTAACAGTAGAGAAGCTGGCAGAGTGTATAGTGAGAGGCTAGCAGTAGAGAAGCTAGCAGAGTGTATAGTAAGAGGCTAGCAGTAGAGAAGCTATCAGAGTGTATTAGTGAGAGGCTAGCAGTGGAGAAGCTAGCAGAGTACATAGTGAGAGGCTAGCAGTAGAGAAGCTAGCAGAGTGTATAGTGAGAGGCAGCAGAGAAGCTAGCAGAGTGTATAGTGAGAGGCTAGCAGTAGAGAAGCTAGCAGAGTGTATAGTGAGAGGCTAGCAGTAGAGAAGCTGGCAGAGTGTATAGTGAGAGGCTAGCAGTGGAGAAGCTAGCAGAGTGTATAGTGAGAGGCTAGCAGTGGAGAAGCTAGCAGAGTGTATAGTGAGAGGCTAGCAGTAGAGAAGCTAGCAGAGTGTATAGTGAGAGGCTAGCAGTGGAGAAGCTAGCAGAGTGTATAGTGAGAGGCTAGCAGTAGAGAAGCTAGCAGAGTGTATAGTGAGAGGCTAGCAGTGGAGAAGCTAGCAGAGTGTATAGTGAGAGGCTAGCAGTAGAGAAGCTGGCAGAGTGTATAGTGAGAGGCTAGCAGTGGAGAAGCTAGCAGAGTGTATAGTGAGAGGCTAGCAGTAGAGAAGCTAGCAGAGTGTATAGTGAGAGGCAGTAGAGAAGCTAGCAGAGTGTATAGTGAGAGGCTAGCAGTAGAGAAGCTATCAGAGTGTATAGTGAGAGGCTAGCAGTAGAGAAGCTAGCAGAGTGTATAGTGAGAGGCAGTAGAGAAGCTAGCAGAGTGTATAGTGAGAGGCTAGCAGTAGAGAAGCTAGCAGAGTGTATAGTGAGAGGCTAGCAGTAGAGAAGCTAGCAGAGTGTATAGTGAGAGGCTAGCAGTAGAGAAGCTAGCAGAGTGTATAGTGAGAGGCAGTAGAGAAGCTAGCAGAGTGTATAGTGAGAGGCTAGCAGTAGAGAAGCTAGCAGAGTGTATAGTGAGAGGCTAGCAGTAGAGAAGCTAGCAGAGTACATAGCGAGAGGCTAGCAGTAGAGAAGCTAGCAGAGTGTATAGTGAGAGGCTAGCAGTAGAGAAGCTACCAAAGTGTATATTCATAGGCTAGCAGTAGAGAGGCGAGGAGAGTGAGAGAGAGAGCAGGCTAGCAGTGGAGAGGCTAGGAGAGTGAGAGAGAGAACAGGCTAGCAGTGGAGAGGCTAGGAGAGTGAGAGAGAGAGCAGGCTAGCAGTGGAGAGGCTAGGAGAGTGAGAGAGAGAACAGGCTAGCAGTGGAGAGGCTAGGAGAGTGAGAGAGAGAACAGGCTAGCAGTGGAGAGGCTAGGAGAATGAGAGAGAGAACAGGCTAGCAGTGGAGAGGCTGGGAGAGTGAGTGAGAGAACAGGCTAGCAGTGGAGAGGCTAGGAGAATGAGAGAGAGAACAGGCTAGCAGTGGAGAGGCTGGGAGAGTGAGTGAGAGAACAGGCTAGCAGTGGAGAGGCTAGGAGAGTGTACGAGAACAGGCTAGCAGTGGAGAGGCTAGGAGAGTGAGAGAGAGAACAGGCTAGCAGTGGAGAGGCTAGGAGAGTGAGAGAGAGAACAGGCTAGCAGTGGAGATGCTAGGAGAGTGAGAGAGAGAACAGGCTAGCAGTAGAGAGGCTAGGAGAGTGAGAGAAAGAGCAGGCTAGCAGTGGAGAGGCTAGGAGAGTGAGAGAAAGAGCAGGCTAGCAGTGGAGATGCTAGGAGAGTGAGAGAGAGAACAGGCTAGCAGTAGAGAGGCTAGGAGAGTGAGAGAAAGAGCAGGCTAGCAGTGGAGAGGCTAGGAGAGTGAGAGAAAGAGCAGGCTAGCAGTGGAGAGGCTAGGAGAGTGAGAGAAAGAGCAGGCTAGCAGTAGAGAGGCTAGGAGAGTGAGAGAGAGAGCAGGCTAGCAGTAGAGAGGCTAGGAGAGTGAGAGAGAGAGCAGGCTAGCAGTAGAGAGGCTAGGAGAGAGAGAGAGAGAACAGGCTAGCAGTAGAGAGGCTAGGAGAGTGAGAGAGAGAGCAGGCTAGCAGTAGAGAGGCTAGGAGAGTGAGAGAGAGAGCAGGCTAGCAGTGGAGAGGCTAGGAGAGTGAGAAAGAGAGCAGGCTAGCAGTAGAGAGGCTAGGAGAGAGAGAGAGAGAGCAGGCTAGCAGTAGAGAGGCTAGGAGAGTGAGAGAGAGAGCAGGCTAGCAGTAGAGAGGCTAGGAGAGAGAGAGAGAGAGCAGGCTAGCAGTAGAGAGGCTAGGAGAGTGAGAGAGAGAACAGGCTAGCAGTGGAGAGGCTAGGAGAGTGAGAGAGAGAGCAGGCTAGCAGTAGAGAGGCTAGGAGAGTGAGAGAGAGAGCAGGCTAGCAGTAGAGAGGCTAGGAGAGTGAGAGAGAGAGCAGGCTAGCAGTAGAGAGGTTAGGAGAGTGAGAAAGAGAACAGGCTAGCAGTGGAGAGGCTAGGAGAGTGAACGGGAACAGGCTAGCAGTAGAGAGGCTAGGAGAGTGAGAGAGAGAGCAGGCTAGCAGTGGAGAGGCTAGGAGAGTGAGAGAGAGAACAGGCTAGCAGTGGAGAGGCTAGGAGAGTGAGAGAGAGAGCAGGCTAGCAGCGGAGAGGCTAGGAGAGTGAGAGAGAGAACAGGCTAGCAGTGGAGAGGTTAGGAGAGTGAGAGAGAGCAGGCTAGCAGTGGAGAGGCTAGGAGAGTGAGAAAGAGAACAGGCTAGCAGTGGAGAGGCTAGGAGAGTGAGAGAGAGAACAGGCTAGCAGTAGAGAGGCTAGGAGAGTGCGAGAGAGAACAGGCTAGCAGTGGAGAGGTTAGGAGAGTGAGAGAGAGCAGGCTAGCAGTGGAGAGGCTAGGAGAGTGAGAAAGAGAACAGGCTAGCAGTGGAGAGGCTAGGAGAGTGAGAGAGAGAGCAGGCTAGCAGTGGAGAGGCTAGGAGAGTGAGAGAGAGAACAGGCTAGCAGTAGAGAGGCTAGGAGAGTGCGAGAGAGAACAGGCTAGCAGTGGAGAGGTTAGGAGAGTGAGAGAGAGCAGGCTAGCAGTGGAGAGGCTAGGAGAGTGAGAAAGAGAACAGGCTAGCAGTGGAGAGGCTAGGAGAGTGAGAAAGAGAACAGGCTAGCAGTGGAGAGGCTAGGAGAGTGAGAGAGAGAGCAGGCTAGCAGTAGAGAGGCTAGGAGAGTGAGAAAGAGAACAGGCTAGCAGTGGAGAGGCTAGGAGAGTGAGAGAGAGCAGGCTAGCAGTAGAGAGGCTAGGAGAGTGAGAGAGAGAGCAGGCTAGCAGTAGAGAGGCTAGGAGAGTGAGAGAGAGAACAGGCTAGCAGTAGAGAGGCTAGGAGAGTGAGAGAGAGAACAGGCGAGCAGTGGAGAGGCTAGGAGAGTGAGAGAGAGAACAGGCTAGCAGTGGAGAGGCTAGGAGAGTGAGAACAGGCTAGCAGTGGAGAGGCTAGGAGAGTGAGAACAGGCTAGCAGTGGAGAGGCTAGGAGAGAGAGAGAGAACAGGCTAGCAGTGGAGAGGCTAGGAGAGTGTACGGGAGCAGGCTAGCAGTGGAGAGGCTAGGAGAGTGAGAGAGAGAACAGGCTAGCAGTAGAGAGGCTAGGAGAGTGAGAGAGAGACCAGGCTAGCAGTGGAGAGGCTAGGAGAGTGAACGGGAGCAGGCTAGCAGTGGAGAGGCTAGGAGAGTGAGAGAGAGAACAGGCTAGCAGTGGAGAGGCTAGGAGAGTGAGAGAGAGAACAGGCTAGCAGTAGAGAGGCTAGGAGAGTGAGAGAGAGACCAGGCTAGCAGTGGAGAGGCTAGGAGAGTGAACGGGAGCAGGCTAGCAGTGGAGAGGCTAGGAGAGGTGAGAGAGAGAGCAGGCTAGCAGTGGAGAGGTTAGGAGAGTGAGAGAGAGAGCAGGCTAGCAGTAGAGAGGCTAGGAGAGTGAGAGAGAGAACAGGCTAGCAGTAGAGAGGTTAGGAGAGTGAGAGAGAGAGCAGGTTAGGAGAGTGGAGAGAGAGCAGGCTAGCAGTAGAGGCTAGGAGAGTGAGAGAGAGCAGGCTAGCAGTGGAGAGGCTAGGAGAGTGAGAGAGAGAGCAGGCTAGCAGTGGAGAGGCCAGGAGGGTGAGAGAGAGAACAGGCTAGCAGTGGAGAGGCTAGGAGAGTGAGAGAGAGAGCAGGCTAGCAGTGGAGAGGCTAGGAGAGTGAGAGAAAGAGCAGGCTAGCAGTAGAGAGGCTAGGAGAGTGAGAGAGAGAACAGGCTAGCAGTAGAGAGGCTAGGAGAGTGAGAGAGCGAACAGGCTAGCAGTAGAGAGGTTAGGAGAGTGAGAGAAAGAGCAGGCTAGCAGTGGAGAGGCTAGGAGAGTGAACGGGAACAGGCTAGCAGTAGAGAGGCTAGGAGAGTGAGAGAGAGAACAGGCTAGCAGTGGAGAGGCTAGGAGAGTGAGAGAGAGAGCAGGCTAGCAGCGGAGAGGCTAGGAGAGTGACAGAGAGAACAGGCTAGCAGTAGAGAGGTTAGGAGAGTGAGAGAGAGAACAGGCTAGCAGTGGAGAGGCTAGGAGAGTGAGAGAGAGAACAGGCTAGCAGTAGAGAGGCTAGGAGAGTGAGAGAGAGAGCAGGCTAGCAGTAGAGAGGCTAGGAGAGAGAGAGAGAGAGAACAGGCTAGCAGTAGAGAGGCTAGGAGAGTGAGTGAGAGAACAGGCTAGCAGTAGAGAGGCTAGGAGAGTGAGAGAGGGAACAGGCTAGCAGTGGAGATGCTAGGAGAGTGAGTGAGAGAACAGGCTAGCAGTGGAGATGCTAGGAGAGTGAGAGAGAGAACAGGCTAGCAGTAGAGAGGCTAGGAGAGTGAGAGAGAGAACAGGCTAGCAGTAGAGAGGCTAGGAGAGTGAGAGAGAGAACAGGCTAGCAGTGGAGAGGCTAGGAGAGTGAGAGAGAGAGCAGGCTAGCAGCGGAGAGGCTAGGAGAGTGACAGAGAGAACAGGCTAGCAGTAGAGAGGCTAGGAGAGTGAGAGAGAGAACAGGCTAGCAGTAGAGAGGCTAGGAGAGTGAGAGAGGGAACAGGCTAGCAGTAGAGAGGCTAGGAGAGTGAGAGAGAGAGCAGGCTAGCAGTGGAGATGCTAGGAGAGTGAGTGAGAGAACAGGCTAGCAGTGGAGATGCTAGGAGAGTGAGAGAGAGAACAGGCTAGCAGTGGAGAGGCTAGGAGAGTGAGAGAGAGAACAGGCTAGCAGTAGAGAGGCTAGGAGAGTGAACGGGAGCAGGCTAGCAGTGGAGAGGCTAGGAGAGTGAGAGAGAGAACAGGCTAGCAGTAGAGAGGCTAGGAGAGTGAGAGAGAGAGCAGGCTAGCAGTGGAGAGGCTAGGAGAGTGAGAGAGAGAACAGGCTAGCAGTGGAGAGGCTAGGAGAGTGAGAGAGAGAACAGGCTAGCAGTGGAGAGGCTAGGAGAGTGAGTGAGAGAACAGGCTAGCAGTGGAGAGGCTAGGAGAGTGAGAGAGAGAAATAGAAGATGTTGTCCACATGAAATAAAAACACGAAAATTGTACAGGGTTGTAAGGTACACTGAGCCACTATGTAGCTTCTTTTTCAGAAGCGGCCTGGCTAATCACACACACAATGATATCACCGCTCAACCAAGGCATTTCCCCTGCATTAGCGAAGACATGTCCAGCGTGTGTGAAATGTTACATAAAAACGGGAAATGAACATCAACAATATCAACAAAATCAACAACATCAGCAGAATGTTAAGAAACTCACACGGGCAACGCAACCTCAGTGGACGCTTTCCGAACTTGGGTTGGGTTTTTTCTTTTCCGCCGTTTTGTGACTTTACGCGGTACAATTCTGGTTTCCTCTTTCACTTCGCTTGCTACCACAGGTGACGTTAGGAGGGGTGGGTGGGTGTTTGGGCGGGGGAGTGGGTTAGTGAGTGGGTGGGTGGATGAGTTAGGTGAATTGATGGGTGAGTGAGTGGGTTAGTGGATGGGTGAGTGGGTTGGTGAGTGATTGATTTAGTAGGTGGGTGGGTGAGTGGGTTGGTGAGTGATTGATTTAGTGGGTGAGTGAGTGGGTGGGTGAGTGAGTGGGTTGGTGAATGGGTGAGTAGGTGGGTGGGTGGGTGAGTGGGTTAGTGAATGGGTTCGTGAGTGAGTTGGTGAGTGAGTTATTGGGTGGGTGAGTGAGTGGGTTGGTGAGTGGTTGTGTGGATCGGTAAGTGAGTCATTGAGTGGGTAGGTGGGTGTGTGAGTGAGTGGGTTAGTGAGTGAGTGGGTTAGTGAGTGGGTGAGTGAGTGATTGAGCGAGTGAGTGTTGTCTGATTGGATTCCTCTGTAATTGTGAAAGACCCCCTGGGAGATTTTTGATCTTCCACCAAGCTGCTGCCCACGCTTCCACCCCTAAACCAGCATCATCCACAGACTGCACAGCCCATGGCAGCAGCAGCAGCAGCGGTTGAAGCCCCTGGTGTAAAATTGGCCTACACCAGAGAAAGCCTTCTGTAGCTCGACCAGAGCTCTGAGTGCTCTGACAGCTTTGCATTGTCCTTGTACTGTTCACCTTTTGGCGTTGGTCTCTGGTCTCACACTCGCACAGAGACAAGGACATACAGAAGAAGGTCTCTGGTGTAGGCCGATCAGTTACAAAGACAATGAATATAACATAATTATTACCAGAGCATGGTTTGTTTGCATGTTGACCACACGTACTGTGTGGTTAATGCAGACTTGATGATGCCTTGCAAGAACCATATCTGTTTGGTAGTTTGAACATCTTCACACAACTGCTGTTTTAGTGTCTAGTTTTATATTTATATAGCACCTTTATGCAAGGCGATTTGCAGGGGTTATGAGTGGTACAATGAGGGTAACTAATGGTGATTTGGTGAAAAGGGATGGGGTATGGGGAGGGAGGTTTAGTGGGTAACGGGAATTAGGCTGGGTACCTTGGGATGGAGGGAAGGATGGGAGAGGTGGGGGGGGGTGTCTTGAGGGAGGCAGAAAAACTCGACAGGGAGCGGTGCTCGCTTCACGCGGAGGGGAAGTTCGTTCCGGTACAAGGGGACAAGTGGGGAGTAGGAGCAAAAACGGTGGATCGTGCACAATGAGAAGGGGGAACGGTGAGGGAGCGGAAGGAGAGGTTTCGAATAGATAAAACGAGACGAGGGGAAGCGAGGTAAAGGTGGGGGCAAGGCAGTGGAGAGATTTACAAAGTAGCGTAAGGATCTTGAACAGACACCGGTAGTAGATGGGGAGCCCGGTGCATTTGTCGAAGAAGAGTAGAGGTGCGGGAGCAGTGTGGTCGGTTGTGGATGAGGCGTGCGGACGCATTTTGGATCTGTTGCAGTGGAATGAATGCATGGGCTGGGAGGCCGAGTCGGAGAGAGTTGGTGTCGTCTTAAAGAGGGAATATGAGTGAGCGTATTAGTACTTTGGCGGTGGGCCGAGCGATTAGAGGGCGTATTTTGCGCATGTTTACACGGTGGAATCGACAGGTGATGGCAAAGACGTGAGAGGCGAGCGAAAGGGAGGAGTCAAAGAGGATACCCGAGGTTGTGGGCAGAGGGGACAGAGGTGAGTGAGAAGGGGGGGAGGTGATGGGTGGATGAGTAGGTGGGTGGGTGGGTGAGTGGGTTAGTGAGTGGGTGGTGAGTAGTTGAGTAGGTGGGTGGGTGAGTCGGTGAGTGAGCGGGTGGATGGGAAGGTGGGTAGGTAAGTGAGTGGGTGAGTGAGTGGGTTAGTGAGTGGGTGGGTGGGTGAGTGATTGAAAGATCAGCGGGGGACAAGAGGGAGCCTGGGTTTTAAAGGGGCTGACGTCAGGGAAGAGGAAGCCACAAGACCGAAGAGAGGTGAGGCAGGCTGACTGACAATAGGTGAAGAGAGGTCCGGAGTGAAAGTGGAGAAAAGAGAAAAAATGTCTGGATGTCGTCAGTGAAGAATTTGTGGGGAAGAATTTAAAGGAGGAGATGGAGGCCTCAAGAGGGCACATTTAGAGAGAGAGAAGAGAAGGGGGCCCAGGACAGAGTCTTGGGGAACACCGGCTGCGATGGAGGAAGGAGTTGACCAGGAGTGATTGAAGGAGACCGAGGATGAGCGTGATAAGTGATGTGATTGGAGCCAGGATTAAGCAGTGCCGGAAATGCCACGATTATAGAGAGTAAAGCGAAGAGTGGGATGATGGACAGTGTCGGAGATACGAACAAACCTGGTCCGTATGTCCAGTTGCCTGTTTGGACCAAGAGTCATAAGTTCAAAGATGGCGGCGATTGCTTGGTGTCATTGCGCGGCATTCCCAGCATTTCTGCCTGTGCGGTTCACTATGACTTCCTCTGTGCATTTCACGAACAATCATCAACCTCCATTGTGTCTAAGAAGCGTGTGAAGGATGAGATCACAGAGCAAACCAAAGGGTTCAACACCAAGCAGCTGGCTCAAGGTTTCACCACGATTGAGAAGGCGCTGGCTTGTTTTGAGTCTCAGGACCATAAGACTGAAAGGTTTACTAAAGTGGCAGCAGCTGTTCATGATGTTATTAACTGTTATGAGTTGATTTATGAAGATACCTCTGCTTGGCCAGTGCCCTCCACTCCAACTGTGGCACGTGCCTTCAATTATCTCAACGTGTACATTTCACTGTCCAGTCCACAGCACCCACAGCCACCTGTTCCCAGTCAACTCAACGTTTGCGTGTCTATTTAATGAATTATCTATACAGCACCCTACAGCCACCTGTTCTTAATTATCTCAACGTGTACACTATTACTATTTATCTTTACAGTCCCCTACAGTAGTGTACAGTCGTGCAAAGTGTTGCATAGTGTATAGTAGTGTAGAGTAGTATATAAAGTAGTGTAGTGTATAGTAGTGTAGTCTATAGTAGTCTAGTGTAGAGTAGTGTATAGTGTGTGATGTCTAGTAGTGTAGTGTATATTGGTGTAGTGTATAGTGGTGCATAGTGTATACTGTAGTAGTACATAGTGTATGGTATAGTGTATAGTCGTGTAGAGTAGTATATATAGTAGTGTATAGTAGTGTAGTGTATAGCAGAGTAGTGTGTAGTGGTGTAGTGTATAGTTGCGTCGTGTATAGTAGTGTAGTGTATAGTAGTGTATAGTATCGTAGTATATAGTGTTGTAGTGTATAGTGGTGGTGTATAGTAATCTAGTGTATAGTAGTGTAGTGTATATTGTGTAGTGTTAGTAGTGTAGTATATAGTGTGTGGTGTATAGTAGTGTAGCGTCTAGTAGTGTAGTGTATAGTAGTGTGGTTTGAGTTCCACACCGAAAATCGATTCGCACGGAAATATTGCCCAAGCTATAGGCTGGAAGAGTTGATTGCCGAGTCAACCTGTGGCTGACATTGTATGAAGGCGTGAAGATGGCTGGGAGTGCATCATCATTGCCACGTGCAGGCTGCCTGCAAGGCGCGAGGCCTCCCCAGAGTGAGCCACAACGGGGTTCTCACAAACCGAGGCCCCTCCGACAGCCGCTGACAAGTGACAAGCCCCTGGGCATACAGTGTGGCCACTGTGTGCTCCAGTTGTAGATCTAGCCTGGCGCGCAGACCACCCGCTGACTGGAGAGAGACAATAATGATAACTCGTGATTGATGCGAGAATCTTTTAATTGTCTTAATTTAATTCAATAATGAAACTTGTGATTAATGCACGTAGGTAAAAAATTTAAATTATTAAAAGTAAAATAAAAATCAAATAAAAATCACGACGTTTCGGAGGCAACACAAGCTTCCGTCTTCAGGTGGAACCGTCATAGCACGCTTGCTGTATCAAGTAAATGAGAAATTCCAAGAAGAGAATCTGTTAATTGTTTAAATTTAATTTACGAATTGATCTTTAATTCATAAAACCGTTCATAATACATTTTTTTGGGTTAGATCGCGTTATTTACAAATGTGTCGTAACCCTCCACCACCCGACACGGCCAATCAGCAAAAAAGTGTCACGTTGACAAAAGACAAATAGGTCACTGCTTTAGCCCACCAGTGTGTTGAAGCGTGAAACCACAACATTTACAATTTTTGAGTACGACGTTTCGCTGGTAATTGCATCCAGCATCATCGGGCAATTCGCCAGAATGGTGAGGCTCTGCTTTTGCTCCCGGTCTTAAATAGAGCAGCAGCAGGGTAACGATCTAACCCAAAAAACGTTATTATGAATAATATTAGTCGCGAAAGCCTACGTGTTAAACTCATAAAACCGTGTAAAAAGACTATAACTTTACGTTAACCTCACGCAAAATCGCTCCTGATAATTATTCTGAGTGCATAATTATCGTCACGATCATATTCATACCAATGTAATAAAGAATTTTAATCCATTATAATTATTCATGAACAACACACATTTGTTACTGTGCATATATGCGCCCACGTGATGGGGCGCGGCAATTTTTGTCCAATCGGAGCGCTGCTGCCGCTCGTTAAGCCGTTTTCCTCACCCAATCAGCGACGTGCCCCGTCTGTGTGTGTGAGGCGTGTAATTGTGAACAATGTAGCCACATCAGAAATGAGTATAGGGACTCGTCTACTTAGGAACGAGTTAGGTTCCAGAGCTGTCTGTTAGTAAGTCGATTTGTTCATAAGTCCCAACTTTAATCCTGTCGATCCCAAATGTGTTGTGCGGAGTGCCCACTAAACACGGGGAATGGCTTTAAACGTTGTATCATATCCTGCAGATGTACATGCCACTGGTTCTTCATGTTCTGCAGATGTTAATGCCACTGGTTCTTCACATTCTGCAGATGTAAATGCCACTGGTTCTTCACATTCTGCAGATGTAGATGCCACTGGTTCTTCACGTTCTGCAGATGTAGATGCCACTGGTTATTCACGTTCTGTAGATGTAGATGTCACTGGTTCACATTCTGTAGATGTAGATGCCACTGGTTCTTCGTGTTCTGCAGATGTAGATGCCACCACCGCCATCTTTTGCACGGCGGTTGAATTTACGACCCTCGGTACGAACAGGAAACTGGACATACGGACAGGTTTGTTCGTATCTCTGAAAGTTCATAAGTAGAATGTTCATAAGTAGAGGAGTCTTTGTCCATATGTAATAAAGGTCGTTGAGGCGACGTCTGGAATCCGTCTTTTATTCAACTTGTATTACAGCTTTCCTTCACACTGTTGACAGGCAGCGTGAGAGGGACAGATAGAGAGAGACGCACTGCCACGTGGCAACCCGGAGCCCCACTCCCGTGTGGCCCCCTTTCTCCGTTCGTTCCCGTTCTGACCACGTGTCGTTCGTCTCCACCCCTATTTAATACCCGGGTCACGTGGTACGTTTCCACCAATCCTGGTTAGCCTCCATGGAATATTCCAGGCTCCCTCGTAAGCTCCCGGGACCACGCCCCTGACTCATCTCCCCATTGGCTGTGGCCAAAGCCAGCAGAACCAATCCTTACAGCTGTCACCTTTCCATTACGTCAGGGCCACGCCCCTAGGCTTCCCCCCCATTGGCTATAGACCAGGACCGGCAGAGCCAATCATCATGACGAGTTGTGATATGTCAAAGACCCGGATATAACCTCACATTACACATATAATCAGCATAATCATCGTTTCATTGCGGATCAAAGACTTAGTCCCTACAAGGCGCGTGTGTGTCTGTTGGTGAAGTTAGGAGATTGTCTTGGCTTTGTTTTCCTTTAGCAATTGAGAGGTAGGTGTTCAAGGGTTTGCTGGCCTCTTGAAACCCCCAGGGACACTTGAGCAGTGTGTTGGGAGGTATAACATTCTGCATGATGGTGTATATATTGTGATAAAATGTTATTAATACAACTTGCCCTAACATCCACCAAATCTTACCATCAGAATTAATATAAAAGTGCCCATGCAAATGTACATACTCATCAATCCGTACTGGATGATCATAAAAGCATCAATGGTCAAATCTCAGGATCACGTGATTAAACCTAAATGATAGGCAACACCTCAAAGTAGAAATATTCGCACAGAATTAGTTCTCACCAAATGCATATCCAATATCTAGAAAACGTCCACGATCGGATAAAACAATAACGTTATTAAAATAAAACAATAAGCTGTCTCGTGGTAACGCGACCATACACAATTGCCGTGTTGCGGTGTGTGAGGGGTGCAAGCTGAGATTCGTCTTGGCCCACAACCTGTACAAGATACAGTTACAAATAGTGAGTGTAAAGTTCATGTTCCTCCTATTTTCTTCTTTCTGTATAGACGCATAGAGACCCACAGAGACCCACAGAGACACAGAGCTGCTATCATTACGTGGCTTACATCCGGTTAAACAAACAACAACAACAAAAACATAAATTGTTGTTCTTTTGAAATTTGGAGCCGCAACATCCCCGGGAGGCGTCTTGCAGACATCAAACAGCGGGCTCGATGATCAAGAGTACATTCTCAATGATCTTGTGAATCCGCGGATAGTTTGTCTTCAAATTCCAGAGGGCCATCCAGAATTCTCTGGCCACACGGTCACCCTTATGGAGCAGCATCGTTATCAGTTGAGAAGCAGCATTAAAGCCACCATTATTTGTTTGAGTGGTCGAGACAGCCTGTGAATAAACATATCAAAAATAAAAACGTTAAATTAGCATCACCTGATGACGATTGCTTGCGTTGCAATCGAAACGTTGTGATATTTCTTAATTATTTTTCTATCTACGTGGCTTTACCGAAAGACCCAAAGATTAGCATTGCGTAATTGTTAAGAGACAGCGTCTTTGCCATGTCACCGAGTGGTATAATACTCACCACAGCTATCAGCTTCAAACGCTGTTGCTGAGCACATTCTTAATCGAAATCACCAGCGCACTCGATATGCGCACCAAACGTACGTGTGTACGTATGTGGCAGGGACGTACGGTCAGGGGAGGCAGATCCTTACCTGTCATACTCCAATGAAAATATATTTTTCCACTGATCTGTGTTATAAATGTAATTTCTATATGATTCCAATCATTACGCAGAGATATTAACAGGCACGCCATTATTGCCCGCGCTCCCTACAGTTTCTGAGGGGTGGTGCAATCAGAGGGGAGGCTGAGCTCGTCGCTGCCTCACCTCTTGTCTCTCCCTGTATTTACAGCGGAGCTCCGCAAATTTGGCGATTTTGACTATAGAAATGATTGGAATCGTACAGAAATGACGTAGCACAAATCAGTGGAAAAATCTTAATTTGTATTCTTTTTTCGTAACAGCTTTTTTTATTGGAGTATGGCAGGTGAGGCTGTGCCTCCCCTGCCTCCCCTGACCGCACGTCCCTGGTGTGTGTACGTTGCACTTCTTTGGCACCACCGTACGTAGCCAAACTGCGCCAATCGGAGGTATGCGGGGGGGAAAGACAACCAACTAAACACAACAACAACAAGCAGCTGTTCTGAAGAAATTAGTTCGTCAATCGAGATGATAAAAGTGCATCACAGCTCCCCGGTGGCTTCTGAATATCAAAAAGAAGAGACCCATAGGGACCCACAGAGATCCAGAGACTCGTATAGAACCATAGAGACCCACAGAGATACAGAGACTCATATAAAGCCACAGAAACCCACAGAGACCCATAGAGATTCATCTCATATATATGTACGTATGGTGAACTTCTTCCCGTAATTCAAGTGACCGCCTCTATTTATTTTGTTTAATTTATAGTTTTTTTATGAAACTGTGCATTGGCCAGAGAAACTCAAACGTAACTTATACAATTGCATTGGGTGGGGATTTTTCTTTGGCACAGAGATCCATGGAAAATGTTAAAATTTTGGGATTATCCACGACTTTTAAATTATTCCTGCCACTAAGGCGTGGATTATCGAGATTCTTACTGTTTTAACAACAAGAGAGATATAATAAAACATCTTTGATGGGCTCACATCCATCTCGGCGAGTGTGAGGATCTCCTTCTCGAACAGCTTCGTCAACACCGGCCTCATCTCCCTCGATAGCCTCGACCAGCGGCGTCATATTTGTCGTTATGCCATCGAGCAGTTGCTCGTCCGAGCACGCAGTCAGTCTCCTGAAGGCCTCCTCATTCGCCGCCACCTCGCCACCAGGAGCGGTGCTGCATTGAACGTTCGCGTCAGGTCCCGGAGCTTTTTCTGTTTCATAAGAGAGAAACAAATACACAAACACAAACAAAAGTTTGGGAAGCATCGGCCAGAGGCATTTAGATTATTTTTTGCAGATTAACGTTTTGTGGTTTTTGCAACTACATTGAAAACGACAACCGACATTCTCCACTTAGTGGCGGTGACGGCAGCATGCCGCTTGTGCCAGGCTAAGTGCACTTTAAGGCCACGTGAAGTGTCGAATGCCCGCTGGCAGAAGGTCATGGGACAGACCCAGTTGCCATGGGTTGACTGAGTTGACTGGCAGATGCACCACCTGTGCCCCTACTCTGCCAACTTGCGCTCCGCTCGTTGTTGTGAGCGTCGCTCCTCTGCCCTCCATTGTTGCTGGAGGGCGACTGCCTCCAACTGACCAGTAGCATCAGCAGTGTCCTTCACGAGCCTCCTCCAAAGAGGCCGATCTTGACACCGCTGGTACCGGTAATTGGCAAATCCACTCAACTCCACGTCCTCTTGTACCACCATCACTCCATCTCTCCTCTAGCCTATGCCGTGCAAATTTAGCCCCACCAAAACTAAGCACCTCCCTGGGTATTTTATACCATCAGACACTCCACCGCCACAACTCCCAATTGGTGATAGGGCAGTTGTGGAGAGAGTGCAGAGTTTCCCATAACTGGGCAGTGTGCTCATGACCGGCTCTGGTTTGACAGCAGAGGTCTCACTCCGAATCAGTCGAGCAGCATTATCTTGTCATCGGCTGCGTAGCGCTGTGTTGAAACTACTTGGTCTGTCACTCCACACGAAGCTTCGGGTTTTCTTTGCTACGGTCATGCCCTCCCTTCTCTATGCTTGTGTAACGACATAAATGGGTCGTTCTATGGCACCAGTGGGTGTACTACATCTAGGGGCTCACTAGAGGGCAGGTTCCGGATGTCACGGACGTCGGGTCAGAACATGACAGTCTGTTTGTACCCCGCGAGAGCACGTGACCGGACGAGGGGGCACGGGTACCCCCAGAAGAGGGTGAGAGGGCCACGTGGTGTGGACCCGGAGCCTCCGCAAAGGATCTAGAAGGGAGCGTGACCAGGGGCGGTGCCTGGTCAAGCCACAGCGGATAAAAGCCCAGTCCCGTGAGGTAGCTGGGGTGTTCGACCTGGGAATGAAGCTACCTTCCTCGATCCTCGCTCTTCGGTCTCCACACACGACGGCCAGATGGCGTGTTGGATGTTCTGGTTCAACCATATAGTGGTTAGGAGCGGTGCCACCATCTTACGTAGTTAACCCGAAATGTACATAATTACTTCTAGATTTGAAGTTTTCGTGACTGCAAGGATCCATATTCTTTTGTTTTTTCGGTAAAGATACGTAGGTAAAAAAAAATGAAAATAACTAAATTAAATCGCAAAAAGAAAATAAAAAATAAAATAATAAAATTAAAACAACTAAATTAAATCACGACGTTTCGGAAGCAACACAAGCCTCCGTCTTCAGGTGGACCGCCACAGCAAAATTACTGTAGTGAATAAAGAGAGTTGTTTAGAGACACGTGATTATATAGGGTAAGAGGGGGGGGAGGAGCCAAGGAGTGGGGGGGGGGATTAGCTGAGTTAAACCGATTAATAGTTAAGATAAGGGTAAGTGTAAGAGAAGTGAAGTAGCCAGGGCGGACAGAACATTGGAGTGCGGATATTAGAGAGGCTCCTGGGCATAATGCTATGGGGGGGAGGGGGGGGGGGTATTGGGACACTATTGAAACACTGTACATCAAATTTCTAAGTGATGGTAGTGTATAAAGCTGGGAGTAAAATACTGAAAATATGGATATGACTGTAAACTATAAAGCAGCTAAAGTTTAACTTGGTTAATGACATCCTACCAATGATTGCTCAATTTGAAACCATCCTCTCGGTTGAATTTATGTCTATTTTTGCATATCTGGATGGCTTCATGGACAAATCTTTGGTAGTATCCAGACGGCTTACAGAGTACTTTGGTATCAGAGAAAACAATATCATGAGAACCCGCCGTGTTGTAACAATGATCAGCTATGGCAGAAGAATTGGTCCTACCGTGTTTCAAATCTGACTTGTGCTCGCGAATGCGGTCAGATATATGTCGTTTCGTTTCCCCGATATAACAGTCACCACAGGTGCAACTCAGTTTGTAGACACCAGGGTACTGTAAGTCAGGAATGACATTCTTTATGGATGGGATCAGATCACGGATTTTGTGTACTGTAGTGAATCGGACCTGGATCTTGTGTTTGTTTAGAATGTTGGAAATCTTTTTGGTAACACCTGCTATGTATGGCAACGTAATGATTTGATCAGAGTCTCAGGGGGTTGTTTCTCCACGGTAGTAGAAACAGCTTTGCGGATAGTGCGGTCCGAATATCCATTCATCTTAAGGGCCAGATGTACATGTTCTAATTCACTGGCCAGGTGGTGTTGGTCAGAGATGCAGTGGGCCCTATCGTGCAGTGTTTTGTGCCGGATGGTGGTGGAAATCAGGCTTCAGATAGGAATATGTGTGGGTGGTCTTCCTGGAGACAGAATGTCCCAAAGAGCCATTGGGCCTTCTCTCAAACAGAACATCCAAGAATGGTAGCTTGCCATCCTTCTCCACTTCCATGGTGAATTTGATGGATGGGTGTATGGAGTTAATGTGGTCGAGAAATTGGTTCAATGCTGGTAGGCCATGTGGCCAAATGACTAAGTATCATCCACACATCTCTTCCACACGGAAGGATGCAGGGCGGAAGTCTGGATGGCGTCTGTTTCAAATTTCTCCATGAAAACATTGGCTATCACTTGTGACAAGGGGAAACCCATAGGGGTACCCTCATTTTGTTTGTAGAAGGTACCATTCCAGGTGAAGTACGTGTTGGTGATGTTGATCATGAATGTGGAGGGAAAATGAACCACGCAGTGACCACCACGGAGAGAGAGGATCGTACCCATGAAAACCTCCTGCATACGAAGCGAGGTAGTTAACATGTCGCAGGCGTTGTACACACGTGTTGTACGTGAGTGGTTGATCGCCACTCACCGCCAACTTGAGGATCATTCGGACGCTGATACCTGGGCTGGAGCGATTGGAAGGCATGCGCCAGATAAGCTCAATAATAACGGTGGAAGGCTGCTAGACTTCGATGTATCCCATGAGCTTATAATTACCAATACGCTGTTCCAGCATCAGCACATCTAGAGAAAACCATGGATGCACACTGGGTCCAAGAATGAACATCTGCTACACTATATAGTGATAGAACAGTGGATGCGGGGCCATGTCTCTGACATCAGGACCTACCATGGAGCTGATCTGCCCACTAACCGTCAGCTTGTCATCTGTAAGATGTGCATGCCATTCTTCCACTCCACTGGTGAGTGTCCATCTAAGACCCCATTGAAACCCACAGTGGCCTGGTCTCAGCAAGCTGATAAAAGCTGCAAGCGAGAATTCATCATCGCAGCTGGGGTTGGCATTGCCCCCCCCCCCTCCTCCTGATGACAAGGGGAAATGAGTGAGGGTTAGGACCGTGGCTCATGCAGCTGCAGTCGCTGCTTTGGGTACATGGTACACTCCCACCAGTTACAGCATCCCACATCAGAGAATGAGGAGGCTTATCGCTCGGAGGTTCGGAGAGCCCTGCGGCGCTGCAAGGTTGCTTAGGAGATGGAGTCAGCTGCAGTAGCCCACCATCACAAATCACTCTTTAACTCCATCAAAAAAGTAACTTGCACGGCGACAGCTATCACCATCATTAGTTGAAATTAATGTGATCCAATCTCCGACCCCCAGAAATATATTTTCTGATTTTTTTTTTAGCATTTCTGTGAGGTCGTGGGGGAGGAGAAATCCCTCAGCCTGGAATATATCAGGGGTAAAATGGGGATGACCCTGCTGAGGCTGCCGTGCCTCAAATACTGGAAAAAGTAGTTACCCCCTTTTGAGGAATTACCGATGTCAATCCAGAGTCTAATACCAGGAGAAGCACCGGGCAGAGATGATCTCCCAAGTGAAATAATGAGAGATTGTGGCGTTTGTGTGCAGACTGCCTTATATATGAGATTGTAATTATAGTCTGAACCACTGTACGGGTTCTGCAGGATTGGAAGGATACCCTGGTGGTCCCACTCTTTAAGACCGCACAGACTGTATCAACTACAGGGGTCTCCCTCCTCAGTATGCCGGGAAAGGTCCTGGCAAGGATTATTCAACATCACCTTGCCAGGCACGCTGAGAAGAGGCTTGTTGAGCACTAATGTGGTTTCAGGAAAGGGCGGTCCTGCACAGATGCCATATTTTCTCTCAGTTTGCTACAGCAGAGGTGTAGGGAATTCCAAAAGGACCTACATCTCTGCTTTATTTACCTAGTCAATGCCTATTAAACCATCAATAGTCATAGGCTCTGGGTTGTTCTTCATGCTTTCGGAGTCCCTGACTCTCTACTCCCAATCATTAAGGACCTTCATGATGGTGGCCAGTAGCCACCACCTGACACAGCCAATCAGTGAGGGTTGTCACGTAAACAGAACGTGCCAATTGGTTACTAGTACAGTACTAACCGGTGTGTTGGAGAGTAAATATACAACATTAACAATCTGAATACGAATTTTCGCCAGTAATTACAATCATCTGAATCAGGCGACAGCCAGATTTGTGGAGAAATCCTCCCGTTAGGTTCCTTCACCCCCCCCACCGCCGCACGTCACACAAGAAGGGCTCACAAGTGACGCCATCACATTTACCCCTCTATTTAAGGAACAAAACGGGAGGATTTCTTTACAAATCTGCTGTCGCCTGATTCAGATGATTGTAATTACTGGCGAAAATTCGTACTCAGATTGTTAATGTTATGGATTTGCTCTCCAACACAACCGGTGTGCAGTACTAGTGCACTACACTATACACTACACTATGCACTACATTATACACTAGTTCTGTACTAGCAACTAATCGGCATGTTCTGTTTACATGACAAACCTTACTAAATTGTCTGCGTTGGGTGGTGGCGGGTTTAACTACACATATTTACGCGATCTAACCCAAGAAAACCTTTATTGTGGATGATATTGGTCGTGAAAGCCTCCCACGTGTCAGACTGTTTTACAGGCTACACAGGGGGGCATGATATTTGTCTGCTGCACGCGTCTTCGAGGTGTCCATCCGCGGAGGGGCACATCGACGTACGCTGTAGCTCCAGGAGGCCGCTCGCCGCCTCATGCTCTTCGTCCTCCTCCTCTCGGTCGGATGCCGGCGGCTGCTGCTGCTGTCGCCACCCATCTGGAAGCATTTCCGCAAATACGTCGAGCAGCTTCGGGTAGTTAACCGTCAGCCGGGAGAGGGCGTCCCAAAAGCCTCTGGACCTGCGGTGACCCTTGTTGTAAATTATATCGAGCAGTCTGGTGGCAGCATTGTAGACGCCTTCAGACTGAGCGATGGCGGTGATGTTCTGCGGGAAAGACGAAGCATTTGTAATCGATCAGCATCAGCCGACTCCCCTGGCAAGATATTAACTCCCTCGCTTGGTATGCAGGAGGGTCGTGGGTTCGATTCCAGACACTGCGAGATGTTATCTCTGTCGCCTGGTATACAGGAGGTCGTGGGTTTGATCCCGGTTTTCCATCCACATTTAGAATCAACGTCACATGTTCAAAGTACTTGGCCCCCACTATACATTTCCATGTGATGATTATATTAGCCACTTCGTTGAGCTAACATTTGTGGTAGCCAGGTTGCTCAGTTGGCCTTACGTGGTAGAATGTTTTTTTAATATAATTAAATAGTTAATAGAGAGACCATGCATACCAGGCGATGTAGTTAACATCTCACAGGGTCGGGATAAAACCCACGACCACCGTGGGTAGAGTCTGAGGCTTCACCTGAAAGAAACCTCACCACGGTCATAGAGACCGAGGGCATCGCTAAGATCACCGCATTGGGAGTGCAGTAGCAGCAGCTCCTCCAACCTCCTGTGTAGGATGACAGTAGTTACATTTTTTTTAACCAGGTAAAGCGCCAACAAACCAACTAAAGACGACAACAACAACAAACTGCAGTTCTAAAGCAATTCGTTTGTTTATCTCTATGATGCAAAAGTGCATCATAGCTCCCAGTTGTGTCCTAAAATTGGAAGGAAGAGCATATTTCAGACGGCCGATGAAGCTCAAACTAAACAAAAATTTTCTTATCACCAGGTGTAAGGCCCCACTGAGTTGCTACGTAGCTCTTATTCAAAAGCGACCTAGCCATCACCAGGCAATGATAGCAGCTCATCATCACGTGGAAATATGCAGCAGCAGCCAAATCACTCAACACGTGGTGACGTTGATTCTAAATGTGGAGGGAAAAACCGGAAGACCTGAAGGAAAAATCCACGCTACCACCACAGGGAGAGAGAGAGAGAGACGCAAACTCCAAATATAGGGTTGGGATCGAACTCACGACCTCCTTTACACCAGGCAAGGTAGTTAAGGTCTCCTAGCCACCGTACATGATGCTGTTTAAATAAATATGTATTTATGAAATGCTTACCATCTGCATTATCATGCTCATCACCAGCATTATTTACGATAGCCCCAATGAAGTCCTCGTGTGTGTGTGTATATAGCACGTACGAAAGAAATAACGCTGTCAGGAACCCTGTGTTGTGATCGAAAGGTCGTAGTTTTTAGTTATTTTCTTTCAACCTATCTACATGACTTTAAGGAATAGCTACACCCGCCCCATCAGTGCCAATTTGGTGTAGCGCTCATTCCTCGTTACACATTCGTGGGAAACTCCAAGCGAGATCTGCCCCCATGTACACGAGAGAAATAACACTGTCAGTAAGCCCTGTCAGCGCCGATCCCGGTAAGTGCTTGCCTCTCCTGCATTGAAGCCAACATGAGATTATGAGTGTATTTTGTTTTCTGCCAAGCTCACATCCAACTCGGGATTGGTGAGGATCTTCTGTGGCCGTAGCTCGTTCAGCAGCGGGTTGAGGCACGTCTGTAATGCCGCCAGCAATTTCGGGGTGCGTCCATTTATCTCCTCGACCAGCTGATGATCACTGAAATGCTCATCTAGTGCCCTCCTAATCATCTCCGGTGTCGACGACGTCTCCTGAACGGGGACAATCACGGGTTGTTCCTGGGAACAACCTGAGAGAGAGAGAGAGAGGGGGTGGGGGAGAGCTTTCGTAAGCATCGGCAGAAACCACAGAAAGGGAGATTCATCGTTTTTGCAGTTAACATGTGTTTATGGTGTTGTAGTGTATAGTTGAGTAGTGTATCATAGTCTAGTGTATAATAGTGTAGTATATAGTAGTGTATTATATAGTGGTGTAGTGTATAGTGGTGTAGTATATAGTAGTGTAGTGTATAGCAGTGTAGCGTATAGTGATGTAGTGTAAAGTGGTGTAGTATATAGTAGTGTACATGTAGCGACATCAACGGTGCCACTATAGTGTAGCAACAGTACCGGGTGAAGAGTGGTTCTGTATGTGTGGAGCCTCTCTCTAGCACTAGAGGGAGTATACCGTGGAAGGACTCGAGAGAGGTCATGGTCCCGGTGGCAGTGAGAGAGAGAGAGACCGGGTGAAGACAGAACAGTCTGGGTGGACCCGAGAGGGCACGTGACCAGACGAGGTCATAAATAGAGACCATAGAGGAGGTGAGAGGGACAAATGATGTGGGTCCTGAGTCTCCGGAAAGGATCTGGAAAGGGGCGTGGCCAAGGGTGGAGACTGGCCACGCCGCAGCCATTAAAGGCCAAGTCCTGAGAGTGATTGGGGCTGTTCATCTCTGGGAATAAATCTTCCGTCTTTGATCCTGGGTCCTCGGTCTCAAGTCTTCGTGCATGTGGACCAGGCAGCATGTTAGCTGTCCTGGTCCGATTAGTAGTTATCCTGTCCAATGTGTATATAATCAGACGTGGTGGTCACAACCCCAAGTCATTATCCTGCAAACGTTAACAGTTACCACGTGGTATTAAATAATACACGTGTTGCCTCAAAGATCAAGTGTGCACATCTATTGAACCCAATACATAATATATAGTGTAGTGTGTGTAGTGAATAGTAGTGTAGTGTATAGTGGTGTAGTGTATAGTGGTGTAGTGTATAGTAGTGTAGTGTATAGTGGTGTAGTGTAAAGTGGTGTAGTGTATAGCAGTATCGTGTATTGTATAGTGTTTGTAGTGTCGTGAATAGTAGTGTAGAGTATAGTGGTGTAGTGTATATTGCTTTAGTGTAAAGTGGTATAGTGTATAGTAGTGTAGTGTATAGTGGTGTAGTGTGTAGTAGTATATAGTAGTGTAGTGTATAGTCATGTAGTGTATAGTGTTGTAGTGTATAGTGATGTAGTGTAAAGTGGTCTAGTGCATTAAAGTGTAGTGTATAGTAGTGTATAGTGGTGTAGTGTATAGTGATGTAGTGTAAAGTGGTCTAGTGCATTGAAGTGTAGTGTATAGTAGTGTATAGTGGTGTAGTGTATAGTGATGTAGTGTAAAGTGGTCTAGTGCATTGAAGTGTAGTGTATAGTAGTGTATAGTGGTGTAGTGTATAGTGATGTAGTGTAAAGTGGTCTAGTGCATTGAAGTGTAGTGTATAGTAGTGTATAGTGGTGTAGTGTATAGTTGTACAGTGTATAGTAGTGTAGTGTGGTTAAATACGTGGTGCACACTGTAGGCCGAGGGCTAACCGAGGACAAACACGTGCGCGTGTGCAACATGAGGTTGCATGAGCAAACCGCCACCTAATTCGGAAGGAAAGCAGACCAAGTCAGCCCGGGGTTGCAAGCTGACACCGGAGGTGTTGCCAGGGAGATGTGCGATAAGGGGTGATTAATAGCCTGACAGGCGCCAGCCTGTCTGGCCCTAAAGAGAGACAAGGGAGGAGCCGGTTAATTGGGAAGGGGACATAAAGACAGGCGTGAGAGCGGAGCGAGGGTTCTTATTGCTGGGGACCAAAGGAGGAGACGTCTCGCCGCTGCCGCTCAAGCCAGGAGCGGACCTCAACCCTCACGAGTCACCGGGCAGATGATAGTTGATCCCCCCGCCCGTGACGGACGAGTGAGTGGGTCTGAGAGAGCGTAGGAGAGGACAGCGGTGGAACAGGGGTGCTGTATGAGTTGCTTTGTGCAAGCATCTGTGTGAGCGCCGCTGTGTGCGAGCCTCTGTGTGAGAGCTGCTGAGTGCGGAGCCTTGAGTACGGAGCTGCTGAGAGCGAGAGCTGCCATATGCAGGTTAGCGATGTGTAACGTGGATAGGGGAATTTGGTTAACAGAAGTGACCGTATAGACAGAGATAGGAGTGCCTACAACTGATACAAGAATAGGTTAATAAAGTGTAAGCAGGGGTGACCTGTTACCACGTGTCTGTCTGAGCGATTCAACAAGACACTACAATAGCATAGTATATAGTAGTGTAGTGTATAGTAGTGCAGAGTATAGTAGTGTAGTGGACAGTAGTGTATAGTAGTGTAGTGTAAATTAGTGTAGTGTATAGCAGTGTATTGTTTGTAGTGTAGTGGATAGCGGTATAGTGTATAGTATAGTGTAAAGTGGTGTAGTGTACAGTAGTGTAGTGTATAGTGGTGTAGTATATTTTGGTTTAGTTTATAGCAGTGTAGTGTAAAGCGGTGTAGTGTATTGTAGTGTAGTGCACAGTAGTATAGTGTATAGTAGTGTAGTGCACAGTAGTATAGTGTATAGTAGTGAAGTGTATAGTGGTGTCGTGTATGATTGTGTAGTGTAAAGTGGTGTAATGTATAGGAGTGTAAAGTGGTCTGGTGTAAGTGGTGTTGTATATAGTAGTGGAGTGTATAGCGGTGTAGTGTATAATGTAGTGTATAGTGGTGTAGTGTATAGTGGTGCAGCGTATAGTAGTGTAGTGTATAGTGTTTTGTCTGTAGTGTAGTGAATAGTAGATTACAGTTGTGTAGTGTATAGTGGTGTAGTGTAAAGTGGTGTAGTGTAAAATGGTGTAGTGTTTAGTAGTGCAGTGTATAGTAGTATAGTGTATAGTGGTGTAGTGGAGAGTAGTGCATAATAGTGTAGTGTATAGTGTAGTGTTTGATGTGTAGTGTATAGTAGTGTAGTGTATAGTGGTGTAGCGTATCATGGTGAGGTGTATAGTGGTGTAGTGTATAGCAGTGTAGTGTACGGTAGTGCAATGTATGGTAGTGCTGTGTATAGTAGTGCATTGTATAGTAGTGTAGTGTATACTCGTGTAGTGTATAGCAGTGTAGTGTGTATAGTGTAGTGTATAGTGGTGTCATATATAGATGGGTCTATATGTATGTATGTTGAACTTCTTTGGCACCACCGTACGTAGCCAACCACTGCTAATCGAAGGTGGCGGGGGGAAGGACAAAAAACTACAGACACAACAACAACAACCAGCAGTAGTTCGTGTGGATGGAGAGTGAACTTACGCCAGGGATTTCGGTTATTCCTCTTGCGGTAACAGTAGAGGTACATCGCTACTCCGGCAGCCGGGATCAAAAAGACCAGGATCACAACAGCAGCCACGGACCCAGGTGTCATACCTAGCATGGTAACACGGAGCTCGAGTTAGTGGTGGATATCCAAACTTTAAACTTCTGAAAAAGAGCTATGTAGCTCAGTGGGGCCTTACACCTAGGCAGACGCCAGGAAAGTGTTGTTATTATTATTATCACTGAGCAACGTACATCATCGATCAGTTAATCGTTAAAATATCTGTTTTTACATCGAAAGAGCATAACTGAATTGAAAACGTCGGTTGCTTCCTTTAGAGAGATTTAGCTGATCATTTATCTCATTGGGAGTTTTCATTTACAAAAAAAGCGTGTCTTTTAAATTTTGATCTTGCAATGAAACAAGATCAATACATCGGACTTTTGTTAGCGTGGCATCCGGGCTATGGAACACTTCGCCACTTTAAATTAGCCGATCTGAGTCGGGAGATACAAGTCGGCTTTAAAAAGCCCCCCATATCTTTAAAGTGACCCTTGCCTCTCTAGGTGAATCGCTTGGCCCCTGGTTGTCTTTTGGTTGTTTCCTGGTTTTCATGCATTATGCCATCGTGATTCTAGGATGGAATGCCGCATTGTACATTTGAATTATTATTATTATTACGTTTTGTTTTGTTCATTACAAACTCAATTTGCTTTAGTTAAACTGAACTTTCAACCTACATCAGTGTTTGTTGGAGGTCCGCGGAAAATGGATATTTCTTTGAATTATCCGAGATTTTTAATTATCAGCGAATGTTCCATCCCCATCATTACCACGGATAATCTAAAGGGTCTACTGTACAGTAGACAATATACACAATCAAGATCAGAGGATCTTCTGGCGTAATGGTGACATCTGAGGGAGGGAGGGAAGGGAGGGAGGAGAAGGTACCCCGCTCCGTCCTATCATCTCCACCATTAACTCACCCACCTACAAACTGGCCCGATTTCTGTCTGAGACCCTGCTTCCTTTCAAAGGCAAGTCCACCTCAGCTGTACTTAACTCAGATCACTTGATTTCTCTAATCAAGGACATCTCATTGTCTCCAACAAACTCTGGGATAAGAAGGCTCAGCTAATCGAGTCTCTCACTTTTCTGAAGAGATGCCGCGACTCTAAGGTAATACCAATCGCATTTACACTAACATCTGCTGCTGTATCCCATAAATATGCTAAATTCCTCTTGATATGGAAATTATTTTGTCAAGGCGCTCTTCCCCCTCCAACCCAGCTTAAAAATACGCTCCAAGCCTGGTGGTGTTTCATTCAGACGCTGTCTTTCCGACAGACCTGTTCTTCACCTGAGGACGGCTGCTTGCGTTGTGGCCGAAACGTTGTGAGAATTATTTTATTATGTTTTATTTTTATTATTTTATTATTTACCTTCTACGTGACTTTACTGAAAGAACCAAGAAGATGAATCCTTGCAGTCACGAAAGCTTTAAATCGAAATTTGATCCTATCTGTAAAGGATGTGATTTCTGACATGCAATATCTTGGTGTCTACAAACTAAGTTGTGGCTACGGCAGCAGTTACATTGGGGAAACGAAATTACATGTCTCGGACCGCGTTCTTGAACACAAGGCAGATCTGAAACATGGTGCGACCAATACCTCTGCCGTTGCTGATCATTGTTTTAACGCTGTGGGCTCACACGAAATATAAACACAGACATAACTTAAACCGAGAAGATAGATACAAATTGAACAATCATTGGAAGGACGTTATTAACCAGGTAAAGCCTTAACTGGTTGTGTTGTTTCCATCCTACCTACCGTTGTTAGCAGTTATTTCCGACTCTCTGAGTTACATTACCAAGTTAAATGTCTTTACATTAACGGACTAAATGCCTCACTAACACAGCCACCTCTGCCCCCTTTCGGCATCGTGGAGGTCTATTACCGATCTTGCATTTACATGCAAATTCCACCTCTAGCCCCGCCCACTTACCCTTGGCTGAGCATATCTCGAGCCTATATAGCTTCGTGTTTCGGCAGCTCTCTCGCTATATTTTTCACCTGATGACGGTTTCTTGTGTTGTGATCGAAATTTGTAATCTATAATTGTTTCTACCTACGTGACTTTACCGAAATAACCAAAGAGTAGAGAGAGGAGTGTTCACACAGCACTCCTGAATTCATCTCTACAATTATCCTATTTTTCACTCTTTTTTTGCCTTTCATAACACAGCCCAGTGTCTCGTCAAAGTGAATGGTGCACTAACTGCTCCTATGGATTCCAGGAGAGGAATCAGGTAAAGGCTATTCTATGTCAGGGCAGCTCTACACCCTCCTCGTGGTACCTCTACAATAAACGACTTCCACGACGACTCTTGAATGATAACTTTTAATTAACTGAATTTCTGAACAGCTCTGCTCCTTCTCTCTCTGGGTATTTCCCCTTTTATCACTGCCGTGGACGAGGCGTTCTCTCCGTCCCACCGTCGATGTTCACCAACTTCTCTCTCATATCCCGTCGCTGGCTGGCGGTGTGCTGGGGAGAAGAAGCGAGCTCCACTGGGGATCCGCCACATGGTTAATGGCGAGGAGAGGATGAGCAGCGACGCAGTCTGGACTCGAGGCTTCCCACACCGACCACGAGTCCTCCCCTGCCTCTGCTTATATTCCTCTCGGCTGAGCTAAGCTCCGCCTCTATCCACGCCCCCTCGTGGAACTTTCCCGATGATTCCCGAACATTCTCACTGACTCCACCCATTACCATTGGCCCAGATATAATCCCCGCTCAGGATTGGATACAGGTTATCCAATAGTGTCTGTACAGTTACCCCTTGGCGCCCACTAGATGGCACTCTCTCATTACACCTCTTTTGCGTCTACGTCGACGAGACTCACCTTGCTTTGCTTTGAAAGAGCCCAGTATGCGTGTGACTCTCACAGCATACTTTGACGAGATTCCCCTCTTCTTACAAAGCCTTCACTTTATATGATGATGGTGATGGTTTATATGATAATGGTTTAAATGTTGATGGTTTATATGATAATTATGGTGGTTTATGTGATGGTCTATATGATAATGATGGTTTACATAATGATGTTTATGGTTTATACGATGATGATAGCTTATGTGATGATGGTGATGATGATGGTTTATATGATGGTTTATATGATGATGGTGTACATGGTGTTGATGGTTTATATGATGATGATGGTTTAAGTGATGATGATGATGGTTTATGTGATGATGGTGGCTTATATTATGACGGTTTAAATTATGATGGTGGTTTATATGATGGTTTATATAATGATGGTGGTTTATATGATGATGATGTTTTATATGATGATGATGATGATGTTTTATATGATGATGTTTTATATGATGATGGTTTATATGATGATTATGATGATAGTTTATATGATGATGGTTTATATGATGATGATGATGATGATGGTTTACGTGATGATGGTGATCGTTTATATGATGGTGGTTTATGTGGTGATGATGATGAAGATGGTTTATATAAAGTTCATGGTTTAAATTATGATGGTTTATGTGATGATGATGATGGTTTATATGATGATGGTTTATATGCTGATGGTGTTGGTTATTATGATGATGATGATACAAGTACACAAAACCCATCTTGTTGGTCTAAATATGTGGATGACACTTTGGTTGTCTGGCTACATGGCAAAACACACTTTATGAATGTCTAAATCATCTCAATTCGCAAAACCCGGCCATCCAGTTTACCATGGAAGTGGAGGTGAATAACACACTCCCATTCCTGGATATTTTGCTCGAACATGGCCTAAATTATAAACTAACACACAGCGTTTACCGAAAGGAAACGCTCACTGATGCATATCTTATGAGCACGTTCATAAGTCAGGCAAAAACAGTGTCAGATGGTGAAAGTCTGAGGAGAGAGATTAAACATGTTAAAGAAGCGCTACGATTAAATGGCTACAATAATGCTCAAATGAACAGAGCATTGAATTCCAACCCAAGATCGAACAGCAATACTGCTGAAAGCGATCATGTTATTAAAACAATTTAAATACCATATACTGTGAGAGTAACTGACAAACTTGCTAGAGTTTTGGAAAAATAAATTAGAGTAAGATGTGGCATGGTACACAAAGATGAATTGCTTAAGTTATCAGCAGAAGGTGCATATCGCATTAATTATTGGACAGATGGGATGTAACATTAGCGTAAGACTAAAATAACACCAAATGCATATGAAGTACTCACTTAAAAAATTGTTGGCAGTTACAGAACATGCTTGCCAACAAGGACACTGAATATATGTTGATCTGAGTATGTCGTTTCGCCAGTAATTACAACTAGTTTCATCAGGCGACAGCCAGATTTGTGGAGAAATCCTCCTGTTTTGTACCTTAAATAGAGGGGTAGATGTGATGACGTCACTTGTGAGCCCTTCTTGAGTGAAGTGGCCTTGCTCTCCAACACACCGGTGTGCTGTGCCAGTACACTACACTATACACTACACTATACACTAGTGCTGTACTAGTAATGAATTGGCACATTTTGTTTACATGATAAACCTTACTAATTTGCTGTGTCAGGTGGTGGCGGGTTTAACAAAACCTTTATATTTTTACGCAATCTAACCCAACAAACCCCTATTGTGGATGATATTGGTCGCGAAAGCCTACCTGTTGAACTGCTTTGGTCCTCTACGCAGAACCCGTCTGCTTTGTGGAAACCGGATTTACATCGGCACAGCGCATTGGAGGTCCCGGTGCAAAGCTGGTCAACATCCTCGTCTGTGCGGGGAGACAAGGGCGGGAAAAATGTAGACAACTCAATGTGGTGACCACCACAGTGAGAGAGAGAGAGACAGACAAAAAATATACAGCAGCAGGCGTTGTCAGGGCCACGGGATGGAACCCAAGACCTCCTGCATACCAGGCAAAGGAGATAACAACTCGCAGGTAATACCACACGCAGTTCATCACATCTACGTCTATATTTAAGGAACGAGACAGGAGGACTTCTCCACAAATCTGGCTGAAGCCTGATGAAGCTTGGTATAATTACTGGCGATATGTCATGGTATTCAGATTGTAAATGTTATGGCTTGGCTCTAAAACACACCGGTGTGCTGTACTAGTACACTACAATATACACTACACTACCATACACTACACTACTATACACTACACTACTATACACTACACTACTATACACTACACTATACACTACTATACACTACACTATACACTACTATACACTACACTAATAACACAACTATACACTACACTAAACACTACTATACACCACACTATACACTAGTGCTGTACTAGTAACAAATTGGCACGTTCTGTTTACGTAACAAACCTTACTAATCGGCTGTGTCGGGTGGTGGCAGGTTTAACGACACAACATTTATATATTCACGCGATCTAACCCAAAAAAAACCTGTTTTATGGGGTTTGAACAATTTTACATTTTCCGTTCTTTCCGAGCCCAGAGAATTGATTGAGGAGTGCTGGAGGTGCTGGTGGTGGTGTTGGTGAAGCTGCTTGGTAAAACTCCGTGGTCATCCAACCCCAGATTTCCTGCCACCTCACGATGAGCCACAGTTGGCTATGCACAATGTGAAAGAAGTTCAACATACATACACTACACCATTATTCTTTGGTTCTTTCGGTTAAGTCACGTCTAAAGATAAAATAATAAATTAAAATAATAGCATATTACTACGTTTCGATTGCAACACAAGCAATCATCAGCAGGCATAAAAGAAATAGCAACACCAATCTAACTAGAAAACTATAGACAGACATACAAGCAGACAGACATCACAAGGACACACAGAGAGAGGACACATATCGGCACAAAGAGAGGGGTCGTTTCTGTGACGGTCCCTTAAATATATACACCATACACTACACCATACACTACACCACAGACTCCACTATTCACGATACTATTCACTACACTATTCACTACACAATAAACTACACGATACACTACACTACACCATGCACTACACTACACACTTCACCATATACTACACCATACACTACTATAAACTGCACTACACTGCACCATACACTACACTATTCACTAAACTATACACTACACTATACACTACACTATTCACTAAACTGTACACTGTACCATACACTACACTATTCACTTTTCTTTACACTACACCACTATACACTACTATACACTACACTACTATACAATACACGACACAACTCTAAACTACACTACTTTCTACAACACCACTACATTACTATACACTACACTGCTATACACTACTACACACTACACTACTATACAGTACTGCATACTACTACACACTACAATACACTACTATAGACTACACTACTATACACTACTACACGCTACACTACTATACACTAAAACATACTACACTACTACACACTGCACCACTATACGCTACACTACTACAAACTACAACACACTGTACTAGTTTACGCTTCGGTATATTTAAATCGGACATGTAGAGGAACGCCAATTCTCATTGATAAAGACGCGAGGGAAGTGGTTGTTACCTTCCTCACATTTCTTGCATTTCCAACATCCTGGTAGGTAGTTTTCTACGGCCGTGTAGTATCCGTTAGGACATTCCCGACAGGTCGTGGGGCCGTTGTTTTCCGTGCATCTATTCTCAACGAATTGCCCTGCAAGAGACGAGAGATGCAAAAGGTACAAACAAACAAACATCATCATCATCACCATCCACCTCGTTATTCACGAATTTGGCTATCCGCGAATCGTGCCTGGAACTCAATGCGACTGACTGCATCGAGAGAGAGACATGCAGACACCAAATACAGAGCAGCAGCGCATCGTCAGGGTCAGGGAATCGAAGCCACAACCTCCTATATACCAGGCGAGGTAGTTAACATCTCCTAGCCACCGTGGCAACAGGCGTCAGGGTCACGGGATTGAACCAAAGCTCTCCTGTACACTAGGCGAGGTAGTCAACATCTCTGTAGCCACCGGGCAAGGTGAGTTAACTTCTCCCTAGCCACCGTGGCAACAAGCTTCAGGGTCACTGGAACGTACCTACCACCTCCTGCACAATAGGCGAGGTGGTCAACATCTCCCTAGCCGTCATTGCCCACAATTGCAACGCTGCTTTACTTTAATACCGTGACTGCAGGATTTGTTTTTGGCTCTGCTCTTACCTGGCTTGCACAGCTCACAGCAAAGGTCAGTTTTCTCCACGTTATAGAATCCTTCAGGGCACAGAGCCTCTGTGGGTGTCTGTGGGTGGCAGCAAAGGGGTATTAGACCTTGTTTTTTTGTGTTTTTTACGTGAGTATGTAACTTTGTTTTTATGAGGTCGTCACACTCCATCGTCGTCGTCGTCAAAGCAAAAAGAAGATGAAGATCCCCCCGTGTAGCCTGTAACATACTGTAGGGGCAAGTTCTGTTAGCGAGCAGCAGCACCTATGAAGGCTACCGGCACTGTGGCACACGAGGAGATGGGTGGCCAACACCACGCCCGGCCGCCTTTGTCTCCCCAGTGACGATGTTTACACATCACACCAGGTACTCTTGAGGCTGAGTCGACATAGGGGAGGCCCAGGACGGATTCAGATAATCATCACTGGTGCTGGCCAAAAGCGGGAATTAAACCCGGGGTCGCCGGTTCATCGTGCAGAATAGCGCTAACCGCTACACTACCGCTCACACACACAGATACAGACACACACACAGACACACACACAGATACAGACACACACACAGACACATGCTATCCATCAAACGCTGGAAAGAGCAGTTTCGAACAGGGAAACCCTCTGAGCCGTTACCGCAACATTCCACAGAACAACACCTCGGTGAGCTGAGGCATGGCCATCAAGCAGTTTAGTTTATTGTTTAGATATCCACTGGATTGTGGAACCTCCGAGGGGTTCTAAACTAAAATGTATAAACTAAAATTACTTGTCTAACCGGGTGCGGCTAAAATCCACGCAGTGAAATACCACGGGATGATAGAGAGATTCAGACTTCAAATATACAGCAGCCAGTATCGTCAGGGTCACGGGATCGAACCCACGACCTCCTCTACACCAGGCGAGGAGATTTACATTTCTCTCGCCACCGTGGCGCCCTTGATGATGATGATGATGAATGTCACCTACTGATAGCAGTGACCATCATCATCATGATCATCAACCCCTCCCTCCCTTCTCTTACCGCAGCCACCAATCTGACACAGCAGCAGAGCGCCAGCACCGCCGTGAGCATCTTCCCCCGTTCGGAAACTACCCCAGCCACGAACCACCAATTTCCTCTTCTTCTTATCATGATGATGATGATCCGATGGGCATCTTCAGTTCGTGTCTCCTGAGCAACGCACCGCGCACACCACGAGATCGCAAAGAGGCTCCTTGAGTTGTTGCTGTGTTTTCATGCCGCATGGTTCCGTGAGTGCCACCCCGTGTGTGTGTCTGTGTGTGTGTGTCTGTGTGTGTGTGTCTGTGTGTGTGTCTGTGTGTCTGTGTGTGTGTGTCTGTGTGTGTCTGTGTGTGTGTCTGTGTGTGTGTGTCTGTGTGTGTCGCCCTCCAACAACAACGGAGGGCGGAGGAGCGACGCTCACAACAACGAGCGGAGCGCCGGGTGGCTAAAACACAGCAAGTTGGTACAGTAGGGGGCACAGGTGGTGCATCGGCCAGTCATCTCGGTCATCTCGGTCAGTCGACCCGTGGCACCTGGGTCTACCCCGTGACCTCCTGCCAGCGGGCGTTCGACACTTCACGTGGCCTCAAGGTGCACTTGGCCTGGCACAAGCGTCGTGGTGACGTCACCGCCACTTAGTGGCGAATGGCGGTTGTTGTTGTTGTGTGTCTGTGTGTGTTTGTGTGTGTGTCTGTGTTTGTGTGTCTGTGTGTGTGTGTCTGTGTGTGTCGCCCTCCAACAACAACGGAGGGCGGAGGAGCGACGCTCACAACAACGAGCGGAGCACCGGGTGGCTAAAACACAGCAAGTTGGTACAGTAGGGGGCACAGGTGGTGCATCAGCCAGTCATCTCGGTCAGTCGACCCGTGGCACCTGGGTCTGCCCCGTGACCTCCTGCCAGCGGGCGTTCGACACTTCACGTGGCCTAAGGTGCACTTGGCCTGGCACAAGCGTCGTGGTGACATCACCGCCACTTAGTGGCGAATGGCGGTTGTTGTTGTGTGTGTTTGTGTGTGTCTGTGTGTATCTATGTGTGTGTCTGTGTGTGCGGTAGTGTAGCAGTTAGCGCGCTGCGCTTTGAACCTGGTGACCCGGGTTCGATTCCTGCTCACGGATAACACCGGTGACGATTATTTGAACCAATCCTGGGCCTCTCCTAGGTAGACTCAACCTCAAATGAGTACCTGGTGCGGTGTGTAAACATTGCCACTAGGGAGACAAAGGCGGTCGGACGTGGTGCTGGCGACAAACCCCGTCGTCTACAGTTTAATCCGTCATAGATGCTACACGGAGGATCTTTGTCCGTGTAGTGTTGTAAAGGACGGACTCTAAACTTCTTTATGGCACACACCGTTTATTATCTTAACACACAGTCTCCTGACCCTGCACAGCTCACACTCACTCTTCGCTCCTATTCTACGAAGGTACAGCCTTCGGACTTGCTGTCTATCTAATCTTCCCGCACACTGACCCGCCGCTGGCCCGGCGGGTCCCCGACCTCTGGTCGCTCGAGACCTTCGCCCTCACGAGGGCGGGAAGGCTGGGAGCCAGGGTTCTATCCAGGCCTATCTCCCCTGACCACTGGTTACTCTGAGCCCTTTGCCCTGACAAGGGCTGGAGGGCTTGGTCCAGGGTCTTAGCTGTCTTCAGCCGACTTGGGTCTTCGTGTAGCAGAACTCACCAAGAGCTCTCAGCGTTCCGGCTTTTATACCTGTTCGTGGCTGGGTTGACCAATCCCCAGCCACCTCATGGACCCCTCTGATTGGTCCTTCCCAATCTGGCGTTTGGATCCTACCTCACCCCATTTGACCCTAACTGTTTGATTGAGCGGGAAAACCTTGTTTACTAACTGCTCTCTCACAGCTTGCGAACAGCGAGTACTTATCACTACTACATCTGTTTAAGTGCTACTACTAACTACTACTAACAGCACTTGCCCCTACTATACACTACACTATTATACACTACTATACTACCCAATTATATACTACTATACATTACTATACACTACACTACTATACACTACAATACTATACACTACTATACACTACACTATTATACAATACTATACACTACAATACTATACACTACTATACTACCCCACTATACACTACACTACATTACTATACACTACAATACTATACACTACAATACTACCCAACTATACACTACATTACTATACACTACACTACTATACACTACAATACTATACACTACTATACTACCCAACTATACACTACACTACATTACTATACACTACAATACTATACACTACTATACACTACACTACTATACACTACACTATTATACAATACTATACACTACAATACTATACACTACTATACTACCCCACTATACACTACACTACATTACTATACACTACACTACTATACACTACAATACTACCCAACTATACACTACATTACTATACACTACACTACTATACACTACAATACTATACACCAGAGGTGTGGACTCGAGTCATGTGACTTGGACTCGAGTCAGACTCGAGTCATGAATTTGATGACTTCAGACTCGACTTGGACTTGCATAACAATGACTTTGTCCCACCTCTGAGGTGTGGACTCGAGTCATGTGACTTGGACTCGAGTCAGACTCGAGTCATGAATTTGATGACTTCAGACGACTTGGACTTGCATAACAATGACTTTGTCCCACCTCTGCAGTATACACTACTATACTACCCAACTATACACTACACTACATTACTATACACTACAATACTATACACTACTATACACTACACTATTATACACTACAATACTACCCAACTATACACTACACTACATTACTATACACTACACTACTATACACTACAATACTACCCAACTATACACTACTATACACTACACTACTATACACTACTATACACTACACTATGCACTACACGACTACACACTGCACTATAACACTAGTATATACACGATTATACACTATACACTGCACACTAAAGACTACTACTATACACTCCACCACGATACGAAATTGAAAACTAATTTCTTTACAACTTCACGATCAGGAGGCAGAACCATGGGAGGGAAATTGCTGCTATGATCACCACGTCTCGCACTCTCTACACGTGCATCGCTTAGACTCACACATAGACCTACAGGCTCACACAGAGACCCACATACTCACACAGAGACGCACAGAGACCCATAGACAGACGCGCACACACACAGAAACCCATAAACACAGAGACCCCACAGACTCACACAAAGACCCAGACACACACACAGATCCACAGACACATATAGACCGACAGAATCGCATAGAGACCCACAGACTCAGACAGATACCAATAGACAAACACAGATACCGACAGACACACACAGAGACACATAGACTGAGAGTCCAACAGACTTGCACAGAGACCCACAGACTCACACAAAGATCCAGACACACACATAGATCCACAGACACACATAGACCCACAGATTTGCATAGAGACACACACGACGACCCATAGACTCAGACAGATACCCACAGACACACATAGATACCGATAGACACACACAAAGACCCACAGACTCACACAGAGACCCACAGACTCACACAGAGACGCACAGAGACCCATAGACACAGAGACCCACAGACTTGCACAAACCCATAGAGAAACCCATAGAAACCTACAGCGACCCACAGATTGACACGGTTAGCTACGTACGGTGTCAAAGAAGGTCAACATACATAGACACAGGCCCATAGATACACACAGAGACGCACACTCACACAAATATCCATACACACAGAGACCCACAGACACACACATAGACCCACAGATTCGCATAGAGAACCTCAGACACACACGAAGACCCACAGACTGAGACAGATACCCACATACACACACAGATAAGAATAGAGACACACAGAGACCCACAGACTCATACAGAGACCCACAGACTCGCACAGAAACCCACAGACTCGCACAGAAACCCACAGACTCTCACAGAAAACCATAGCCTGAGAGAATCACAGACCCACACAGAGACCCACATACCCGCAGAGAGACCCACAGACACGCATAGAGACCCACAGACTCGCACAGAGACCCACAGGCACACACAGGTACGCAAAAACTCACCACAGAGACCCACATACTCATACAGAGAGCCACAGATTCACCACAGATAGACACAGACTCACCGCAGTGAGCCACAAACTCACATACACCAAGACCCAGACACACACATATGTCCATAAATTCCCACAGACCCACACAGAGACCACAGCGACTCACTACAGAAATCCACACAGAGACCCACAGACTCACACAGAGACTCACCGACTTTAGAGACCCACAGACCCACACATAGACTCACAGACACACACAGAGACCCACAGACTCACACCGATACCCACAGACTCGCACAGAGACCCACAGACCCACACAGACTCACAGACTCAGAGACCTACAGACCCACACAGACTCACAGACTCACAGACCCACAGACCCACACAGACTCACAGACTCAAGAGACCCACAGACACACACAAACTCACCACAGATACCCACAAACTCACAACAGATTCTCATCACAGATTCCCACACATAGACTCACCACAAATACCCACACAGAGAGAGAGAGACCTATAGACTCAGAGAGGCCCACATATACACACAAACTCACCACAGTTACCTCCAAACTCACCACAGATTCCCAGCGAAGTTCCTCTTCGTCAGGATGGAGTTGAAGCTCCAGGTGTCTCCATCCCGCTGTCTCTCTCACCTCTCACCCCTTCACCTGCCTCTCACTCTACCTCTCAATAAAGCGAGAGACAGAGAGAGACAGACACAGAGAGAGACAGACACAGATAGACAGACACAGAGAGAGACAGAGAGAGACAGACACAGAGAGAGACACAGAGAGAGACAGACACAGAGAGAGACAAACACAGAGAGAGACACAGAGAGAGACAGAGAGAGAGAGACAGGGCGAGCGTCTCCTACTTCCTCTTTCAGTTTGTAGCCCGAGTTATTCGAAGACATGGGGAGGAGAGGGAGGGGGGAGAAGGAGGGGGGGAGGGGCGAGGTGGAAGGTGACGACGCCTCGGGTCGGAGTGACCTCTGCGCACGGAAGCTGCTGCTGCTGGTTGTTGTTGTGGTGGTTGTGGTGGTGGTTGTGGTGGTGGTGGTTGTGGTGGTTGTTGTGGTGGTGGTTGTTGTGGATGTAGCGACGCTCACAACAACGAGCGGAGCACCGGGCGGATAAAACGCAGCAAGTTGGCACAGTCGGGGGTACAGGTGGTGGTGCATTTGCCGGTCATCTCAGTCAGTCGACCCATGGCACCCGCAGGGTCTGTCCCGTGACCTCCTCCTCCTGCACCTAGCCTGGCACAGCCGCAGTCAACTAATGGCACCTGCTGGGTCTGTCCCGTGACCTCCTCCTGCACCTAGCCTGGCACAGCAGCAGTCAACCCATGGGCACCTGCTGGGTCTGTCCCGTGACCTCCTCCTCCTGCACCTAGCCTGGCACAGAGATCAACAGAGACCCACAAAGATCCAGATAATCGTATAGACCCAAAGAGACCCACAGAGATCCATAGACTAGCACTGCATAGAACCATAGAGATGCATAGATACCCATAGAGACTCATTACTCATGTATGTACAATGTTGAACTTCTTTGGCACCGTACGTAGCCGACCGCGGCTAATCCGAGGTGGCGGGGGAAGTAAAACAAACCAAAAACAACAACTTCCACATCAACAAGTGTGTCACCCTAGGTGACGATGGTGTAATGGTGCGTCACAACCTTCCACGTGACTTCCTCATCGGTGTCCACAACAGTGACTCGGCACACGTGACCCTGTGCCTAACGTCACCATTTGGGGGTTTTTAAATCCTTTATATTAAGTTCGCTTGCTTGCTTGCGTGCGTGCTTGCTTACGACCGTGCAAAACTTTCGGTCGTTTTAACCCACTTCCCGTGATCCAATCGAGCTGACATTTTGCACACAGACTCGTTGTGCGAGACAATTAATGTTCGTGAAAAAAAAATTCAAAAATTTTACACTGTTTAGGGAAAACAAATTAAATATTTAATTACCAATTGTTTAATACTGCAGACAATTATCTGACCCATAGGTGGCAGCCATCTCAAGCCAGAGGACGAGAGGACTCTAGCCGCCACGCATATAAAGGATTTAGAGTGAAAAACTTTGTTTTTACGGGTTATACTTATTTCACAATTACAGGGGTGCTTCAAAAACACCGCAACGCTTCGTGAGAATTTGCAACGATAGCAAGTGGAGACCACCTAGAGACGATTCCAGGCGGTGCGTTGACAACGATGGGGAATGAGTGGGAGGCTCTTTGACTTGTTGAAGCTAACACGTTCCTGCGGGCGGAGGGAGCTGGTAGGAACGTTGGGTTGCTCGGTCAATGGCCAAGGTCAACGGCGGCGTGGTGTATTCTGCAAATATGGCCGACTGTGAGGGCGGGCACAAGCCGGCGTGAGTAGGTTACACTAGCCTGGCACAGCAGCAGTCAACCCATGGCACCTGCAGAGTCCGTCCCGTGACCTCCTGCACCTAGCCTGGCACAGCAACAGTACAACCCATGGGCACCTGGAGGGTCTGTCTCGTGACCTCCTCCTCCTGCACCTAGCCTGGCACAGCAGCAGCAGTCAACCAACGGCACCTGCAGGGTCTGTCCCGTGACCTCCTGCACCTAACCTGGCACAGTAGCAGTCAACCCATGGGCACCTGGAGGGTCTGCCCCGTGACCTCCTGCACCTAGCCTGGCACAGCAGAAGTCAACCAATGGCACCTGCAGGGTCTGTCCTGTATGTACGTGTGTGTTTAACTTCTTTCGCACCATCGTACGTAGCCAACCACGGCAAATCGGAGGGGGCAGGGGAAGGACAACAAACTACAAACAACATCAACAAGGAGCAGTTATATAAAGACATGAGTATGTAAATCGAGATTATAAATGATGATGATGATGTATAAGTGCATCATAGCTCCCATTGACTTCCTAATATTGGAAGACACCAACAGAGATCCAGAGACTCGTATAGACCCACAGAGATCCCCACAAAGATCCAGAGACTCGCATAGATCCACAGAGACCCACAGAGACCCAGATCTTCGCATAAACAGAGCCCACACAGATCCAGAGACTCGCATAGACCCACAGAGACCCACAGAGACCCAGATACTCGCATAGACCCACAGAGACCCAGATCATTGCATACACACACAGAGCCCACACAGATCCAGAGACTCGCATAGAACCATATAGACCCACAGAGATCCAGAGACTCGCATAGACCCACAGAGATCCACAGACACCCACAGAGATCCAGAGACTCGTATAGACCCAAAGAGATCCACAGAGATCCACAGAGACTCAGATACTCGTATAGATCCAAAGAAACCCACAGAGATCCATAGACTCGCATAGAATCATAGAGATACACAGATACCCATAGAGACTCATACTAATGTATGTACAATGTTGAACTTCTTTGGCACCGTACGTAGCCAGCCGCGGCTAATCCGAGGTAGCGGGCTAAGGTAAACAAACCAAACTAAACACAACATCAACAAGTGTGTCACTCCAGGTGACGATGATGTAATGGTGCGTCACAGCCTACCACGTGGCTTCCTCATATCGGTGTCTACAACAGTGACTCGGCACACGTGACCCTGTGCCTGACGTCACCATTTGGGGGGTTTTTTCACAATTACAGGGGTGCTTCAAAAACACCGCAACACTTCGTGAGAATTTGCAACGATAGCAAGTGGAGACCACCTGGAGACGATTCCAAGCGGTGCGTTGACAACGACGGGGAATGAGTGGGAGGCTCTTTGACTTGTTGAAGCTAACACGTCCCTGCGGAGGGAGCTGGTAGGAACGTTGGGTTGCTCGGTCAATGGCCAGGGTCAACGGCGGCGTGGTGTATTCCGCAAATATGGCCGACTGTGAGGGCGGGCACAAGCCGGCGTGAGTAGGTTAAACGTTGAGTTTTATAAGGGCACCACGGGGTGACCAGCCCCTCCCCACCCAGCCCCACCCCTCCCACCCCCCACCCAGCCACACCCCTCCCACCCCCCACCCTGCCCCACCCTGCCCCACCCTTCCCACCCAGCCCCTCCCCACCCAACCCCACCCCTCCAACCCCCCACCCAGCCCCACCCTCCCCACCCAGCCCCTCCCCACCCTCCCCACCCAGCCCCTTCCCACCCCCTCCCCACCCTCCCCTCTCCACCCAGCCCGACCCCTCTCATTGTTGGATGCACGACGGACGGAAGGGCACAATAATCCCCTGTGGGCTGGTGAAACCAGGTGGTTCCTACCATAGTTAACGTTACACTTGTTGTGGCGTTACAGTTGTAGTATTTAGTATCCGTTATTTTTCCACTAAAATCGATAGTCCCATATAAAGTGTTAACATCTTTTTTGAAGCACCCTATATAGGTTTTGTTCGAGTTAGATCGCGTAAATATGTAAATGTTGCGTCGTTAAACCCGCCACCACCCGACACAGCCGATTAGAAAGGTTGAGTGTCGCATAATCAGAACGTGGCCAATTCCTTAATAATACAGGACTCGTGTGTAGTGTAGTGTATAGTAGTGTGGTGTATAGTAGTGTAGTGTATAGTGGTGTAGTGTATAGTGTATAGTAGTGTAGTGTATAGTGTAGTGTATAGTAGTGTACTGTATAGTAGTGTAGTGTATAGTAGTGTAGTGTATAGTAGTGTGTAGTGTATAGTAGTGTGGTGTATAGTGGTGTAATGTATAGCGGTATAGTGCATAGCGGTGTAGTGTATAGCGGTATAGTGTATAGCGGTGTATTGTATAGTGGTGTAGTTTATAGTTGTGTAGTTTATAGTGGTGTAGTGTATAGTGGTGTAGTTTACAGTGGTGTAGTGTATAGTAGTGTATTGTATAGTAGCATAGTAGTGTATAGTAGTGTAGTGTATAGTAGTGTAGTGTATAGTGGTGTAGTGTATAGTGGTGTAGTGTATAGTAGTGTATAGTGTAGTGTATAGTAGTGTATAGTGTAGTGTATAGTGGTGTAGTGTATAGTAGTGTATAGTGTAGTGTATAGTGGTGTGGTGTATAGTAGTGTATAGTGGTGTAGTGTATAGTAGTTTATAGTGTAGTGTAATTACGCTGAATTTCTTTAGCACTGTGCGTAGCCAACTCCGCTAACTGGAGGTGGTATTTGGGGGGTGGGGGGGAAGGACAACAACCACGTGACATATATATACGTAAATTACGTTCAGATAAATGACCTCATGTGCGAATGATGCGAACCTTTCGCGGAAACGGAGCGGCGGCCGTGACACTTGGAAAAGCCCCTGTACACCGCCTTTACTGAAAAAATGAAAAGAACGCCGACGCCTATCTGAGTGCGGAGTCACGACATCACCCCGCACAGAAATCCGCTCTCGTCAAGACGCTCATTCATCGGCCTAAGAAAGTGTCAGATGGCGATCGTCTGAGAAGTGAAATTAAACGTGTTAACGAGGTGCTGCAATTAAACGGTCACAACGATGCGCAAATCGACGGGGCACTGAATGGCAAAACCAAAATAAAATAACACGAGCGTTGAAACTGACCAAGTATTTAAAAGCATTCAAATACCATACGTTGTGAGAGTAACTAATAAACTGGACAGATTTTTGGAGAGAAAAAACATCCGAGTGAGATTTGGCACGGTATGTAAAATACAGAAAGGAACATCTGGTAGTAGTAGATTTTACCCTTTAAACTGGTACAAAACTGACACCTTTATACAAGGCATCATGTTTGCAATAACCACAACACAAGCAGTGAAAATGCAAACAAAAATAAACTATCTTCTTGGTTCTTTCGGTAAAGTCACGTAGAATGGAAATAATAAAAATAAAACATAATAAAATTTTTAAAAATGTATTATATTATTTTCTTTCATTATGTTTTCTTTTTATTATTTTATTATTTCCATTCTACGTGACTTT